TACATTCAGTATTCAATATTCATGTTATCTCCCCCCACACTTAATTCTCCCCCCACACTTAATTCTCCGAATTCCTGCAAGACCCCAACGAAATTTTAAAAAGCTTTCACGAAAAACTTGATTGAACCTGTATGGAGATAAATAATTATTTGGGTCAATGCAATCCCCGAGAAACCGGAATAGTATTTACAAAGATACCAATGTTTGATTATTCTGAGAGCTCTACAACGATTTTAATACTAACAGCTCTCTTTTAAAAAAGCCGCTAAGATGAATCTAATTCACAAAAACTAATGGAAGATATGCAGCCATAAATATATACTACATCAACTCCTATGGGAGGGACTGAAGAATATCGTGATATCACTGAGGTACAGCATCAATCGGAGTGGTTCTTATCATCTGTGTCATCATGAAAGAACAGTAAAAAGAACATTATATTCATTCTCAACATTCTGGAATATTAACTGCGTGTAGCTAATTAAAGCACATAGCAATTGAACTTAAAGAAAATAATGTCCCTTTTGCAGCCAACATCAAATTTTGTAGAACTTTACAGGAATTATGAATATGTCATGTATGTCCTATCTTAGACAGAAGTAACCGTCTGGTAAGGGTCAGCTATCAACGAGTGTGTCTAGTCTGAGCAGCATATTAAAAGAGACATTTGAAAATGAAGGATGGGGGGGGGGGGGGAGAGAAAACTCAAACGGAAACAAGTTCGGATTTGCAATGATTTATTTGAATCGTGTTCTTGATAGAGAATTCTCCACAATAAAACTGTTTGACCGGACCCCTATATATATTTTTGCTTGCCCACTTCCAACTTCCAAAGTGATTTGAAGAAAACGGATTTTGCATTTCATCTAAACATCATCGATGTGAATCGAGAATAGCAAATCTATCACCAAAATAGACATTATATATTGGGAGGGGGTGTTGATCTACATTTCAAAATGCTCATATTTAACAAAATGATACCCACGTTTTCGCATCTTTTTTTTTCACTGAAAAATATCTTCAGCCCACTTACTATCTCGCCCTCCTCGTCAAAATTACACTTCTTTCGAAATAAAGCCCCTTGTCAAGTGGAAAGTAAACTGTGGATCATCCCGTCATGATGATAACTGAAAACTAATCCCCTATGAATATACAATGCACTGTGGTATGACGTGCGAACAGGTCAAACCAATGCTTTCTCGATAGCACGTGGGCAGTGGATTGATAGCAGTGGGCTAGGAGCAAAGGAAATGGCGTAGTAATTATTTTCCTCCTTCGGCCTAATGACGACAGCCCAAGAAGGGGTGGATAGTGGACTCAACTCCATTGGGAATAGTTAAACGGTAGATGTTATTGAATGCTTTCATAGATAGCCTTGAGTAATAAATAGTGATTTGGTGGCATTTTCAGTAAAATTCCTAACTTAAGCGAGGTTTTATTACATTCTGTTGATAAAAATTCTTTAAAACAGGCGGACCAGACTTTAAAATTGTTTCGATGAGTCAATGAATTGATAATTACTTGCAATTCAGAAAATAATTGTACTGCCAATAATGACTGATCTCATCACTACTTAAAGCACATCCAGTGATCAAACATAAACTGAGCCACTCTAAACTTTGATTAAATGCTTATCGTGATAATGATCCTCGCAATTAAGGACCCCACTCCATCACCTTTGTGTATGGTTTGATCATGAGTGGGCAGCTAACGACCGAGATGGGACAATCATTTACAAAACTCTTGCTTTGCCTCCGCCATGGCGACAGACTTATTTAACGTGTGGGAACGTCAAAACGTACTTCATCCGATAAACGAATCCTGTGAAAATGCAATGTATCAATAATTTCCGCTGCATAGTTTTATCAATATTATCTTAAAGCCAATTCTGTTACCGGACACTCAATAAGAGGGTTTTCCTTTTCATCATCATAGGAATCATGCTACATGCATACATAGCGAAGAGGTTAATATACTAGTCAGTAGTAAGACTTGATTTCTATCTTTTCAAGATTAGAACTTGGTCCCTTTTAGCATCCATGTCTCTTTATTTCCTGCGTTTCAATCTGTTATGGACTAAGTAAACAGTCTTGGGTGACGTTTGAGCGCAGTGAAGGAAGTACGATTTTTTTTTGGACAAAATTTGCCTTTGTATATCTTTACCATTGGTACAAAAGACTTAAACAAAAAACATCTAACTTTTTTTTCGTCATACACTGGATGAGCACATGATCACGAACACTCATAAGTTTTGAAAAGACTATTTGACATTTTAAATAGCTTTCATCAAATAGACAATTTTCAGAATGAGTCCATTTTATGTTTAAAGAATATAGATTTTACACGAACTGTTTTTATCAACAGATTAATAATCGTTTTGTTTGATACAATAAAGGAACCATCACGTGATGAAAACCTCATTAGATTTGTCGGGAAGTGGTCGCACGCAGTCGATGGTGGTTGACATTTGAAAAGAGAGTCAATTATTTCCATCCTTAATGATAGGCGTAAACTAAACTCCTAGCTAATATTGAAATGAATTAAATATACTTTAATTGAACTTCACCATCTCGTGTTGTTTAATCCACATCGACCAGAGGCACTCAAATTACCATTCAAGCAAAAAATTAAAAAATTAAACTTTATTTATTGAAAGGCGGAGGCGTTAATCTATCAGGGAAACTGCTTGTACGATAAGAGAAGCTGGGGGCGAAATGGAAGGATTTCAAGGATAAAAGTTTCAAACTTGTTTTAAAGAAACTAACCAAACTCTAAGCCACCATAATAAAACAATATCATAAGTGGAGAAGTAAGAACATATGTTCATTTCCTGTTCTCTTTTTTCTTGTCACCCCATTCTCTCTTTTCCGATTTTTCTTCTTCTCCTCCTCTTTTATATTCCTCCCCTCCCCCTTCATATTCTCCTTTCTCCTCCCCCTTCTTCCGCTTCTAGTCCTTTTTCGATGTTATCATGTTTTCCTTCTCATACTACACCATTCTCTTCTTTCTACGAACGACTTTTTTCCGAATCGTACAAAAGGGGGAATAAATACGCGGAGATTATTTTGGAGAAGCAAACCAAGTCGATCGTCATGGCAAGGAAACCGTTGTTATTGCATAGAGGTTGAATGGTATTGATGCGTTTGAAAGGAACCATGACCTTAACAACACATACCTAAACTTGGCTCATAGATCCGATTACGTCACACTTCACATCTTGCGTGAAGTTTACTTGTCCCAGATTTGTGACGTCATAATGGTAGGCTTACAGGGCTTATGACGTAGGTGTTTGATACTAGCTCATAGTCTTCCATCCATGGTGTCTCAAATGCTTGATGCTCATAGAGATCCTTCTCATCAAAATACTAACGTTCTCCATGTATATCCTTTTCCTCTCTTACTCCTTCTCTCTCTCTCTCTCTCTCTCTCTCTCTCCCCCCTCTCTCTCTCTCTCCCCCCTCTCTCTCTCTCTCTCTCTCTTTCTCACTTTACATCACTTCAATGCCCTCTTCTCCCCTCTCTATCTTTCTTTATCTCTCTCCTTATCTCTCTTTCTATCTCTCCCTGCATCTCATTATCTTCCCATTATTGTACTTCTCTCCCATCATTGTATTTCTTGTTGTGTGTAGATTGTCTACTATAGAGGGCAATCACTTCCGGAAAATGGCACATTTCTAATTCGTCTTCCGAGATCATAATAGTTAACCAACATATTAGTGTCTTTATTAAAATTAAATGATTCTATCCAATCAAATCTACCCTTTGAAATGACGCGGCTTCGATTTTCTGATTTTGTTTGATTCGTACTTCATTTTGTTAGATCAATCACTAGAATAATTGTTTACAAAATCAGTCAACCTACAGCCATGCCGACAATTTCATCCTAATTCCTTTAGGCCTACTTCAGGCATTTCCCCCTTTACATTTAACTAACACTTGAAAAACGAGCTGGTTGCATGACATTAATCTTCCCGAACAAGTATTGGATTAAAAATAATAATTGCTCGATCAACAAAATGAAATAGTTGAAACATTATCAGATCGGTAGAGTGGGCATATCCCGCGGTGGTTGATGTTGATTGATTCATTTCATGAGAGGCATCAATATTAAGAGCATTCATACGAAGAGGACTGAAAATCAATTTCCTTCCGAGTAATGCGTCGAGGAAGTGGTCTTAAACTATTACAGTCCATAGAGTACAATTCATCTTCTAGCATGACCTATATTGGTATGCTAGTGTAGGAATTATTATTCCCGGCAGCGAAGTCTATCATATAGAGCACTCTTTAATGAATCGGCTGCCGGGCCTGTCGGGCCAGTCTTGAATGGTAATAAGAATCACACTCTCACGTCATCTCCAGCTGTTAGATAAACACGTCCATATTGCATAGGGGTTACAAAATATACAGTACACAATATGGTCAGATTTTCTTTTATAAGAATATACATGTATACTTTAATTTAATTTGCCTTACATGCATTACTGCATCACATAAACATTTTTTACAATATATTTGTTTGATTTATGCATATCAAGAGTATGATAGTGAACCACGTAAGTATGAACATTAATCAGGAGATCTATACTTCTTTTGCCTCTCACTCTCCCCCCCCCCTCCTCTCTCTCTCTCTCTCTCTCTCTCTCTCTGTTTACAAGATATTATTTGATGTATGCATATCAAGATTATGGTAGTAAACCGCGTATGATTTTATTCAGGAGATCTCTTTTTTCCTCTCTCTCTCTCTCTCCCTCTCTCTCTCCCTCTTTCCTTATCTCTGTTCCTAACTTACTTTCTCCTATTTCTGATTATGTCATATAATTTATTGATATCATATCAATACATGTACATAGATACACGCTCTTCGTGTTTCTTTCTCTCTCTCACGAATGATAGCCCTGTAATACACACACAAAAAGGCGCGCACTCACACATTATTTTGATATAACATGTGTAATATTAATCAAATGAAAAGGAAGAAATATAAATAGAATACATACTTCTCGAGCTCCTGTTCAAATGCCCAGATAAGCTGCTTATCAAGAATGTTGGTTTCTGGTTCCCACGTATTGAATCTGAAACGAGAAAAAAGAAAATCAATAAACGGAAAGTAAACAGTCTGTACAACGCCAGGTAAATAGTCTTTATTTGTTCAAATAACCATTATCTTTAATGCACTCAACATGCTGTTGTAACTAGTAAGTACAACATTGTACTTGTGCACAATGTACATGAAGTTGAATGGATGTGTTTAAAATATGTTATAAATGGCGACAGAAAGGAAAACGTTATTGCAGTGTAAGAAGGAATAATTTTCGGATTAAATCTGTTCAAAGTTTAGATGTACTATGAAAAGTGGAAACTTTTTATCCTGACTTTCCCTTAAGGGAATTTCTTACAACTTGTACATGTGACTTTTCTTGTTTTAATTCTGGAAAAGATTCAAGTTGATGAGGAGGAAGGGTATACATCTATTCAAATGGAATGTTAATCAACGGTTCAATTGGAGGGAGAATATAAGAAGATACGAGATTATCAAAATTTAACATTATTTTGCATCAGTGAAAAGTGTTATTTATAAATGAAATATCTACGACCATATCTGCCATTTCTATTTCTGAAACATTGTATAACTAATACTTCCATTGAGATTCAATTTATTTGACATCATCAACTCCTAGGCATTACTACAGTCTTCTTCAAAAATAGTTTCATTTAATTCAAGAGAATTATCATAGGGCTCCTTCTGGGGCTGACACAACGTAATTAACATGATTGTATCTTACTCCTCCGCGATAAGAGGTGCTTAAAGACAATTTAGTTTGATGAAATACAGTCATATCGACGGAGATTATTAATATAAATAGAGAACCTAAAAAGAAATAAATATTGGTTTTTACGAGGATGTAGTGGGGTAAAATTGTACTTGATTATGCTGCACAGGTTGATTGTATTTGTTTCATGAGGGGAATATAGCTTTGTCATAAATAAATGAATGAATGAAAATTAGATCTTGATCGTGCTTCTTAACGTCTTCTCTACTTTTCAAGGAAAGACAGTAGAATAAATGTGTATTGTCTCGTAACATCACCAATCAGATGAAACCCTTCATGCAGTGAAATTGTCTTGTCATTATCATACCCAAATCACACCGGCAGACCGACTCTAAACCGACTCAACAATGGTAGATTCTTGGCCATTGTATAATGTATTATAATTTGTTTGTTTGGTCTGTTGTCGGTCCGAGTGTTCTCGGTCTATTGTTGATTAATTATTATTTTCTATCAACTTAGATGACTTGATCACTTACTTGCTTTGCCATCCGTGCCATTTTACGAAGTACTCGTAGCGCCCCTAAAAGACAAGGAAAAGAAGAGAATTAGATTACAATTACGTTCTCTCTACCTTTAATATTTCTTCCTATTTTGTTATTCTCCTTCGTCTCCTTCTTCTGTTTTTCTTTACAATGTATTTACTGGACTCGTGGTTAAACTTTTTATTATATAATACATTTATAATGTCGAATTATTTTCTGCCAAATCGTATGGACAATTATTCCATAAACCTTGTTTTACAACCTGTGATAACCATCCCCTTCTTATTCGAAATTTTTAACTGTCATTTTAAATCATACGCGTGTATACATGTTGTAATAGCTGTTTAAAATCATCACGTAAGGTTTCTGTATGAATTCGTAAAATACAAGTAATAGTTTAATGGCGTTCATTCAGTATTGAATATATACGCCATATTTCAGTTATCAGTTATTATCAGTTATACATAAGAAAACTGAGAATAAAGATTTGTAATGACATAAAATACAATTTAAAATGTTCATCTGAACAGGTTACGCATGAGAGATAACGACATCCTATATAAGTATTTTTTTTTACAGTTGAGATTGTGTTTTTAATGTATTAGATGTAACAATAACGTCAGAGTCGAACTAATTCGACGGATGTAACACAATAAACTACGACCTATAACACAGCTAACAATAACTTCAGTCGATTTATCCTGGCATGTTTGATTACCCTTCTCTTTCCTCCCCTTGTCGTTATCCTTTCTCATCACATATTAGCCTGCGGAAAACAGAGGCGCGAGCAGGCCGGTTGAAATGTTATGCATCATCATCATGTCTACTAGCCTTACCAATTAATCAGTATATCTTAATCCATCATGTTCACTTAGCTCCCCATCAATAGTGATTATGGTTCCCAATTTCACCAACCATTCTACATCTAATTGGGTTCTTGACATCGGAGCTCATAATTCATCGCTCGCAATATTCGTAACACAGGTGCATGTCTTGTGACAGCGCAGATCCTACGGTCATTCTCATCTAGAACGTTCTTCTGTACTGTACACCCTGATGTAGTTCAGATGGATATACCTATGGGGCATCCAATGGGGTCTATAACATGCATAACAAGACACGCGCAGTAGACAACATTGGCATGTAGCTACCGAGGGAATCTCATAGCTTGATAGTATTACAAGGTTGTATTATTCTCCTTTTTTTCCCCAAAAAATTTACACATTTCTCAAACAAATCAGGTAAATGCAAAAAGATATCGAAATAAATGATTTTAAAAGGGGATAGGCAAGCGTAGATATACATAGCTGCACATAATTGTGGTCATCAATTTACACCAAGAGAAGATTTTTCTGAAATCACTTATGTGAAATGTCTCTATATATTTAATTTGTTTGAATACATGTAATCGGATGAGGATATTCCGTACCTAAAATCCAATACAAATACCTCGTCATCTCTGATGTTCTCATTTCCAAGATTTTATTCAATATTTTAATGTTCTCTCTTTTAAAAGATGAGCTAGAGATTGTAGTGTTTTACATGCCTTATTCATAATAAAGTAGAAATTATCTACGGATGAAAGTGTGCCTTAAGGCTATTCTACCCCCACATGATCATTACGTTACCAAATACTAAACCCCTAAAAAGATTTGGAAACTTAAGTTTGATCAATTCGGGTTAACCAAACAGATATCGCGATATTTTCATAAATCTTTACCATGATTACTTCAGTAAACATTGGCTATTATGAAAAATAATAGTGGCCTCAATTCCTGGACATGATATATTTCACTTGTGTGTCATGTTAGAGAGTGAAGATATAGTATGATCCGTCTAGGTTTAATCTAATCAAGGAATAAGCAGTCTCTAGCTCCTAATCATATTGTCTGCTCTCCATAGGAACACGTTCGGTGTGCACGTACCGTTTGCTTAACAACGGCATGCATGATATAACATCAACAAAGCACCTTCTTAAGCCTCTAAACGCGAAAACTCAGAAATTATACGAAGTATTAAAAACCATTAAAACAAAAGAAAAAAGAAAAAGAGAGTAGTCTTTTTGATGAAAGGAATCTATCTCTCTCTCTCTCTCTCTCTCTCTCTTTTCATGAAAGAGAAAAAAGATAGAGAGGGGGAGAGGGAGAAAGAGAGAGAGAGAGGGGGCGGTAACTACAGAAAGCAGAGAGAGAGAGAGAGAGAGAGAGAGAGAAAGAAGGAGTGACACAGCTCGATAGAAAGAGAAAAATAATAAAATCATCGTTCAATTCAATTCGTTGATCACAATCCTTGTTACAACGAGATTCTGTGAAGATAATAAATTATGAAATTAGCCTTACGAAACCAGTTATATTGGGGTTTTTTATAGGTCATTTCATCGGCCTTGACCAATGGCTGAGGATCACACATCCTATTTCAATTTCATAAATGACCAATCATTGAGGTTGCACGAATGGTCAGCTCAGTGTCCCGTGATTTACAACTCTCTTGATGATTGCAATTACATGAGTCAATGCGATACATCTAATTAGGATATATTCACAATTAAAAAGAGACAAGCAAATAAGCAATGGCATGAAAAATGCATAGTTATAAATAAATAATGATAACAATAATTATGAAAAGAACTTGGTACCATCTACATAGTACAACTATATCACAACGTTTATAAAATATATACATGCAATATATATTTCATGATAATGGATTAAACTTGAATAAGGACACTGAACAGGCGGTTGAACTATTCTGGGAAGAAATATCTTCCTCTCTTTAACTTATTCTTTTCCCTTTTTATTCCTCCCTGATCCTTCCTTCATTTTTCTACTCTTTCCCTCTACACCGGCGCTTATCATTATTGCTATTATTATCATAGTTGATGTAACAGTTTTAAAAATCAGTATGTGTTATCGTGGACTTTGGACTTATTTCAGTGGTTTTTCAAACGGAGTATTATTTACTCGTTAATTTAGAGATTACTCCAGTCATGAGGAAATACATATCACCTACATGTTTGTTTTAGAACAACCCTTGGAATACATTTGCTGTTGAGGTTTCTGGTGAACATGATTAAAGCAAATGTACTTAGTCTAGTTATCAAAGTAATATCACTATCAGTAACAGCACCATGACGGATCATTCCTTATAGCACTTCAATATAAAATTGCGAAAATGACTCAAATCAATAATTCATTGTAAATGATTATGTTTGCAAATGCTGCTTCGCCCAGGTCACAAAGGTATGAATCATGATAATGGAATACCACGAATTCATCAGAATGGACATTCAATGAAGGCAGACATAGACGTATAATGCAAAGCAGCATATTTTCATAATTCACACAAATTAAGATTGAACTCATGAAAATAATTTGAGAGCAAAGAAGAAAAATACATATCTTACGGATATGGATTGTTGTCAGACACAATATACATTTTGATCCCCAATTATCGCAAGCTTGGCAAAGACCTAAAATGTATCTGTTAGACCGACATACTTTCTTAGATGGCACCCCCACCCCCTATCCCCCGCCCCCCTTTTTTTTGCTCAAGTATATGTGATTGATGTGTCTGAAGCTCCTAAGAGTACGTTGAAAAGCAACTTGACTGAATATTGGATTATCGATTTGTACTATCTGAATACTAATGGACTATCCGTCATAATCTTTTGATACAATATCTCGTCTAGAAAATACACACGCGATCACCCTGCATTACCATTAGTAGTCGTGGCAAAGACGCCTTTTTGTGATGTTATTTAATATATTGACTGTTCTCCTAACAGACTCCGGTCAAGGTTTATTGCCAGAGTTTCCAAGGCTCTGGTTATTCATCTAGCTAGACACATTTCAAGCAATCAACACAAAACACTGTATTCTACTTGTATTCCTGCTGTGGAAGAAACAGGTGTAATATAATAGTCGTAAAGAAAACAATTGAAATAGGCAGGATGTTTTAACTTGGAAGCAAGCCATCATATTCAAATGTCATCTTGCTGTTAGTCAATCAGTCAAATTTGATGTACTGAAATGACCAAATATAGCACTGCACATGAAGGGTTGTTTTCCGATCTCTTTTTCATGTCTCAATAATCTAACCATGTCCACAAGCACTCTATTTTGAAGAGGAAACTCATATCAAGATGTACTTCTTCTCTTGTGTTTCTTCCATGGAAAAAGAGGACACTCAACGATCGCCAGCTCCGCGTTCGATTTCTAATATCTATAAATAGGTTTGGTTCTTCTAGCAAACATGAGCCCGATGACAATACCCTCACTGTGCGACGGTCTGATAGTAACAGGGATATACACCCAGTGTCAATAAAACCATAACAGACCATTTAAACAGTAGGCTGACACATAGTCACTCGAATGATATCAAACATTTTACCGAGACATCTCTTTCAGACACAAAAACCTGGAATTTTTCCTGGGTCATACTAGCCACCATCTTGAAAATCAAATAGGGGTTATGTGATTTTGAGGACTCCAACAGAATTAGAAGTGAGCTCAATATCAAGTGTAGTTTATGTTTCTAGTATTACAAGCATAGTTTTCATTCAAATTGAAATATAACTTAATTTGTTTACATTTCAATTGAGATAAACTGCTTAATTTGAAAGGCAAGACCCAGAGGCGAAGTGTGCGTGGGTACTTTTTTTTTCTGCTATAAATATGTAGTTAGTTCTTTTTCGGTTATTACGTCTCTGTGATTATTTAACGCTGATTGAAAATAACTGCTGTTTATGATTTTGTAGACCCGTTTTAGATCCATTTCAAGCTACTTTGCATTTATCTAATAATCTGCTACCTATAAAGTCTTCTTGAATTAACTGCATGCTGAACCTTACCTTTAAAATATTGAAAATGATACATGTCAACGCGATGTTTTACAGGAAGGATGGAATAAGGAAAAATAACAGCTCGTCAAGTGTTTTGAAAAGAATCAAATTCGTTCATGTTTAACGTTGTGCAATTATTTTAGTTGAAAGCATGGTATAGGGAATATGTAAATTGAAAACAAGTGGGAAATTATTACACAAATTACTTGGGAAAATGGAAATGGAAACATTTGGATTTGGAAGAGGTAGGACAAAATTAATTAGAAGGTCGTGTTCAAGAGTAGGCATACCTATGTAGAAAATGAATTAGCTCAATCGAAAGTACATATATGAATATCTAGTAAAGCATATAGTAAGATAAAGAGGTACTTCACAGACAGATTAATACATTCTTAGCTACAATGGCGCAGAGAGCGAGTGGGAATACTCAAAGAACAGGTGTCACGGAGAAAGCTAGGTCCATATAACTATTTTCATGAACAAATATGTGAATACCTCCCCCACTTTTTATATACTAATTTTCTCTCTCAGTTTTGTTTTCGTAGAGGATAATAATCCACCCACCACCTTACACTGGACTGGATTCTCTGATCTTCATCATCTGGTTACCCAGGGAACAAGATTATGCACCCTCTGATGGTTACCATAAGCATTTTCATATCTCGCACAATAGTAGTTGCTATTGGTTGCATAACTATTGTTCGATCGATGCGTCCCTCTATGCATTATCTATCATGCAAGGCCACACTCGTAATTAATAGACAACTAACCTTTTCATCAATACCCTTTGGGGCATGGTGTGACAATTGGGATAAGCTAACTACATATCACTCTACTTACCTTTGCATGCTCATTTTGAGTAACGTTCAAGAAAAAGATGAAATGGTAAAACTTCCACCATCTGTCGTAATTTTGTTCTGTGTTTACATCATGTTATTGACATTCGCCCATCTGAGTAGAATCGATATTACGGGAAGGCTGTGGCAACGTAACTTTCTTATGTATGTCGCAACATTGGTAGAAGTTTTATTTACTCGTGCATGCATGATACTTCATCGAGGGGTATATGCATGAATTCGATATCCCGAGAAAAGAAGAAAGTGTGTTCACTTCCATGCAGCTTTTCAAAACATTTGATGTTTATATCATTTCTCTGCTCTTCATTATCAATTTCTTCCTTCCCCTTCTCATATTGATTACCATCATCTTTTCCTCACCGATTCCTCCTCTTCTCCTTCACTATTCCCCTTTTATATTTTCTATTTCATACAAGCAAATGATGGAGAAGCTAAATCTTTTACGCTCTATAACGCAACTCTAAGATAACTTATGCTCTCTTCTCTGTCTGTCTGTCTTTCTTTCTGCCTACGTTGCTCCCTTCTTTCATTCCCTTCCTTTTAAGGCCTAGAATGAGGGGGGGGGGGGGAGGGTGGTGGAATGTGAAAATATTTAGATTCATGAAAGGTAGTTCCGCCACCAATTCGATTGTTTCCCTTCTACTGATCTACCATTATTTGATTATAATATTTCATCTAACCCATCTCCTCGACTAGAGCACAAAAGCATTGTCAAAAAGCTTACATTTTCATTAGGAAAGGAATGAAGAGAGAAAAAACACCTGCATTTGAATGTTTCCCAAGACCAAGACTTACATACGTGTAGAGTATAATAGTAAAGACATGAATTGCGAAAATACCCTATAATTAAGGATAAGATTTAGATTCAACTGAGCTAGCTCACCTTTCTCCATCTGCGCTTCAATATAGAATCCGCCATATAAACCTCCTTCCCGAAAACTGTTTTAATTTCCTTCTCATTCAACATATTGAACAATATTCCTGGCAATCACCAAACGAAAAGACTCAGAACTCGACCGTCAAGTGATTTCGTTTCTTCGATACTGAACCAGCCTGCTCTTGACGTCAATTCAAGATGCCAGAAATCTTGAAGAATAATCCTGATGTGAAGGTCAATATGGATGGCTCAATCCTTCTTTTCACCAGGTAAAGTGTAAACATCCGTCTGGAGATGCTCAAGATAATATGGTTCTAAAATCCACGTTGCTCTGCATGCATGGCCAGCACAGCCTGCAGACGATGTTTTGTAAGCTGCGGTTTCTCTCGATATCGATTAGAATGATTGTTCTCTTCTCCACCGCCTTAGATCTCTCTCTAAGCTAAAGTGAATTAATCGCATCCACTAATCGCATCCATCAATACCAGCATGTCAATTCACTATCCCGAGATGTTTATATATCTCTGCTGCTACAGCATCTATCGAGGCACGTTATGATCTGCCTCGATACACACATGGAGACCGCCACATGAAAATCGCAAGTCGCGTGTTTACAAATGCAAACGACTTGCATTCAAATTGCACCGATAAAAAAAGCATCCACTGGATATGCTTGCGACTCCGAGGAAGGAAAAAAATACTGAGGCACCAAAACATAAGGTAAAGCAGAAATAAAAAAAATCATTCACCGCCTCGAACCAGTACGGACCGCCCAAAATACACAGACATGGCTCGATCTCGCCATCCCATTGGTTTGTGAACGAGAATGCTTAGTGATGAGCACATGACGTCATTAATACCTTAGCAACTCATTATGGTACGGCGCGCACGCCTCCCCTCCGTGACGTCACTGTGCGAGCTGTGTGTTCAGCGTAGCATGCTACCGTAGCGCGCGTGTGTTGTGTTCTTGCACTCGACTTGTGCAATAAAACACGTTGGAAAAAGTGACTCAGAAATTATAAGCAGGCACAGTGGTCAAGCAATGGTCAAGCAAATTGCTGCATCTTCTACAATGAGACATTATAATTACGTAAATGGAAGTGACGTGTAAACGTTTCTGGCATTTTCCAGAGGGAAACTGGTTATGAGTGAATTAGTTGTATGATTTAATTCACTTTGCATTTGTAAATCAGCCTTTCGAAGAGGCCGTTTTTAATCACTCTTTTAGGTTTAAAAAAAAGACGAAGGAAAACAAGAAAGAGAAGAAGTAGATGGAGATGAAGAAGAAGAAGAAGAAGAAGAAGAAGAAGAAGAAGAAGAAGAAGAAGAAGAAGAAGAAAAATACAAAAAGAAAAAGAAGAAGAAGAAAATGAAAAAAAAAATAAGAAAGACAAGAAGAAGCAGAAAAAAGAAAAGGAAATGGATGACGAGGAGGAGAAGAAAATTCAGGAGCAAAGGTGTGTCTAGGGGACCGGAGGCACGGGCCTCAGGCGGCACTTGGAAGGGGTGCAAAGAAATGCAAAAGAGTGAAAGAGAAGAGGATGAAAAGTTCTGACAGAAAAATATGGATCATATGCATCAAAATTTAGCAATCTAAAGTGTATAAAAATGGTATTTTGGGGGGTTTAAATTGTGACAAATTTCTAAAGCTCAGTTTCTTTGCTCCCTGGCACATTTCAATGTTAGCCTTATACCTCCCTATATAAATTAAGTGCATAATAAAGTGAAGTAATAAAGTATAAGGGGGATCTACAAACTTCAAGCACTGTTTTTTAGTGTATACATAAGAAATGGTTTTAGAGTGCATTTATATCATGTATTTATCATGCGAATATTTTTTTTTAATGACATGGAAAGAGCCTAGTAGCAATTCGACAAATGAATCTCTCTCATTCTCTCTCTCTCTCTCTCTCTCTCTCTCTCTCTCTCTTACTCACTCCCGCCATATATATATATATATATATATATATATATATATATCTCTATCTCTCTCCCTATCTATCTCTCCCTCTCTCTCTCTCTCTCTCTCTCCCTCCCTCCCTCTCTTTCTACATGGAGAGTATGTTTTTCCCTTCCCCCACCCATCTCTAAAACTAAAAGCTATGTATGTTCATTTGTCAGTTTCAAGTTTACATTGTTGAATTGTACTAGTAATACAGTTTTGACAGATCATACCACCTTTTCTCAATAAAGATGCAAACGTGACGGGAACCCCTTAAAAAAACCCAAATACATTACTAAAATTCTCCCAGTTGCTGTCGCTCTTTATACATCTAAGTTCGTCTCTTAACCTAAACCCCCATATTCTTCCCTCAAACACGATTCAATTTAGTTTTACTCAGTCGTCTTACCATCATTTAAACATCGTCGTTTCATCTGATACGGACCTTTTCATTTCTCAAAGTTCCGTATGGTGGCGTTTGCAGTTATTAACAACACATACACGATTGACTATACCAGGTAATAACTTCCAACTTTGAAATGCCGAATGACTGGTAAAAATAGTCGAAATATCACTTCAAGATATCTACATTTTAATTTATAGGCCTAGTAATATACAGAGAAACATATAACACAATATTTTTGGAGCCGGGAAAGGTATTTTCAAGATAGTCTCCCACGTCACATATTGGATTCATATTCGATAAAATATAATTGCAGATTTATTTAGATTTTACCAATTTATAGCAGTTGCATTGTGATTGCGTATTTGGAAAGCGCTAAAGTAAACATGATTGAGGGACATAATCCTCAATAAAAACATTCGTTTTTTCTCAAGAAAATGGCACAACTCCCTAATAATATAGATCCGTTGGTGAATGAGGCTCAATCTGTATATGCGATGGTAACTATGTATCCCATTTTCTGTCGTCAAAATTAAAAAATAAAGTAAGAAACGAACACATGAAGATTCTTATGTAAAAGAGCATTTATTGCATAATATTTTGGAAAGACTGTATTTCATTTGTAACAAATAAAAATAGAGTAAAGTATAGTTTTGTATTGAATGCTTTTGTATAGAATGCTTTGATATAAAACAAAAATCGAGAGAAGAAATTACTAAATAATTGGAATTACTTTTTAGGTATATATACTCTCCTATTGTTACATTACGCAAATAATATTGGAAAACATTGACAAAATGACATCAATAACTTATTGGCTATAGTTGAAAATCACGGGAAGACCGCTACAAATGTGTAATTCATCTCCATTACCATCAATCTTTTAGAGTAAGACAAATTTGTATAATGAAATAATCAACTGTACTAGAAAAATGGAAAGACAACATGACTATAATACAGACAACATTTCAAAATATGTCGTTTTTCACAAAAATCGAAGATAAGGGTCGCTATTCATAATTTTAGGAAAGGGTTGCTATTCATAATACTAAATCAGGGTCGCTATTCATAAACATGAAGAAGGAGCGCTATTCATAATTAATATTGGGGGTCATAACTCGTAAGGACCACTATTGATAATACGAAATGAGGGTCGCTATCCATAATACGAGAAGAGGGTGAATAGTGACCCTCTTCTCGTATTATGAATAGCGACCCTTCGTGTATAGGAAGTTCCACGTTATGAATAGCGGTCCTTCACGTATAAGAAGTTCCACGTTATGAGTAGGGTCCTTACGACTAGCCAGGTTACCCCTGTAGAACACACCTTACATAAGTAAGTAAAGACATTGGCTTCCCTGTGTGTTACCGTATATAATAAAGGTTACTAGCTATTTAAGTCCATTGTGAATATAATGTGTGTCATGAGACATTCAAGCATGTATATCAATTCGCTGGTGGTATTTACACACAATAGACAACGATCAACATTTCTTATGCCTTTTTAAGGTCATATACTTAACATTAAACGTAAAGTACTTCTAATTACAGTCAAACCTACCTATAGCGACCACCCAAAGGAAACATAACAAGTGGCCTTTGTAGACAGGTGGTCTTTGTAGAGAGGTTCCTTTAGTACATGCTTCAATGAGAAACCATTTTCAAGGGAAACAACAAATATGGCCTTTGTAGACAGGTGGTCTTTGTAGACAGGTGGTCAATAAAGCAGGTTTGACTGTATATACATTATCATTCAAAGTATTGACATATATAATAAGCAGAATATCATTCGGAAATTTCATATCTTAGCAATTATTGTTTTAATCAAAAACATAAATGAGTCGATAACATATTTACTATAGTCATATAAACTCCAAATGCGTTAACAATCCATCCATTTATTCCTGTCATAATTATAATTATTCGTTTACCTTGATCACAGATGAAATCTAATTAATGTAGATAACATATTGATAAAGCAAACTGGGTGGGAGAGTTTATTCAAAACTGGGTTTTGCCTCTTTACGTTTGAGAGGATTCCTGTAGCTCCAGCACAGGACTGATAGGAAGAGGATGATGAGGACGATGAGGGTTACTATGACACCAATCCACCAAGGTTCTAAGGCGTAACCTCCACCTGTCCCCTGAAGACCTCCCTCTGGTAGAACTGTGCATTAATAAGAGATGAAACGAAAGATAAGAATGACTGAGTAGACCTTACAACTACTCAAAGTTATTTCGAAGATCATAGCGCTGACTTGAAATTTGATTTTGATTTATTTACCCACAGCAATACATACTGTACATTAAATACAATGATTTTACATTATACAAGAAGAGAAACTATTGGTTGGTAAAATGGGCCATATAATAGCACATGTGCTAAGTCGAGCCTAACCCCCTAAACAGCTAAACAAAGTATTTTGGTACAAATCACTTTAGAAAACGTAACAAATAAAATAAAAAAATGAATTTACTATTAAAATCGATACTTTAAAAAACAAGAATACTCAACAATGTTTCACAATATACAAACTAATACTGAATTAATGCGCCGCTTCATTATATATTCTTTGATACAGTAAGTACATTTTTGTATTTTGTAATGTTCCTGAAAATAAAGATGTCCTAGTAAAAGTCGATCTTTGAAACCAACCGAATATTTTAAACATACTACAGAAAAAGAGACATTTTAAATCTTTAAAATCCTCTTCAGTATTGTACTTGAAACATATATACTGACAATTCGTGAATAAACCATGTAGGCTAAACACGAAAAGGATCTTTACATTCAAGAAAGCCACGGGAATCAATAATAAATAAAAATAGGAAATAAATTTAATAAAAACACATGTCCTGTAGGAAAGACACAGACTGGTTGTGTGGTTGGGAAGGGAAAGCACGTGGAATAAATACTTACGAAGCTCACAGGTTACTCCACTAAAGCCTGGTCCACAGAAGCACATGTATCTACCGATCACCTCCACACATAAACCATCATTCAGACAAGGTTCGCTCAGACACTCATCAATATCTGAAAGGAGGATCACATTTTTTTATAAATTTACAATAGTATTGAAAAAACTTAACCTTAGAATATAATCGGATTTTTAGTTATTGAGTGCATTTAAACAGTGAAGAAATACAAAATAACAGCTCCTGTAAATATGTAATGATAAACGTTAACTATGGAAGGGTTAAAAGGCTATACAGAGAAAACGAAACCAAGATCTAGGGAGAGAAAGAAAGGAAAGAAAGTAGCAGGAGGCTACTGAAAATTTGGGAATTCTTTTCCGATATCTAAAACAGGAAAGGTGAATCAAACTAAAATGTACATGTGCCTTTAAAAACAAGATAATACTAAGTTAATTGAAATATGCATTTGTTGAAAATAAAAAAAGAAAAACAAAATCTGGAGAAAGAGGGAGAGAGTGGGAGAGAGGGGAATAGAGAGGGGGAGAAGATGGAGAGATAGAGAGATAGAGGGAGATAGAGAGAGAGAGAGAGAGAGAGAGAGAGAAGGGGGAGTTAAAGGGACTAGGACACACATACAATCTCTCTTTTTGAATTCGTATATCGCGCTTGTAATTGTGAATTTCGCTTTCGTTTGGATTCATGTTAGTATTATGCAATATACGTATGGCTGTTAAACTGTTGTTGAAGCTCGCTTCCAATTTGGGGAGCATATATACGCGAATGAAAAAAGTCACCTTCTCGAAAGGTTTACCTAATGCAACACAATAACGATTTAAAAAAAAAAATTATAATGAGCTTAGCGTGTAGGAAGCAGTTGAACATACGAATATAACAAGCAAGGAATGTCGAGTTTGAATTGCTTACCTAATGAGCATTGTGGCCCTGTATACCCTACAACACAGACACACTGGTAACCATTTACTAGATCAACACAGCGACCATCATTCCGACAAGGAATACTGGAACAGTCATCAATATCTGATCAATAGAAGAAAGAAAAACAAACATTATTCATGATTAATCAGCGTGGTAAGATATATTTAGCCTTATGTTAGAAGATATTAATGTAATAACCATCAACAGAAAAGAATCAATGATTTATCATTTCTTGATGATCCCATATATTCATCATCGTTCCCAGAACTCATCATATACCCTGTGACTACTACTGCTTTGGACAACTAACCTCACAGAGATTTTACACCGGTTGATATTACCCAAGATTGAAAACTGGACAGTACTTTTTACTGAAAAAGTTGGGCTAACTGTCCTAGGAGCCTGTTGTCCTACATAATGATTGTCCTGAGTGTTAATTGTCCGGGGTGTTATTCAGCGAAACGTTGTCCTCTTATCATTTATCAGGAGTCTCTTGACCTTTCAAACAGAATAGTTTTCTACAATCACACATAACATTCAAACATATTTATATCTTCGCTCATTTCCATTTGTGTCCATTTCAATCAATGCAAAGAACACTTACTTATGTCACATCGTTCTCCCATGTATCCAGGGTTACACGTACAAAGGAACTCTCCATCTTCCAGGTCGCTACATATGCCATTAAACCCACATGGGCTCTCTAGACAACCAACACCAGTGGCTGAAATTAACAAAATGATAGGACGCCAAATGGACAAATTAGATGATAATTTTTTGACTTTCTTATCGTCGGTTCAAACATTTCGTAATCTCGATATCGAGCGAGGATTATGTGACAATTGAAGCCAGATTATGTACACCACCCATATGAAGGGAATTTAGATGTTATGTAAAACAAAAACAGGGACGTAAATCCTGATGAACTTTGTATTCACCAAAGAAAAAATGTGATGTATGTGATGTCACGCGTATAACTTTCGGTTCACTTTATAAACAGCGGCGACACTCCTCGCTCATTGAGGATCTAGTGAAGTGTGGAGGAAAACGTAGCACTGTGGCTAGCTCTTGAGTGAGTCAAATATACATTAAACTTAGAACTTACCAAGATCACACCTCGGTCCTGTGAATCCGTCTTCACATTTACATGTGAATCCATCAAGATGATTCTCACACGTACCTGCTACACATGGCATGGTCAGACATTCGTCCACATCTAGACCGGATGAAATACATGCAAATGTCAATTTATAACGTGCTCAAGGTAAAGCTTATCATTCCAAGCTGTTTCATGATTATCTTAAAATTCGATGCTTTCAAGGCTTGAATTCTGAATACTTATCACAGGTCTAACAGATTTTTAAAAATTGTCAAAACAACGCAATAATCTCAAATTTTTGCTCAGTTGCCATTCTCGAGATTTAACAATATATTGATTTCGTACAGTAATAAAAACAGATTCCAATCAAATACTGATTTTGTCGAAGTGCACTTGCAAGAAATAGTTTCTTCTAAATGTTTTCTTAATGTTATATAGAAGTGACAGAGGATTACAGCATCAACTTCTCCTCGTATGATGATGATGATGATGATATATTGCAGCTTTAACAATAATCCCGTTTCATCATACTATCGCCTTCAAGGTTTCAAATCGTTTCACGCTATAACAAAGTGAAACACAATTTCATCCCATTGCTACAACCTTACCAATCAAGAATGAGCTATTACATAAGAACAAACCTTGATCGCATATGCTTCCAGTCCATGCCTCTGTACATTGACAGGTGTCGTTACCATCAGGTAGAGGAATACATTGACCATCATTCAAACAATGGTTTTGTTCACATAGTACTGAAATACATCAAAAATATAATAGTATTTACAAGCAAATTGTGAAAATAGTGGTGATTTAAATTGAAGATACAATTTTATTATTTTGCAAATTGACACCCTGATCAATTTAACTATCACTATTATTTTGAAAAACTACTTTTGATGAATCCGGATGTATTATGCCAAGCAATACACATTGCTAGGTTGAGCTAGTAAAAAAAATTAATAGGTTTTATCATTATATGCTGAGAGCAAGAAGGACAATAACTTCTGGCGTGAAACCATAAATCTAATGCCTAGAGGTAATTTACTGCGGGATGTTAACATTCTCAACAAATGGTATGTTTTCTCCACGTGGGCCAATATCGCAGTTCACATATCGTCACTGAAAATGTTCAAACCTTGTTTCATGAACTCTCTCTTTCTCTCTAATGAATCATTTTCTGATTGTAATTCTGACCTTGAATTTCACACGTGACCCCAGAGTAGGCATCGGGACAGCTGCAGTAAAACTGGTTCACTCCGTTGATACATGTACCTTTGTTGATGCAAGGCAGCGACAGGCATTCGTCCACATCTAAAAGTCAAGATGACATTTGTTGATTAAGAAAGTGAAATGACTACCTTGATAAACATGATGTAGGATAACACGTTAAACAAAATCTCTTTCAATATTAACATTTAATTGCTATAAATCATAAATTGAACTAGAAGGGCCGGACAAAAATAAAATAAAATTATAATTATGATGTCACTTGGAAGCCATTTTTTGGACACAAAGAAAGAGACAACAGGAAACAAAAACTTTTAAAAAAAAATAATGTAAACATTTTCATAATGTAAATTTAGGAGGGCACTTTTTTCCTTACCTGACTGGCATAACTGACCAGTGAAGCCTTGTGAACACATACACAATATGGAAGAGGGTGTGTCTTGTGTACAGGTACCTCCATTGAAACACGGGTCATTCGTACATGTCTCAGATATAGCTGGAATCAAAGTATACATGGAGAAAATAAAGTACATCTCAAGATCACCTTGAGCCTACTAACAGCCGGACGGATTAAGACTTTGTGTAAAAAATACAATTGGCTTATAATCAGACAATGATCTTCTAGCTTTAACTCCACACTTTTGCACTCTTACCATTTATTCAGTTTTCAGTAAAATTGCCCTAACTAATCGCAATGGGTATGTCAGTAAAGTCATGGTAGTAACAAATGCAATAGTTTAATGTAAAAAATGATAACCAAGATGGAACTGTTTACTGACCCGTTTCACACCTATCCCCCAGGAAGCCGCTCGGGCATAAGCATCTGATACTCCCATCAGCTAACGGATTGCATGTTCCTCCGTTCAAACATGGGCTGGGATTACAAGATACTGAAAAGAAAGGAAAGAGGTTTCGAGTTCAAATGAAAAGGAAATCAAAGATGTCAAATACATGACAAATCAGATCGTAAATTATAGTTCAGAACCGATTTTGCAACCCTACCAGAGGGTAATTTGTAATGGAATCATGTTCATCATATTTCAGAAAATAGGGGGATATGTGTCTTCAGACTTAAAAATGTGATTTGCCAGCAGTAAAAACTGCAAATATTCTGTGTATATATATATATATATATATATATATACATGCTTGTTCGTTTGTTCGTGTGGTTGCCCACCTTCGTAAAACAGTCATACGGAAAGGCTAGTTGAAAGCCAATCTACTCTGCTGCCGTCAAGCTCTTTCAAGTCCTCAAAACCTTTGGGAGCCTGCAGGTGGATGTTAGTTACAAGATGCTGGTATATCAATTACATTCATACTGTCAATATTAATTCTATAATTATCTGTATTATTCCATTAAGCTCCCATACAATAGCAAACATTCATCTCGTACCTGTCACAGACAGGAGGATGTCTTAACAAGCCTTTTTTCTATTAATGCTCAATTATGAGGGTCATCAAATAGGACGTAACATGTCATAGAAAGAAGAGAAGCTGGAAATGTATATTCCATAGATTGACCAACCTTCGTTTTGGCAATGGAGTCCAGCCCAGTTGAAAGTACAGATGCATACATAACTCTCTATGGTATCCGCACATGTACCTCCATTCAAACATGGGTTACTTGAGCATGGGGGAATCACTGGAGATAGACATTTGAAAGAGAAAGACGATATTCAATGGAAAATTTTCTTTTCGTTGATTCAAATCTAAAAACACCTGCCAGGCAACAACTAGCACAATTACCAACCTAGTACAAAAAAAGTGTCTCATCTATCAAAGGGGTGGGTAGAAAAGTGGATGCGTTGTCGTGGGTGGTTTTTGAGCATAATTCTTCAAGTTGTCTGGAAAGGTAGAAGAACGGGGGAATACTATAATGGGCAAAGGCATCACAAGATCATTAGCTGGCACTTCTTCCATTTTTTAAATATTCAGACCCCCCCCCCCACAGAATTTTCGATAGCCTATACAAATTAAAACTTGATGGCAACAAATCTTGAAGGGTGTGTCACACACGAACCCCTCCTAATGACGGCCCTGCTTGAGGGTAGTTGTACTAGATACATGTTTTTCAATATGTGAATGACTGCTAACCTGGTATACTATTATCTTTGATTTCAACTGAAAACCCTTGATAAGTCTTGCTCTCATCTGTTGTAAACCACACCCACAACGTGTTGCCAGAAGATATGAAGTTGCTTGGTTGCGATGCTCCTGAATGGTAGATGACCCTTGAACTAGTGTCTGTAGGATCAAGTCCGTTGCCAATCTAGAAAAGGTATTCATTTTTTAATTCAAGCAGTTTAATACCTTACATTATTTATAATACAATATTTCCGGGAAAATGTTGAAGATCAGAACATCGGAATAGTGAATTACGATTTTAATTTCCTTTGAGATCGTTCTCTGACCACGTCCAAATATACGTGATAGATAGAAATTTGTCAGATTAGGATTATTTTGGATTGTTTTTTAAATTAATTATTATAGCCAATATCGTCTATATACAGAAATGTAATGATAGCAACGTTTGCTATATTTTTCATTTAGGAATACAATTTATTATAACATTTTACACTTTCAGCTTAAAGAAATTAATTCACTTTCTATTTTTGTTTTCCTCCAAGAAATCTAAAGCAAGCAAAACTACTAACCTGAAGATAATCATAGTTGGCTTCGGTAGTGAAGTTACCAAACACGACTCTGATTCGCCTCCCAGATGGCATAGTGAAAGACCAAAGACATTGCAAATCATCCGGGTAATTATCTGGATAGTTTGGTGACGTCAGTTCAACCTCATCATCAGCTAGTAAGCTGAAGTTAGCACTACATCCAACGGCTGAAACACGAAGAGAGAGAAAGAGAGAGAGCGAGAGAGGGAGAACGAGAGAGAGAGAGAGGGAGAAAGAGAGAGAGAGAGAATCAATGGCGTCTGCTTCCTAAAATTGAATCAAGCTGAAGTAACCAACTGATAGCATGAATTTTGATGACTTAATAATCTTATCCCAGGAAGTTTCCTGGATTACTTGATAACGTGTTTTTCACGTCAAACAAAAGGAAAAAAATAGACGTTTATTTTATTTTAATAATAATAATAATAATACATATGATTTATAAGGCGCCAAATCCACTTGACAGTCAAATGCTCAAGGCGCAGCTTGTGCAAAAGATGAAATACATACTTGATACATTTATACAAAGTGCGATAAGAAAGGTACAGACATGAAAGGTAATGGTAATCAATTATAAGCTAAATTAAATTTTCCATCCCTTACAGAAACAAAGATACAAAGGATAATAATTTCGAATGACAGACGAACTTCCTAAAAAAAAAAGACTTATCCGTGGTCTGTATCACTGGATAGATGCACAAATATCACTGAATATAATGGTAAGATTGCTTATACTCACTCATTTGACAGTTGTCGCCTGCAAAGTTTTGCTGGCAGTTGCAGAGGTATCCACCAAAAGAAAGCAGCGTACATGTCCCACCATTAACACATGGGTTACTCGAACATTCATCGATATCTAACAAAATAAATAAAACAATATCAGATTTGTTATGTGTTCATCGACTGTTACAGCTACCATGTCTGTTTGGAGCAAGAAAAAGATATCACCCTTTAGGTTCCGAACATATACTTAACAACAGTATACTAACGGTATAACACTTGAGTAATGGTATTGTTAGTCGGGAGTGTATACACCATAACACCCCCCCCCCCCCCAAAAAAAAAGAAGGCTTTATTCATAATTAAAAGGTTCTTCACGTCATACGTTTTAAAAGGGGTTTCACAGACTGATGCAATCGTATGGTTGGAAAAAATTAGTAGAGTATGCACTTAACTGGTAAAATAAATAAATACAAGCTGTATTCTTCTCTTTGAATCAGTTGTGATATCTTCCACAATTTGGCCTTTATTCGCGATGTATTTTATCTTCCAATATCTTTAAATAGTATCATTTGTATTTGCATGTTATCATATAAAATAAACATTAGTTTCAATTGTATTTGAATAACTAACAATTAATCAACGTCGCTCACTCTGCTATAATTGTGTTAACAAATGCGGAGATAAAACGCGTCAATAGGTAGATCTTCATAAACCTTACAGTTAAATTTTCTACGAGCCATCAACAATTAGTTAAAGATGTAGCCCTCTCCGTTCGGTGTTTTTCTCAACAATTATGCAAATGGGATTAATATTAATGGATATATTCACCTATTTCACACAAGGCTCCTGTAAATCCAGGTGGGCATAGACATGATATCCCACCTGCTGGCTCATTGCTACATTGACCGTTATTCAGACAGGGTGAACTCAGACAGAAATTCACTCCTTTTGTTATGAAAACAAGGAGAAAGAGAATAAAGCCGTTAGATTGAGAAGAAGATATTTATTTGTAGAAAATGTTTATTTGTAGAAAATGAAATTTCAGGCTATTCAATAATGGTATGCACAATTAATAACAAATTCTTATCAGCTCTGGAATGTTTTCTTCTGCAATAATTATATTTCTCTAATAATATCACGCCAAATACACACCTAGTCAACAACAATAAAATAGGTAGGTGCTACAAGAAAGAGCATACTTTAATACTGCATAGACAAAGAAGAGATTACCGATTTGACGTAACACATGCGTAATGATAAGTATTTCAAGCTTTGGGATTTAGGTTATACAACTAATTAATCCATTTCAATTATCTATAGTTTGTTTGTTTGCACTTTCATGATCTTGATACTAATCCCATGTTATTACTCACTGATTCCACAGTTGACTCCAGTCCATAATGCCGGACAGTAGCAGGCGAAATGAGTACACAGGTTTTCACATGTTCCTCCATTCAGGCATGGTTGGCTGAAACAAGTGTCAACGTCTAAATAAAGGTAGTACAATTGCAAAGAAAGACGTTTTCATAATATTTTGTATGTACATACTCATGCTTGTACGATTTCTCCATATCACGCCAGCGAAACCCTTTTTCATTATTTAGATGTGAAACTAGGAGATCGTTCCCAAATCATAACTAATCACATCTTTACATAATGTGATATGCAGTCAGCCTAGGTTCGCGTTTCATATAGCAATAATAATAACAGAGATTTTTATATCGCACTTTCTACTCTTAGAAAACGGAACTGATTTAGTTTAGTATGAAATGTTTCTAGACAATTATGGTTCTAATGCTAAAGGACGGCTTGTTGGGACATTTTCAAAAGCTCTATTACCATAGTAGGAGGTTTGGGTCCGGGCGATAACGAGCGTGGTTTTACATAAATGTTGAAGTGATTTACATTTTTGATCTGCACTAAAGCGATTAATTACCCCCAAAACCAATACATAACCAGTCATAAAAGAAAGGAAATACTTGTTAAAAACATTAAAGAATACTTTCTTTTACACCAGATACTCATTAAATCGTTGTCAAGTTTTGATTTTACCTAGTTCACACAGCGGTCCCTGATAGCATTCGTCACATTGACACCTGTAAGAAGATGTTCCATTGACGTATTGACAGGTCCCTGCATTCTGGCATGGCGATGGGTCGCATACATCTATATGGGAGAGATGATGGTGAAATAGTATCCTACATCCTATTCAGATCCACAAGTAACTGTTCCAGTTTGGTTTAGTTACATTGGATGACTCGTACGACTTGGTCCAACAAGTTTCCACATTGTGAAATACTTATATAACCAGTTAATATTTGTTGTCACTGCCATTTCAATCATTTATAACGGATACGAACCAAAAGGAGAAAACGATGTATCACTATCAATATTAATTATAGAATAAATATTCGGAATATGAATGTAAGGAAGCCTACACAATATTTACTTAAAACTGACACATATTTTGTACAAGAATATTCTTGACTATACCGGCACTTTCATAAGAATGATTATATTGACACATTACCTCTTTGACAATTGAAGCCACTGTAGCCAGTATAACACTGACAGGTATATGAAGAACATTGGTTGACACATTACCTCTTTGACAGTTGATGCCACTGTAGCCAGTATAACACTGACAGGTATATGAAGAACATTGGTTGACACATTACCTCTTTGACAGTTGATGCCACTGTAGCCGGTATCACACTGACAGGTATATGAAGAACATTGGTTGACACATGATCCGTTCACACATGGGTTGGAAGAACATACATCGATAGCTGCAAGTAATATATACATCCATTGCAAACATAGGTAGATAGCAATTCAATATTATCACTGTCATGAGATCGACGGGACGCAGACTGATTATTACTCCCTCTTGTGACTGAAATCAAATGTAATATTTGCATCACATTCAACATGAACAAAACATATTTTAGTATATTTAGTTTGAGAAACTGCATCATTAATATAAATCATTTCAAATGGAAGCCAAGGTAAAGTTTATAATAAATGTGCTGAAGCTGGTTACAAGTCTTTTTGTAGCTGAATTATTCTGTACGCGTAACACAATTGCTTAGATGTTAATTATTGAGGAAATTCATATATCGTATACGCAATCTTGCTGTTTCAGTGCTTTCACGATGCTTACCTATGTCGCATTGAGGTCCAGTCCAACATTCAGTACACTGACAAGCTGGTTGGAGTTGTGAGGGACAGTTATTGATACATGTACCACCATTCTGGCAGAAGTCAGGGTTGGCAGAGCAGCTGTCGAGCACTGAAGCATAAAGATAATTGTTGAACAAGTTCATCAGAATGGTTTGAACAAAATAGGCATTTGTCTATGACACATTCGTAGATTTCACTTGTAATAGTGTAAATATAATCTCTACATTTTCTCATTTTACTTATATCATACACTAACATTCATGATTTTCACAATGGTTTATACACAGGAGTACGAACATTTAGGTTTAACATCAATAAATACTGGTTGTATGATACATACGTATAGAACAGGTGTCGTCTGACCAGCATTCCGGGCAGGTACAGGTCCAGTTTGCACAAGATCCTGCTTCTAACGTACACACTCCATCGTTCTCACAAGGGTTACTGTTGCATGCATCAGTATCTGAATCATAAACGATGTAAAAACTTTATTAGGATCTAATGAGGAATATGACATCCTGTAATTAATCATGGCAGTAAACAATTTTTGAAATGAACAATTTAGCTCTCTAATAACAATTTTCTCCCCATGTTACCTTAATCAGCACTAATTGATTTGTTCTCTATCGAAACGGAGATATGTTTACAATGGAAACAAAATCTAATGTACATTATATCACATCTGTTTATCTTATTTACGTGACACTTAAAATTCACTCAATATATAAATCTACCGCTGATTGAAAATTCACATGGTTATTGCTTTTTACTTTGGATTAAATCAATTTACCAATTTGACACGTGTCTCCTTCAAAGCACGCTGGACAGTCACACGAAGCTGATGAACAGACATTTGAATCTTGTATACAAACGCCCCCATTCAAACATGGGTCTCCTATGGTGCATATGCCCAGGTCTGTAATATGGAATGGAAGATTACCGAGAAAGTCCGTAACGAAAACAATCAGATTTTGACAGAAATAGAAACATTTGTTAAACTTTTAATGTCGTAAATGGAAGTTTTGGGTATATAAGAAATGTTGGCGGGAATGTAGAAAGAATAGCATTACGACCACGATCACATGCACAGCCAGTAAATAAACTCTAGGACAGTTTGATACATGTAATATTGCCTATAACATTCATGTGCTGATTCGAACATCCCTAAAGGTGACAGACAAGGCCATTGAAATCACCTAAGGTTGGTTTCTCTCTTGAGTGTTTGTCATTAATGGAGAAAGTGGTAAAGAAAACAAAGTTTCAATTCATTGTTGTAATATGGAAGAAGAGAAACTGGCTTATTTCTGTGTAATATAAGATTCTGATCTGTACTAGTTTGGCTAGGAGGGATTAGACCACCCAGGGTGGTCACTGACAGGTGGCTATCTCAACAATTCAGCTCTCAATCAACATAAGAAAAAGAGGACAATGGGGACCAATGGTCACCAATTAGGCATGGTTTTCTATATAGAGGGAGCAAGTAGCTACAAGTAGTACAATGGGGCTTTAAGATAACACCACAAACATGAGACTTAAAAACTGACCAATTTGACATGTTAGTCCTTCCCAGCAGTCAGCACAGAGACAGACATAGACCGAACAATCAGCGGTTGTTTGACAAACCCCACCGTTTGCACACGGATTGCTTGCACATACATCCATACCTGTAATGATAAGGTTTGAAATTGAAAGATATAAAGTTGTGAGTTGAAGAAAATGTCTCAAGATTTAGCGTCCTACATATTTGACATAGGTTTAATTAAACTGATTTGGGTCTTTAAAGCAAGTATTTCTGATTGAGGAAGATTTCTCAAGTTATTAATCTAAAGCATAGCTTGTCTGATCCTCATCTCTTTTTCAGCAGATAAATGGGGCAACGATATAATTGGGGAGCATAGCAGCGCAGGAGACAAATAACTGGGGTGGGGTGGGTGTAAATTAACCCAAATCTGCCACGATCCATGCTCTTAATGAAATTAACAAATTCATATATCTACATGTATAACGTCGAGAAGTGAGAAGCTGTAGCAGAATGATGCACAATACTGTAGAATATATTACGCTTCAATTAGTATAAAATTCTATCTTAACAGAAATATCGCTATATGATTTTTTTTTAAATTACCTAAAGTACATAATGGACCGGACCAGCATGAAGTACACTGACATGTATAATCTACACAGTCTCCTACAGATGGCATACAGCTACCACTGTTCTGACATGGATTGGTACTGCAGGGATTCACAGCTGAGGAAACAAAAGTTTACCAATAATCATCATATAATATCAAAGTTTCAAGCTACAATGGTTTCATCATTAGAAACTTTATTCATGCTCATGAAATGCAAACAGGTTGGGAGCCATAAGAGCATTAAATGCAGGATAATGATCGAACAAAAGGTAAAATACTAATGAAGACTAATAAATATTTGATGCACGTTGTTGATGGTCCATTATTTAATTTATACTGGGAATCTCGCTCCACAAGCCTAGCTTTTCTGAGATTCTCTTTTCCCCCTTCTCAATTAAAATATGATGCAATATAAAATATTTTGTCTTATTCTCAGACTTAAATGTACTCTGTAAACTTATTTGATTACGAACATTCTTGTCAGTATTTCGTTGCTTGTATAATTCATCTGTTCTATTATATATTGTATTATGGTTTATATATGTCATTTAATTTGTGGATATTTGAGTGGAAAATAAATCAAATCAAAACAAATCAAAATCAAAGACAACAATATGCAAAATACTACGGGGAAAATCCAATGTTTTTTGTCTCATACGTTATTAACTACGTGTGATCATTGTTTCAAGGTCAAACCCTACCAGAGCTGATATCAGACCGAATATAGAGTGAGGTGACTCGTCTTGTATACACTTAGTTTCAGAACGATATAATACTTAGTATTGTGTTGTTCTGTATGGGACACCCAATGATATAATACCCTGGATTCGCATATTATATTTGAATAAAAAAACAACGTCTGAATGATTGGGAAGATGTTAAGATGTAGGAAGTCGCGGCGAGGTTATTAAACTAAAGAAGGGAGCCAGCCACTTCTACTCACGTATCTCACAAGATGTGCCCTCGAAGCACCTTGGGCATTGACAACTATGATCCGTACATGAGCCTCCAGCGGCAAGGCAGGTTGCTCCATTCAGACAGGGATCGGGATCACATGGGCTGATAGCTAAATAACAAAATAATATTGCGTAATCAACGTTGTATTCGTGGATACAATGTATCATGAAATAATGATGCATTTTAAATCTTTACAAATCTCCCTGTATGAATGCTTCACATTCTTGATGTTATTTTGTTTGATGAAAAGCCTTTCAATATTACGTCTGCTTGTTGTGAATTTTAAAGCCCATACGTAACAGCATTGCAATGGAGAGCTTAGGTCCCAAGAGTTGGGTAATGAAGGTTATTTATTGGTAGCATATCGGTAGGTATCGGGTCGCCAACTATACGGAAACATCCAAACCCCAGAGCAGGAGCACAACATCTTCCTTCATGTCCTTAGTGCAATCAAACTACATGTTGCACGAATTGAGGAGCTATGGCGTATGCAATCAGTACGTTTATTAAACGATCCAGTTTGCAAGATTATACATGACTGTGAGGAATACATTTACAGACTGGACTCACGTTCTTGGCATTGTTCTCCATTGAAGCAATCAGGACATTGACAGAAGAACGAATCACAGGATTGACCACTCTGAAGGCAAGTGCCACCATTCATGCATGGACTCGAATCACAAAAATTGATCGCTGAGTAGAAAAGAGTCATTGGAAAAAAAGTAGTAATATAAACTAGACCCTCTTTATACAATAATATGAAATGCAATAAATGTGATAGTAGAAATAATATTTTAAAAAATATATATATTCTGTATCACTTCTCCAAATGATGATCATGATGTTGATGATCAATGGTCATGATGATGGTAGTGATAATGATGATAAATATTTTAAAAAACCCATGTTTCAGATACATGTATAACCAAGTGCCATCATTACATCACCCCATTTTTGTTTAACGTAATTTATCACATTTTGGATAACAAAAACCTGGTCCACTCATGACGTGAGTATTATAAATCTTGTAAAGTCAAGGGAAATAACCAAATAAGCATGCAAGCAACCCAATCACAGATATAATTATTTCATTTTTGTCGGTTTGTATCTTACACGTTGAGCAGGTTTGGCCGGTGTAGCATGCAGGACAGAGGCACACATATTGGTTGCAGTCTGATGTACTCTGAGCACATGTCCCTCCGTTGAAACAGGGATTGGTACCGCATGGGTTCACAACTGTAAAAACGGTGGAGGAAAAAACACAATATACACACATTTAGACATAACGTGTTTGAATTTTTCATCTTGTTCTATCAAGCTTCATCTTTTCCCTTTTTCATCAAAATTCAAAAGAAATGTTATGTTCCATGAAAATGAATTATAGTTCTTTGATTCTTTATTCTAATAATGTACAGCTAGTTTTTTGTATGGAATAGACTCATGTTGACGTGCTTTGAATGCCTTCGAAATCTTTCAATTAATAAAGTACATGGATAGGAAAAGGAACCGTAGTCTAGTGTAAAAATAGGTAATGCATTTTCATGTGATGGTCTATCTAAACCTTAATACCATAATGAAAGAACATATTTTTAACTGGCTTTGTATATTGTTGTTCAATTATTTCATTCCTAATGTAATTTGAAATGACGTGTAGTTCTACAAACCAATAACCTACCTGAAAGGCAGCTTGGTCCGGTCAAGCAAGGCGGACACTGACACAAGTGATATGGGCACAATGTGCTTCCCTGACCAGTGACAGTCAAACAGGTACCAGAGTTAAAACATGGATTACTTAGACATGGATTCAGAGCTAAAACGGAATAGAAAAACAAGTTTGGTTGGCATGTAATCTTGAATTCAAAATGAGGTATGTTATTGACAAACATACCATAGGCCAGGATCTAGTGAGTATCAACATTGAAGGCGTGGCTGATGTCTTTAATAAACATATTTTTTCATGTACAATGAGGAAACTTAGAGAGTAGGTTTTCTGCTTTCGATCAAAATTGTGTCTTTAACTGTACATACACATGCAATCTGACTTACGTGAAAGAAAATAATATAGAAATCTAGATACGTCGTACTTATTTGGTAATGCATAATACAGCAGTGTGAAACAATGGATGGGGATCAAGGGATATGATTTAGAATTTGTATTTATTATAAGCATGATAAGATGTAAATGTTTATTCACTAAAAGAAATTAATCACATGTTTATGAAATCTGTTTGTCAAGTTTCCTTACCTTCTGTACAGTCGTCTCCCATCCAGCAATCGATGCATTCGCACTGTGGTATCGGACAGATTTGGTTAGTAACCAGGACTGCTTGACATCTCGCATTGTTCTGACATTGTCCGTTACTACATACATCCTCAACTGTAAACAAAATATATCATAATAGTGTTTTGAAATTGAGTTTACAATAACAATTTAAATATCACTGTGCCTTGTAAGTGGTAATCGTCCAATGAGGCATCTTTCTACGCAGTAAAGGTGTTCATGACAAGATAAGCTGGTGTTAAGTATTGTTAAGTCTGTATTCTATAGAATCGACGGCATGAAAGAGCTCAATATATTGTATACCATTATCAGGTGAATCACTATTTTCCATTGGACTAATTGGTAGCTGAAGATGGACACAGATCTCGACAGAACTTAATGTTATCTTTTGAGCATTACTACTTCATGTACTTAGTGGCATATACCCTAACATCTATATCGTGCAGACCACATGCAGCCCAAACAAAAAGCCCATACTGCGCCTGTAAAAACGCCACTGAGACACACTATGAACATGACGGACAAAGAAAGCGGACAAAATATACAGTTCCTCAAGTAGACAAAGGAACACCCCTTCACTGATATTATGTAAAAATGTGTAGAACAGGTGAATATGCATGTGACACCTGTTCTACACATTTTTACATAATAGCAGTGAAGGGATGTTCCTTTGTCTACCTGAGGAACTGTATATATACAGTATATATAACAAATTACACATCTTTCAGAGATGAATTCTTCTTCCAATGACCAAGACATTGTTATATGTATTACTCCAAACCAAAACGCAGCGTGAATGCTTTACAAGGCTAACCTGAATGGGTTCATGCTTCTTTATCTATCTTTCTGACTGGAATAAATCCTTCTCAGACTCGAAACATTTATCTAAGCTTTTTACTTCACTTAAATGTAAAACACATCACACGCTATGATATGTGTATATATACTATATTTTCTTCATAACCACAACCAATAGGTTTTTATAGTTTTTTCAATTGTTTCATTGATTATTTCAACATCTCTGTGTGTGTGGCTGATTATGCTTTCACCTGTTTAAATGCTGTGGCATACATGTCTTCCTATCAAGAAACCATTAGGAACTTAAGACTAAGAGAATTGTCCTGAGAAGCATGAAAGACATTGACAAATTAAGGTAGGACATTTTGATGGGTTTGCTAACGGGTTGGGTTTGCTTTGAAACACTTCAAACCTAATTAATACTGATTTCATTTCATCATCTCAGACCTGATACAGGAATTTCTCAGTTCCAATAAGCAATACATAAATAATTATCACTGATACTTACATGTTTGGCAGAATTGTCCTGAGAAGCATGAGTGACATTGACAAGTGAAGGTAGGGCATTGCGCTGGGTCGGTTTGTTGAGCAGCACACGTGCCATCATTAAGACAGGGGTTCGTGCTACAAGGATTAGTCGCTGTGTAGAAGAGAAATATAGCATATAACTTTATAAACAAACTATCTACAAGCTTTAAATGAAACCTGAAGCTTAATCAACCTCTCTGACACAGGAGACGCATTGAATGATTGTTATGCATAGCCAGACTTAAGTAACTGATCCTACCAAGCGGCCCGATCTGTAATTGCTACAAAGGTGCAATGTTCACATATATTTAGAAGTGACTGATATAAAACTATCATGACCATTATGTTACATTATTTCAGTGGCATATAAGAATATTCTTTTCATTAAAAAACATGACCTGACGAACAATGAAAATATGTATGATGAAAGGCTAATATTGGCATATTGAACTCATTTCTAACTTACAAATGGCAGTGAAACAAACAAACCTATAGTACAGTCCTGACCAGACCAACAGTCAATACATAGGCAACGATATCCTTCACATGAGTCGTCTGATGTGAAGCATGTTCCACCGTTGGCACAAGGGTCGTTGAGACATGGATCAATAACTAAAACGAAAACAAAGATATATTGATATGATCACTATCAAAGGCATAATATATTGCAAAATGTATGATTTTATTGAAGGTCCGCATTAGTACGAAATTAATATTTCCTTTGAAAAGTCAGTCGTCATTCAATTTGAATTCAATTTCATTTTCAATTACAGACATAATATTGTATAATGAATAAATACAAATACATACAGAAAATACATTGGAAGGACCCGTAAGAAATCAAAGATTATTAGGCGGTAAGAGGGGCCCTGTAAGAAATATAATGAAAAAATTAACATAAACGGTGCATCTTCAATACAAAAAGGTGCATCAATCTTGAGCGTTAAAATATTTTAATATTTCCAAATCATGACTTGGATTTTTAGATTACGAAGCTAAATTCTTACCTGTCGAGCAAGTTGGTCCTGAGAAACATCCAACACACTGACATTCAAACTGCGTACAAGATGATGGAGATGGTGCACACAATGCTCCGTTCTGACATGGGTTCGCAAAACACGGATCAATCGCTATGAAGAATAAAAAACAAATATTACAAGATAATAGCTTAAATAGGCTATTAATGGTACTAGAATTAATTTTATTCTCTTTTAATGTATTTGATTTTAATAAATATTTTAAACAATGTACACTTTTTTGATACACTAAATTTGACTCAATTAGTTTCCCTTGCAACGCAAGAGGTGCATACTTCAAATTAACATACCTTGTGCACATTGTGATCCGGTGGAACATTCAGGACACTGGCAGGAGTAACCGTCGCAATTGGAGTTTGATCTTATACATGTGCCTCCGTTGAAGCAAGGAGATGGCGAGCAGGCATTGTTGTCTACAGAAAGTAAACATCATTGGTCGGTTAGTATAAAAACGTCATTGCGGTGATATTGCACCAAACCGATTGATCATGACATGGGTTTAAACGCATCAATGAGCACAATTCACAGTCAGTGTAGGAAATCACTGGCTTAGGGGTATCTGCCTTTAATAAACTTTTCCGCTAAAAAAACCCCCCGACGCTATTGACTGCAATAAAGAACAAGACAAAGAAAGGATACCTTGCATAAAAGCTGATCTGGTGATGTATATTGACTGGTAATTGATATGGTAAGTTGTATAGTAATCGATGCAGCAGACAATGCTATATTTTCACTCGCAATATTTAAATAAATGGTGTCTTGTGAGAAGTCAAAGATTATGATATCTTCTTACCTACAGTACAGAACAGTCCAACCCAACATCCATCGCACTGACATGTATAGGAGGTGCAAGCATTACCAGTCAGTTGACACAAACCATTGTTGGCACAGGGATTACTTTGACAGGGGTTATCAACTGTCATTGGAAATAAAAAAGCAAGGCAAACATAAAATAGTGGCACAATATTGGAACTAATGCTTCAAAGCGTATGCTTATTACGTGGCGATTAAACTAATGAAATCTAAGTTCTGTTGCGCACGAGACATTATTTCGCTGACGGAGACCCACAGGAGTGACTGACGCAGTCTTTGATGCTAGGGTGATATCGAACAAAGGGTGAATTACTGGGTACGTACTAAACTTCATATCAGTCTAGGTAATAACACATTATAAAATAATGACGCCACGTGTATACATTAATTACTTGATCGAAAATAAACTCACATCCATTTCTCTGTGTTTTAAATAATAAGAGCATTTCCTTTAATACCCCTAGAGAGATGAAAGCGATAATTAAATGGTAACATGAATACGAAACAAGTAGGGCTATGTTGGAGTTTTTGTCCGGTGATGTGACTTTAACGGATAAAGAAAATGACTTTTGATTACTCCATAATCAATAGTTCAAAACGAAAGAGCAAGATGATATAGGAACATGTTCTTACAGGTAAGACAATTTGTGCCAGTCCAGCATCCAGGGCAGGAGCAGGTGTAGTCTGAACATGATCCAGGTACAGGATCACAGGTACCTCCATTGCTACACGGGTTGGGTGAACACGGGTTCAGCACTGTGGGGAATGACATCAAGGAACAGGATTGAGGGTGTATTAAATGATAATAATAATAATAATATAGTAATATATTCATTTGTAAAGCGCAATAACTATATGGATATATTCTACTGCGCTGAAATAGCTCGTAAATGTTGTGCTATACATATTACATGAACAAGTGAGTTTTCAGTCTTGATTTAAAATATATCATGTATACAAATGCTTTCATGAACAGTTATGAATCATTTCGAGAAACGAGGATTGAACATATTATACACTTAATAACTATTAGAACTCATATTCCTTGAAGCATTAAAATTGAAAAAAATTCAACCATGCAATAATTGATTTATTCTACTTTTATTTCAAGCAATTGTTGATACCTTAACGTATGATTGATGATGAATATACAAATATGTTTGGTATACCATTACTCAGCAAATGTATGTGAAAACAAGGTATAGCCGGAAACAACAGTTTATGATGACATAACAAAGGACAGTAAATCAACAATAGACCCTCAAAAAACAACGAATCTACATCGAGAAACTAAACAATCAAGAAAGATTCGGCATTGACGTGTGGAGCGATAGCTAAAGTTGTTTTCATATCATGTAATTTGTATGAGTTTGGTTGAACTTACACAGATTGCATGATGTTCCAGTGTAGCATCCAGAACACGTACATGTGTAGGTAAGGCAAGAGTTGGGTGACTCCACACATGCGCCTCCGTTTTCACATCTGTTTACTGTGCATGCACCCTGATCTGTAACACGGATAAAGAAAAAAAAGTACAGGTAACAAAATATTGAAATGCACTGTTCTTTATCTCTACAAATAATAAGATTAAACTTTCTCTTTCTCTCTCTCTCTCTCTCTCTACCCTTCTCTGGGTAGCTCCACAATCTATCATAGACCATGGATTAAGGTGATCTACGAGGGGAAGGGCATTTTCCAATACATTTTTACGTCGGCATATCTATGACATTCTAGAGACACTGATATCACACCATTACATTACGAAAAATACTACCATTTACTTTAATTATGATTTGTAGATCAAAGCAGGCAGGCGAGCGAAGTTCAGTAATGTTTATCTCTCTGGTGATAATGGTGATAAGAGAAAATTAAAACAAAAACCATGATGCATGCACTTTATTCGTTATAATGAGAAAATAATTAAAATCCCCTCTGCACTTGATTGGCATGGAGGGATTGAACCTCCCTGTAAGGTCACTGGCAGGTGGTTATCTCATCAAATCAGCTCTTAATTAACATATGAAAAATTTGGTGCATCATGGGGATCAATGGGTACCGCTTAGGCATTGTTGGCTGTATAGAGGGCGCAAGTAGCTATACATAGTGCAGTGGGGCTTTAAAGTTCGAGAATGCTTTGAAAGGACTAACCACAGACCAATAACAAGAAATTATTTTGGTTACTTACATAATTGGCACTGCAGACCTGTGTAACATGGCGGGCACTGACAGGAAAAACTAGAGCACTGATTGGTGCAAGTACCTCCATTGGAGCAGGGATCAGATGCACAGGAATCAATCGCTTTAGAAGAAAGAACGATCAAAGAAACTTATTTAAGTACGAAGCTTCCATCATAAAGTATTCCTTTTCCAACGTCAGCATATGTTTTATAATTGAAGTGCAAGTCAATACTGTTTGTGCAATGGTTCACAAATTACAGTATGTAAGTATCAAGGTTCAAGCATGGTACAAAGCTTATGAGCTGGAAAATATGATTTAACACTTCCAACCAATCAAATTATGGGCAACTTAAATAGCTTACTAGTTCAAACCAATATATATCATGCTTGGAGTTTATGATATATCATCGTAGTGTTCGCACATATCAACAGTATGAGAATATTGCCACTGCCTTAAACTCATTTTTGTAAGTCTTTAGAATTTATTTATATGAGAAAAAGGTCATACGGGTCTTTCTTTCTCTATCATCACATTAAATCTACGGATGATGTATGATATTTTCTTCACTTTTGACTTTCATTGTAGACACTGACCTATTTCACATTGTTCTCCTGTGAAACACTGACTGCAAACACATCGGACATCCGGGCAACTTGTGACGCAAAATCCACCATTGAGGCAGAAGTCATTTCTGCTCAGACAGAAGTCAATTTCTGAAGAAAAACAGCGTAAATATTAAAAAAGGGAGAAATATTCATGTCCAATTAAAGGTGATTGTACAAAGTATGTTCCAGCTACAACTTCTAATGCGTATCACATCTCGATATCAACAGTGGACAGACTCTATACATTTGACAGAATAGCGTTCGGTTAAAGTCAGCAGAGCCAATTACTGTCGGATCGACAGTCAAGAGGCTTTCGATCTCCATATAAAGCCTTTTGATATTCTATTTGGATGATATAGACCCTGTTTATTTAGAATCTGATAATAAGTGTTGATGACGAAATTGGATATTGCGCTTTACTGATAGGGTAAAATTTAATTTATTGTAGTTTATAATTATTTACTGTTGTTACTGTTTAGCAGTATGAGCCCTGAAAATGAAATAAATGACAAATTTTAAAAGGTGAAAAATTTATTTTCTTAGGATAGGTGAGAATTGAAAGTCACCTAATTCACAGAACTGTCCCGTGTAACACGAGGTACATGCACAGAAAGCTGACGCACAGTCACTGGTAGAAAAACATGTTGCTCCATTCCGACATGGATTGGCCAGTAAACATACGTTCACATCTGAAAAGAGAAGAAAAAAAAAAACATAATCCGCTCCGTCAGAGGTCAAAATCATGTAAATATATATTTAAATATATTGTCTGTGAAAAATTTAATTGGTGAAATATTCAACACAACATGGAGCTATTGCATTAAACAAAAATGTATCTTGTATAGGATATAGGGTAATTAACCAGTACAAAGGTTGATACGTGATGACTACATCATATATATATATATATATATATCGGTTTTACTTAATAGTCAATTTAAATCACGAACAAACTTATACTAAGTATGAATACATGAGAGAAATAAAGGGCTTTCATTCTTATATCCATCTAAGTGTGCAGTTTGAAAATATTGTAACAACACACGTTTATATAAGAACGGACGGCTTAGCAATAACAGGGTATTTATTCCGTATTGCATATCCTTACCTGCTTGACAATTTATCCCAGCATGACATGAATCACATTGGCAGGAGTGAGTATTACAAGAGGTAGAAGTACACACCCCACCGATACCACATGGATTACCACTGCAGGGGTTCAGAGCTAAAACAAAACAAAACAAGAAGAAGATGCATAACACGGAGAGACGAGAAACAGAACTATTCAGTGAACACGGCGCACTATTTTCAAGCTCAGAGGGGGTATTTTCAGAACTGCCATGGGCTTTCTTGATTATGCTTCTGCAGAATAGTTACAGAAAAGATAAATACTCAAGAGTCAACACCTAAAACCTCTTCTCTCGAAAATGCATGGACTCCTAAGCAACATTTGCCCCCTTCTAGTATACAATATCTTTTAATCCAACTTCTCCCATCAATCCAGATTCATCTTTATTACTTTCTACATTACTTAAAGAATGTTCTATCTTGATACTTACGTATTTCACATCTTTCCCCTGTATAGCATCCTTCACACAGACATGAGAATTGAGTACAGTCTCCTGGGGTCGGCTGACATGTTCCTCCGTTCAAACATTGGTTCGTTTCACATGGGTTGATAGCTGTTAAACCAGAGTTTGGTCGATTATGAAAATGCAATCAAAAACGAAATGCAAATAAAGATTTTTCGAACTTCTCGATGATTCACTTCATAAGAATAAACGTCATGGAAGTCGTTAACCTTTGTAATGATTTGTCTTTATGAATGCATGTGGATACAAATTCCATGTGTTGACTTGTACAGAGCAAAAGCCTAACATGCATCAAAAGTAATTCGGTGAGTTGAATAATATAGACGTTAAGTCTCAATCATCTCCATGCTTATATTCTATCCAGAATTGGAGCAATAGAAAATATATAAATAGACGATACACACCAGTCTCACAGCTCGTTCCGGTAAAACACCCTTCACAAAAGCAGATGTAGTCTGTACATGAGTTATCAAGCTTGAAGCACTGTCCATTGTTTTGGCAAGGGTTCGGCTGGCACTGATCAATAGCTAGCAGGAACAAATGAGAATATATAGAAGATACAATTTCAAGAAAGTATTGGGGATGGATGTCTTTCGAAGTGTGATACAACAATAATACCCTGGTTATCGCATAACACACCGCGAACAAGAGTGTAATCTTAGCAGTCAGGCAAAAGAACACTCAATGAGTGAATCAATCAATCAATCAATTTGAACATCCATATTGATATAAGAAGGAGAAATAGATAATGTGCTCTCTAGACACACATACATCGTTTAACAATGTTAAATCTGAGATGCATGACCCAAAGTGCTATCAGTGTCTGTGATATGGTTTAATATTGAAGCCCTAAAAAAAATGCGCTTCAAAAAGATCACGAAGTGCCTCAAAAAAGTTACCCAATCCCTTGAATGTTCAATACAGCGTAGACAATCACGGGGATGATAATAACAGAAAGAAATAGTTAATAAATGTGGTCAATTGTACTTACGAAATTCACATAATGATCCCATATGGCATGCAGGACATTGGCAGGTGAATGTATCACATCCCGTCTGTGGTGCTATACAAGCGCCTCCATTCGTACAAGGGTTTGTAGCACAAGGGTTGCGTTCTGTATTGGGGGGGGGGGGGGAGCGCAATTGCAAACAGTTGATTACGGGTATGTGAACTGAATTAAGAGCATTCTCTTATTATTTTTGCAACATGTTATATCTTTATATTTCTTTCGCAAAGATAGTGCAGACAAGCAAGACTGAAGAGCAATACAAAAACAAAGTTTCATTAAATTTTGATGAGACATGATTTACTTCTATCTATTAACCATTGATGTATTTTTTGTTTATATCTGACTTCCAAAACTGCCACCCATATGTAGAAACCTAATGTGAACTAGCATGTGGTAGTATACTATAAAACAAACAAAAATCCGTGGTACGTATATAGCACTGCTGTACAGTGTGATTTGGAAAGAGGAGATACTTACCAATTTGGCAATTCAATCCACTATGACAGGTGTCACACTGACATTGAGATTGAAGACACGTGACCTCTAGACATGTTCCGAAGGCTCCACATGGGTTAGTCGAACACGGATCAAGTCCTGTGAATCGAGACAAAGATTATGAGAGAATCATTATGTCAACATGACTTTAATCATATTCTATTAGTGCCGGAGACTCTCTTATAAGCATATTTATTTTAGTTATATCAATAAATTCTGTCATAGGAATAAATCCACAAATCAAGGTAGTTCCCCTGGGCAGTTATTTGCATTGAATTCTAAATAGCTGAAATAACAACATATTTAAGAGAACAAAATGGAATCTTTTGAAAATATTGAAGGTTTCTCTTCCAGGGTCGATTCGTTTATATAATGTCAACAACTTCTGTTTCAGTGTCGAGCAGATCTACTTTACTTTTTCATAATGATACCTTTTATATGAATGAATTTATTTAGTATAAAATGTTTTATTCTAATTAAATGTATACTGTGAACAGGAACATCAGAGCATATACCTGAACAGTTATTAATAAAATGATACTTTCGATGTAATTATGCTATGATCATTATTCCACAAAGTAGAAATAAACATTATACTTTTCCTCATGACAATTCAAATAGCATATCAATAATACGAAGGAATAGTTTCAAGTACTTAGTCTTGACTTATCAACCTTATTGGTTGATCGACTTCGTATAGACTGAACACTGACTTACTCTGCGTGCACATTGATCCTTGATAGCACGTGGGACATAGACAGGTGAAACTCAAGCAGTTGGATCCAGGGGTGACTTCGCATATTGCATTGTTCTGACATGGGTTTGGTATGCATGGATCAGAAACTAAAAGAAAAAAGAAGAAGCAAGAAAAAGAAAGATTTCATAATGTGACATGCTTTCCTGAACAGTCCCCTTTCCTTCATATAGAACAATTCCTGTTGAATCGAAGTAGACTACATGTATCTTAGATTGCACCAGGGAGCTATCAATGTTCATCACGCTAGCATTACGTTCCCTCTCTCACACATTAAAACAAACAAAAATCATGGTAAAGTAATACCTAGCTTGAATATAGACAAGAAAGTTAATACCGAACATTACATAATGAAACGTGACACATCGTAGCGTCGACAACTTTTTAAAATTCACTTTTTGACACAAATCATACTTACAGGTTTGACATCGTGACCCTGAAAAGCAGCTAGGACACTGACAAACAGAAGACAGACAATCCACAGAGGAAGAACAGGTACCTCCATTCAAACACGGTTGACTGCTACACATATCCACAGCTTGTCAAGCAAACAAATAAAAGCAAGTAAATGTTGTTCATTTAGTTTTACTTCAGGAACACATTAAATGAAATATGAATTGCAACGTCCAGCTATCTAATATTTACGACATGCCTGAGAAGAATAAAGAAATTCAATGTATCTACTATTTTGCAGCTAGTTTTACACCGATTAGATAGAAAACGAAACAGAAAACAAGGATAACAAACACAAAGTTATATAAATTGTATTTAAGAACTTTTTCTAACATACAATCAAAACCATGATTCTCGACTGTTGATGATATAATCTACATAAAAAGCATTGTGTGTACTTGAATGAGATATCTTTAGTCTTGTTTACACGATGGCAATTTTGGTCGGTGTGTAAAGTTCGTGTATAGAGCTTGTCGGCGTAAAGGTCGGCGTAGTGACGATAGTCGTGTTAGCTACGCCGACCTTTACGCCGACTAATTTACTCCTCGAGTTTTCCAGTGGTAATGCGCAAACACGACTAGAGGCCGACCGTGTGGATCCTCTCACTTCGATCGGTTTAGATGCGGAAGCTGCGTTGAAATCGACTAGTGCGGACGCCACCACTTCCGGAAGTCAGGTTGAGTAAGACCACCGGTGGAAGGTCGTCTTTACTTAATCGTGGCAACTTGGTATGAGTACGAGCGTATGGACAACTAATGGTGTAATTCAAATATTTATTGCTGCAGGAAAAACTTACGCCGACTAGGAAGCCACGTCTGAAGATGGCTTACATCAAGCTAAGTGCTTGCACATGGTAACAGATAAATAACTTACCCGTGTCACAGTTTTGTCCAGTCCAACATGATGAACATGAGCAGGTGTGAAAAGAACAGAAGTTTGAACAGATTCCACCATTTTGACAAGGATTCGTTGCACATGCATCAACAGCTAAAGGAAAAAGAGAAATTAAAATTGTTATAAAATATCTTAAATAAATCAGAGCCCAGACAATTAAAAAAAATTAAATCAACGACATAAAATATCATAGTATATTACACCAGATAGATCGGGCTACAACTAATTTATTGTAGGGGTAGATCTATTTAAAATCTACTCCTGTCAGCAAAGAAAATAACGAGAAGAAAGACAAAATTGCAAAAATATGTAGAACTCAATGAAAATGAAGCCATACGTGTTAAGCAGTCTTGTCCCGTCCAACATTGGTCACATGTACATAAGTAGGATGGGCAATTGCTCTGACATAAACCTCCATTCTGACAAGGATTACCAGACATAGCACACGTGTCAACATCTGTAATAAAACATATTATATAGATTTACGATTAAACACATATGAAACGCATCTTAATACATTAAAACAAAACAAAAATTCTTTTAAGAACTTCAACAATTATCATCAACCTTTCATTTCTATTCTTATGCTATAATGTCTTGCATAGACCCATAACAATTAATGATAAATAAGATCATCAGTGAGTAGTACAAAGTTTCAAATTGTCAAAAAAGTAACCCGTCACGTGAACTTAAATATTTATTCTTAAATCATGAGAAAACTTCAGTTTGTATAGTCTGCTACAGTACTGTGGGGCCTTTCATATGAAGTCAAGAGTAAAGCCAACTCGAAAAGGCAAACAAGAGACACTGCTTGTTTATTCCGAGTTGTCCTGGCCTTATGATTTGCATTCGATCACACGATATGCGAAAAGTTCCGGGTCGATCGAGAACGATTCTGTTCGGTATAACTCAAATAAAGTGTATGGTGTCGTCATGACTACAGACCAAGTTCACAGTTGTTCCCGGTGTGGCAGGAATCACAGAAGCAAAGTGTCGTTGAACAATCTACATTTTGAAGACAGGTTCCTCCATTTTGGCAAAAGTTTTGCGTGAGACAAAGGTCCACAGCTATGGAATAGAAGATAAAACAGTATAGAATTAGAAAATGAAGAACTGAAGATATCATTACAGGGTACATCGTTGTTTAGAAATCTTAATATGTTATAGTTTCTTAAGAGTTCTATAAATAATAACTTAAAAGTTATGAATTATGTAGCATCAATATACCCAAACTAACATAAGACAAGGCAATTACTAACATATTTCTTCCTAGTGAGTTGCCCTACTACGTACTTGCTAAGTACTTTAGCAGAAGTATAGGAATACATAAGACTGTAGGAGAGTTCATGTACCCGAATGGTGCAGAACACGAGGCTTTATCCTTCTTGTATTTAATATCAAATGATTTGTTTTTTATTGAGACACGATTTCACTCTTACCTGAATCACAGTTGGTTCCCGTCCAACAGGAATCACATTGACACAGGTAGTTAGTGCAACCAAGCTGACTACACGATCCGCCGTTTATACAGGGGTTCGGGTTACATGGCTGTGGAACTGCACAAATAAAATCAAGTGTTTAATGTTTCAGTCTCGATGTTTAAAGATCACTTGTGTACCGGACGAGATCATCTGCTTCGTATAGCTTCAAAGACACAACAACCTTTTATTTCAAACAAGTACAAACTACCTTCGAGTTCATGTTACTCATGAATAACCGTCTGATTTTTTTCTTTCTAAATTAAACTTGTTGAATATAATGTTTTTATAATGATTACGGAGCAGGAAAATGGTCAATAAACAAGGCCATGGAAAATAGAATAACATCTTTTGAAATGTGGATCTACAGAAGAATGATGAAAATATCCTGGAAACGAATGAAAACCAACAAGGAGGTATTGCACATGGCAGGGCGTAAACAAATTGCACTAGTAGGATTAGTTAAGGAGAGAAAAATCAAATACTTTGGTCATGTTAAAAGACACCAAAGCCTCTTAAAGGATGTATTGGAAGGAAGAGTGGAAGGAAGTAGACCTAGAGGGAGCCCTAGAATCAACTGGGAATAGAAAGCTGGAGTGGACTAAAACTGCAAGAGTGCACTAGAATGGCAGAAGATAGAGTGAAATGGAGAGATGTTGCAATCAACCTCCGAACCGGGAGAAGATACTTAGATAGATAGAATATAATGTACGTTTTGAGTTGATGTGTAGAAGAAAACAAAAAACTATATAAACTTTCAATGCCAATTTGAGTTACCCAAATAGATAACAACTAATCGTGATGGTCATAAATCTTACTATGGCTTAGCGGTATTGTGATATCAATCAACCAACCGCGACTTTAATAATTTTTAATTTCAGCTATGACGTTTTAATGATACCTCGCTTCAAATCTTATTTACATGTCAATAGCGTTGTTGTATACTTACCTGTATCACAGTTAGTTCCTTGGTTACACCCAGTGCACATGCAGGTATATTGATTGCAATCGACACTACTCTGTGAACATAACCCGCCTGATAACCCGCCGGATCCACAAGGGTTACTAATACATGGGTTGATAGCTAGCACAGAATGAAAGAACATTTTCCGTCAATTAATTACATAATAACATACAAATTAAAGATAAACTTGAGTTCTGGTAACTAAAAGAAAATACATTCTCACAGAATCAAACGAAATTACACTACATGTTCAAGATTACAAATAAATGTCATTTGCCGAATAATTTTGATAGAAAATATATACTGGCTGAGTAATGAGCATGGAAACATAGGGAAATCAAGGTGTACTAACCCCGACACCATTTGTGTTGTCCCATGTATATCTTTCTGTGTATAGTGCTTGTAACTTCACCATGACTGGGCCACATATTTTATCATTTTGATGATTCCAGAACATTGCAGTACACAACAATACTTATTATGCTAGATGATCACCCTTTTCTGATCGATTCCACAACGTTTCTTTTGCAATGCAATTGCATGACCAGTACTCAACTTTATCTTTAATGTTCCAACCAATCACTAAGAATAACTTTTCTGGCTTGCAAGAATGTCAAATTCGGGAATCTAATGTCAATAATAATTAATTTGAGTACGAAAGTAACACGGATTTGTTTCAATATATGAAAGCATTTTGGTGAAAAATCACAAGAATTATATTCAGTAGCCATATCATATTCTTAAAGGGCTCATATTAAATCATGGATTTCCGCCACGATAAAAGGAGTTTGTAAAGAGTTGATCATAAATGCATGCTACTCTTACCATTCTCACACTTTGTACCAGCAAAACACCCCCGGCATTGGCATACATAGGCAAGACACGAGCTACCATCTTGGAAACACTGACCACCGTTCATACACGGGAAACTACTGCAGACACTGATGGCTGAAAATTGAAATCATATGAAAATAAGATGACCAAATTGAAAGTGATAGACATCAACACTTCCTGCCTAGGCCATTTATCTTATTTTTATTAACAGAGATAACAGGAATAATATAAGATGTATTATTCTAAGCTGCTGAATATATATTTGTAGATATGCATATATTGTCATATTATTATTATATAACGGAGGATTTAACTGGCTATGTCATTCCATTTGGTGTCATGTAAAAAACAAGATACAACACAATGAACCCAGCTTCAATTAAACTAAATTTGATGCAAGGAATAACACATACTCATCTTTACTTAGACTTTATAGATATTGATAAGCATTTTGAAGGGGAAAATGGATTACCAAGATGACAAATAGTATACAAGGTATAGAGTTAAAAAATGGGAAAACTGATCATCCCCTACATGACATGAAAATGCACCTTGGAAGTAGAAAAATGGGATTGACAGCTCAAATGATTATAGAGAAAATGAAGATACTTACGTGACGTGCAAAGTACTCCAGTAAAGCATTCAGTGCAGAGACATTGAAAGTTATTGCACGATCCTGGTGTCTGGATGCAGGTACCTCCATTACCACACGGGTTGTTGTCACAAGGATTTTGTACTTAGAGGCAATGAGACAGGAAATATAGTATAGTCATCATCAATCATTCATGTAGAGATGACGTGGCAATAATTGTAAACACTGCCATGATATAGGTCTCATTCTAATAACGGAAAATCACATAAAACAGGGTGTGATGGGGTGTGAATTGGGAATCTAAGAATTCAAGATAATTTTTGTTTTATTCCTACTCTGAAGAAAAGTATAATTTGGAAGAAAATATGATCTAAGTGAAGAAACTTAATACAACTGTTATATTCACGTAAATTTCTTTTCTTTCTCAATTGAAACACATTTAGATATTGTGTGACATATTCATATAAAAAAGGTAAATACAAACGGTTTGTCATGGTGAAAGGTTTATAAAAAAAAAATTAAATTCATGTTTTGGATAATACATTATATAAATGAATAAAATTTAAAAACCTTTATGGAAATTATAAGTACATATACTCACAGGTTTGGCACTGACTACCAATATAACAACCTTGGCAATCACAGGCATATGTCAAACATGATCCAGCAACTCCATTACACGTCCCTCCATTCAAACATGGGCTAGAAGCACACGGATCTTTCGCTACAAGGAAGATAATGCAAGTAATCAAGGTTCAAAGAGAAGGAAAGCCGATTTAAGACAATTTCTATTACCAGATAAGATAAAATGACATGGGGTTATATATCAAGGTGAAGAAAGAATATGACATTTCAACTTCTTTTCATCACAATGGAGTCGACTTTTCAATATCCATCGTCGTATGCTACAAATTTGTATGTTTTAACCAGAGGAAAAACACTTACGAGGGGCAAAGGACATACCTTGTTCACAGACGGTTCCCTCGAAACATGATGTACAGGAACAGGTAAGGTCAGTGCAGGAGCCTGGAGTCTTAACACAGGATCCAGAGTTCTGACATGGATTCGGTGAGCACTGATCGATAACTGCAGAAGAATTTAAAGAGAAGGCTTCGTAAAATTCTCATAGTAGTAGGTAGACATGTTGATTTGATTTGGTATGCATATTAATACTGCACTCTTTGAGGGGTTACGTTAATTTACGGGATTAGGTTCCTTTACGATATCCTCAATGTGTGTGCGTGTCTAATTGATTTTTTTACAGACGTGTATCAATCAGATATTATTATTTACGTCTGGGGACCGACTTTTAACGTCACCATCCGAAAGATGTGATTCAGGTTCAAACCTGCGTCCTCAGCTGAATCAAACATATATATCAGACATATCAACTGCAATATTAACAAGAGTTAACTGGCATTAAAGGCTATAACTTTTATAAAGGTTTTAGCTTTAATAAACTGAATCAAATACTGCTTCTTCAATTTTTCCTCAATTTAAATGATTGAACCAAAAAGATCTAATATAACAATGCATTATGTTAATAAAATGTCATAAATGTTAGAATACATATTATTTATAACTTGCCTTGAAGACAAGTCCCGCCCTGGAAGCATCCATCACACTGACAGGTGTAGAGGCTACATTCGCTAGGATCCTGTATACATGTACCTCCATTGGCACATGGGTTTGGTGAACATGGGTTTATTCCTGTAGAACAGAACGGGGTACTTAATGAGTGTATTGACATACATGAACAAGTTATCATATGCAGTTCTATCTAGACACTGTTTATACCATCAAGTTCGATTTGGATTTCCTTACAGTCAATTTCAACTTAGGATATTTATTAGCTCGTGGGAAAGACACACTTCTCATACTTCTCATAATAAAAATCTGATTTGAAGAAAGTACATAGTTTTTTTTTGACATATTATATTCACAGTGGACGAAGCACCTTATAAACATTGCCTGTCAAGTAGTAAAGAGGGAAAACTTTTGCCATTAGGGGTTTTATTCACTCGGCCAAATATCACTAAAGTAAATACTTTAATAAATCTTCAGTTTGATGAACCAAACGAACTTCCAAATAATTTCATGGCGGAACAGTTTTTTTTTGTTAATATTTAAGATATTCTTACTTGTCATACATCTATCACCAGTCACACATGTTGGGCAGAGGCATGTCACTGACAGACAGTCTTGAGATTGAACACACGTTCCTCCATTAAAACACTGCTGAAAACCTGCACATTGATCTCTCACTGTACAGGGTAAAAGAGAACATAAGAAATGTTAGACAAATATTGAAAATAGCAGCTCCTACACCAAAATCCTAATTTTTCCAAACATGTGTGTTTTCATAGAAGTTAAGAGCTGCTCCTATGAATTCAGTTTTTGAATGAATCATTGCATATAAGGTAATATGCTCATAACAAGAACAATTGAACATCTAGGTTTTCAGTTAAACAATCTCATGGGAAATCAATTGATATAATGTTCTTCAAATGTTAGAAAGGTATTAGATAGCATGGACCGAGGCAAGTCTATAGCAGACCCTTAGTTAATTGAAATACACAAAACTATTCAAGTGCCATCCACTTCCCCTTCTGATATATACTTCGATTTTAGAGTCAAACATTTTTTAAATATCCCGCCATACTTACTGATTTCACAATGAATGCCTGTGAAGCACGATGGGCATGTACAGCTATAGATATCACAGAGTCTATTACATGTTCCTCCGTTCTGGCATGGATCACTGCTACATGAATCAGCAGCTAAGAAAAAGAGAGATTTAACGTAAATGATTTAATACATTTATAACGGAATATCTGTGTGAGATGTAAGGCATCATCTTTCACATCATTTTCGGATGACATACGTAATGCTTTTATCTTGAACCCCGAAATGTGTATTTCCACACTGATGACTGCAAGACAGAAAATTCATAATACTAATTTTCGATGTCGTTCTTCCACTCTATAAATAACAATTTAAAAAGTTAAAAATATTGAATATATTTGATATAAATAAATTACAACTAGCATCGTTTATGTTTTCTTATTCTAAACGACTATTGCCCAATAACTTTCATGACTATTTCGAATATAATCGCAACATTAATAAATATAAAACAAGAAACTCCAATAAAATGTATGTACCTTTTTATATTTTTAATTTTTCAAGAACTACAGTAAGTTTTAAAGGCCCACAGCTTTGGAATGAGTTGCCAAACGTATTAAAAGAAATATCCACTGTTTTTACATTCAGGAAAAAATATAAATGTTATCTTCTTAATTGTGAGTAGTTTTATTTGATCTAATTGCCTTTTATGAGATTTATGTAAATAATTATGTTGTGTTTTTATGAGATTATGCTATGTTATATTATCTGTTTGTTTGATTGTTTTTATTTTTTTATATTTTGTATAATGTATTTTTTTTTTTTTTTTTTTTTTTTTTTTTTGAAGGGTGGAAATATAGGGGATCAACCTTGACAGGCCAATGGCCTTTGTTGATCCCTCACATCCTCCACCCTTCATCCTTCTTTCATCAGTACAATTTAAATGAATGTTGTTGTTTTTTGTATATATTTATATGTTTTAATGTATGATTTGTTTGTATATCTTTTGATGTGTTTTTAAAGTGATGTGAAATAAATTGAATACTTGAATACTTGAAAAAAAATTATAAAAAAAAACAACAAAAAAACAATCATCTTAACTTATCTTAGTGCTTATCTTCTATCCTGATATTTGTTTCACTGTTGGACAGGGTTTACAATCCAGTGCTGTCCATTATTGCATACAACCCGTTATCAGGATCATTCAAATTCAATTCAAATTCAAAGTTTATTCAACACTCTTTATAAAAACATTTAAAACATACAAATACAGAATGGAATAATAAAACACAAGAAAGTGATTATAACAAATTACAATGGCAATTTATAAGAACAGCAATGCATTGATTTATGTTCAAAACATTGGAATTACATGCAAAATATGAACTCTTGCATAAAGCATGCTCACAGTACCTATTTCACAGTTTTCTCCATTCCAGCACTGGTCGCAGATACATGAATACGAGGGGCAACCATTCATGCAGAATCCACCATTCTGACATGGATTAGATGCACAGAAGTTAATAGCTAGGGAAAACAAAAATAAAGTAAAACAATTATGCAGCATATGATTTGATCCTGCTTCATAGTAGATATGTTTCAATTGTCATCACCAATGCCTTGCTGAAAGGGATATCAACAACATATCGACAGCACCCCCCATTCGAAATCGTCCTGAAATGCCCATGAACAATAATACAAAAATATAATGTTATTCCATTTTTCGTTTGACTACCATTCTATCGTCGGATATAGCATCATCCCCATCATATGTCTATATTGCCATTGATGAGATTTAAATATCACTTGCTTTTCCCCACCCCCGACAGTATTACCATGGTTACCTGTTTCACAGAGTTCTCCCGTATGACAGGGGCCACAGGTACACTGAATCCCACTGCAGTCTGCTCTCTGTAGGCAACTTGCTCCGTTCTGGCAAGTGTTAGCCGTCGTACAGAGGTCAACATCTGTATGAATGAGAGAAAAAATTATATTCCATTGATTGCCATCATCCAATAATGTAGTATAGCGTAAAATATTAAACTGATAAAAGTGGTCTAGGTTTCACAGTGGCCGTTGAGTCTTGTAACCCGTCGAGACTTTGAAGATGCATCTTACAGAAATCATAACTTCTAGAATGGTAGCAATTATGTCGTCAACATCCATATTACTGACATTCCAAGATCGGCCTCGACTTATCTACGAGTCTCTCTGTTACGAAGCCCAAATGACGATGACGAAATATTCAATGAGCCAGTTCACGGTTGCAGTCTGAGCATGAGCAGACACAGGTCATTGCAAAACAAATTGTGAAATACAAAGAGACAAGATACTTGATATGTTCTCATGAAAGTTATATAATCGTTATTCGTTCATGCACAAGCAGTGCACTCAATGGTACACAGATGGAAGTATACTTTGAAAATGGAAACCAAAGGCTTTTTTTGCAGCACCTCCATCGCTGTAGGAGTGATTATTTCAAAATGTACAAAGTGGCACCTCTTCATGTTTTAAAGATCTGTGGGTATTTGGGACATGTGCTAACTGTGAACTGGTTTGTTTTTTTGTTTATTTTATTTTAGCACGGTGGCATACTTCAGCCAATGGCTGTTCTTCAGCATTGCCGAGCATATAAAAAGCAATCAAAATTTTATAAAGAAACATACATTATAGATGAACATGATTTACTTAAAAAGTTATATCAAACATACACATATATATAAACAAATAGGTTAGAAGGCGAGAAATCCAAACAAGCCCTAATTTAGAAAAGAATACGAACAGAAAAAAAAAATATATATAAAAGAATATATTTACAACAAAAAGAAGAAAAACAAATCAGTTGTTTTTGTTTCCTATTAAAAGTCAAACATGATATTACAAATATTATAAACTGCTTTTGAAAGTAAAGTTGGTTTATATTTAGTTTCTACCGGCAATTTATTCCATCGTTTTGATCTATTGTCTTACCTGTTTGACATTCTTGCCCCACAAAGCAGCTGGGACAGTTACATGTGTATTGCTGACAGTTTCCAGGGACTGGCTGACATGCACCACCAGCTTCACAGGGGTTTGGTGAACACGGATCAAGCTCTAGTATGTGAGAGATACTTCAAATTTAGTGATGAGCAAATCGATGAAGTCATCATGATATTCTTGTCAATGAATACGCGCTTGAAATTATTCAGATCTTGCTTTCGCAAAGCCATCTTATACAGGGCGTCCCAGAAAAAAACGAAACCGAGAATTATCGATATTTTATCATAACTTAATCTTAATTATGATTAATAAATGACACATATTTGTCAAGCTTAGATCCTCCTCTTTCGTTAGTTAATCTCTGCAATGTTTACACATGTAAATTCATTCGTGAACCACTGTTCTTGTGGATATATATGTGTATTCTTTTCGTAGCTCTTTTGATCAGCATATAGAATAGCAACATAGTTTTCCGGGAGAATTAAGTGAAATATTTTCATATAGAATGAAAAAAATCTGATAGCTCAGAACAGACGGGAATCCAAACACGGACAATGCTAAAAGTGTTTTACGTATTACTGTGATGAATCAATCACAAGGATTAATTATGCAATATTATTTTTCTTATAGATTAATCATCATGCATCCTTAATGAGATGCGAGTCAATATAAGCCACCTCACCTGTCTCACATGTATCTCCGACAAAACATCCAGAGCACAGACATATGAATTCATTGCATGAGCTAGCTGATACGAAGCAGATACCGTTCAAACACGGCTGCCCCTCACAGGGATTTACACCTAAAAGTTAACAGAATTTAATAAAAAGTTAGAAAAATGCTTCGAAACATTAGGAATAGAAAAAGGTAAATTTATGAATTTGTTTATTATATATAACAAAATTAAAAGAGTGAATAGAATTCATGAACAATACAAAAAATACCGTCAATATGTTTACATTTATATTACGCTTAGCTAACATCAACACAATTAAGAAGTAAGATGAAATCACAATATATGGTATCACAATAATATAAAATAATAATAATAATAACATAAATCACAATAATATGGACGACACAAGAATAATAGGTTAAAAAACACAAGATATTTTACAACATATCTACTGGTGTGACATATATAAGCCTGTGCTGGAAATTTAAGGGCCTAAAAACCGTTTGATAACTGGAGAAAGTATCATTTAAAGAGTAATATTCGTCACAGGATACTTACTCATTCCACAATTATCTCCCTGAAAGCAATCTGTACATTGACACTGACGAGTGAAGCAGTCTAACGCCGTACAGGCAGCACCGTTCAGACAGGCAAGCGATTGACAGGGATCCAACACTGAAACAATGCAAATATAAATCAAGTGTAGTGTATATATTACGAAAACCTTACAGGACAGATACAGGACACCCAGGAGGACAAACAAGCGCTTGATTCAACCGATATGCTCCTTGGAGATAATGCTTTTGGAACAGAGATTCGGTCTTTGGCACACAATGTTAGGTCAAAGGATATAGAGCAGGATTTAATGCTTGGGAAGGTGCACGGTAACAAATAGAAGAGCAGGGAAAAGGATGAGATAGATAAAGAAGGTGGGCCCAAAGAAACAGACACATCCCTAACTTTGACGAGACAAAATAATCGGGAGAACATTTGTCTATGGTGTCACCAAAAGTTGGAGAAAACTTGATTGTACAACAATACTAGTGTACCTACAGGAATTTTGTTGTGAATTTGGCTGCCTGAGGGCATGAGTTATAAGGCTAGCATTCATGTGCATGTAATACATTATTTTCAGCGGCCTTTCACTTCTTACCCTTATACGTACACAGGTCCAGCTCTTCATCTCAATCATGTTATGAAGGTAACAACTGATGTAAAACTTACTACTTGAAAATTTAAAAAAAATGCATGTATAGGCACACTTCGCGGTATTGCTTTCCAATGAAAAAAGTGCTAGGAATGTAAAAATAATTTTTAAAAAAGAATACCGCTAGAAGAAAAACCAATGGAAAAAGCATTCATTGTCTTTTAGTTTTCTTGGTTCTTACAGGGAACGTTTAATTTGTAAACAGAAATGTGAACATAGAAATAGAAAAACCAATGGAAAAAGCATTCATTGTCTTTTAGTTTTCTTGGTTCTTACAGGGAACGTTTAATTTGTAAACAGAAAATGAAAAAGAGAAATGTGAACATAGAAATATATGGGGCATTCATGTTTTTCACAGATTATATGTCATAATAGTGTGAGTTTGGAACCGTTTTAAGAGCTACCAATGTAGGCCTACTCATTTAAGAACGTAATAACTCGTTAATCCTCCCAGCATACACCGCACGAAGTCTCGCAAGTATACTTTATCTATGAATGTGTATATAGGAAAAGCTGTAACTTACATGTTTGACAGAACTGTCCAGTATAGCATCCTGTACAGCTACATGTATACTGATCACATGACCCAGCAGTGGGTACGCACAGAGCTCCATTCAAACACAAGTTATTCTCACATGGTTCTATTACTGTATGGATGATAAATATACGGAGTAACGTTAAAAAAAATTCAATGGAGTGACAAAGAATACAAAGTTACAAAGATATATAAGAGATCCTTTCTAGCGTATGTACCATAATTATATATATTATAAATCGAAACAACACACAATATATTAAAACAAAAAGTTCTAAACAGAATACGAGTAGTGTATTCTTGATTAAAACCATACATATATTTTACTTTATAGGGTGTGATATCGTGGCAGAATTTACACAAATAAGTTAAAATCTAACCATTCTAGCTTCTTTAAAATCAAAATAACAAAGCAAACTAAACATGAACGTTAATGTATCATACGACAAAGTATAATAACTTTCCGATTTTCCAGTGTTTTCCAATTGAGAAAGATGAAGCTGTAAATTGGTTTTTGCATCGCATATTCATACTTTCTGTCGATATATTTGTTCATGTTTCTAGTAAGACCTACCCTGTTCACAGAATTGTCCTCTAAAGCATCCTTGACACTGGCATGAGTAGTCGACACATGAGCCTGGTACGGCTTCACATACAGCACTATTCTGACATTGGTTCGTCTCACAGGCATCAATGACTGTAAGGAATTAAAGGAACAAAAGCGACGACATCAGGGGCGCCGGAAGCAATTTGGGATTGAGGGGGGGGGGGGGCTCACCTTCCAGGGGCAATGGCGTCATGAGCAAAAACATTTGGGGGCAGAAGAAAAATTTGCATCACCACCACTCTTACATGTTACATGCAGGCCCCACGGAACGTTTTTTTTTCAAAGTGGAGTATTAGCGATTAGATTAGAGTTTAGCGAGCGAAGCAAGTGGAGCGTGAATTGGCGTGGGGTCCAGGGCTTTGAACCGGCGGGAGTCAAGGGGCTAAGCCCCCGGAAGCTCATGGTTTTTAGGCATTAAATTACGGTCAGATAAGCATATTTAAATACCTTATTTGTGTCACTGGCAGGTCACTAATTGTGGGAGGTCCAGGGGGGCAGAGCCCCCGGAAGCTCAGAGGTTTTGGGTATTTAATTAAGGACATATGAGCATCCAGGGGGCCGCCTTAGAACAAATACAGGAAAATCATGTCATTTCAGCAACATTTAAAAATCACTGGTATCGAATTAGAAATAACCCCCCCCCCCCCTCCACCCCCACCCGCCCATTAGTACGCCAGTGTTCAGGGGCTCATGTCTTCTCACCTCTATAATACAAAAAAAGACACACACACTATCCCGTCCTCTTACAATATTTTCACGATATGCGCGAATCGCATTTATTATAAAAAAACCTCCATTGATAAATGAAGGGGCATGCGGAATGTATACGAAATTTAATTCCTGTTAACTTTCGTTTTCTTTAAATGGAATATAATGTATATGTGATTCAATTCAGGTTTTGATCTTTTTTATGTTTTTTTTGGTTAAAAAATTCAAACCATCGTTTTGCCCCCTAGTTTTTTGGTTGTGGGGAGGGGGGGGGGGTAAGTGCCCCCCCCTCACTTCCGGCGCCTATGTATGACATGCAAAGCGACATAGTAAACTAAACAGCTTCCAATTACATTCTGCATTAATTCAAATATACAGACTATTGAAGCACTGAAAGTTAAGAAGCAAGTCTCAACTTTAAAACTCCCACGATTAAAATCACATTGCAAAAATAAACGAATCCTAAGTGCTACAATATTTTATTGATAGATGCCCAAGTATTCTGATATCAATATATTGCAGTTGGTTTTAATTAAATATATTAAACAGATTGTCCAATAAAGATTGGATGAAAAATGAGTCCAGTGTCTGATGCTGGATATTTGGTACTCACATTGTTCACAATTCTGGCCTCTGTAGCAATCCGTGCACGAACATTGATGTTGAGTACATGATCCGGTCATAGCCGAGCACGAACCGCCGTTAAAGCATGGTCGACTGGCACATGGCATAAGTACTGCAAAGTAAAGGGAAAAGTGGGCAGTCATCATAATACGTGTGTGGTAAGGGACTCTAAAACCGATATGTTACAGTGATACCTACTTAACATGCTATTCCAGATAACATCAACAGTTTTGTAGAACATTTTCAGGGTTTTACAATAAAGTTTTAGTGGTTAACGATCATTCAATCTTCAAGAAAGTACGAATCATCATGATGAATCACTAACTGGTCCAGAAACGACTTCCTTGCGTCAACTGCTTAAGAAATATTATAGGTCACTTTAGTTAGTACCCGCGGAATCAGTGATACATCCAAATGAGGCTAGGTGATCAAATTTATGTTTGATAAAAAGAAACTTACGCGTCTCACACAGCCTTCCAGTATAGCATCCAGGACAGTCACACGTGTAGGCAATGCAAGACCCATCGACAGGTTGACATATCCCACCGCTGCGACAAGGGTTAGGTGAACACTGGTCGGATCCTACATGTAAAGACACATCATGTTTGAGTTTAATATTGTGCCTTTCAGCAACTCCAGAGCTAATGTAATACCCTTGAATTAATCAAATGATTGAAATATTTGTGAAAAGAATCGTCATTATCGCAAAAGAATTATTGGGAAGAATCGGGAACATGAAGTCTTTCGTTCTGTTATGATTATTTACAGCACCGTTGATTTAGAGGTAGTGTATCCCTTTTGCAGCCAACATCAAATAATATAGATCTTTGCAGGAATTATAAATATGTCACGTATGTCCTATCTGTGAAATTTAAACGTTAGCAGTGTCTTAGTATTCAAATTATGCAAGGAAATTCGTTTACTTTCCCGACTTCACTGTCAAACACTACTGAGTGACTGGCTGACTTTTTTTTTGGGGGGGGGGGGGTAGTAAAAACATACATAAAATGAGCTGTAAAGGGTACATGAGCACTTTTCTACATCAATAATCCACTTCTTGTCATGGCCAAAATTAAGCTGATTGAATCTTTGCGCAGCACAAAACGTACAACCGTTCGGTACAAACCGTTCGGTACAAGGGTCTGAAATCAGACTATTTAACTAAACGTAGATCTTTGAGAAACTACCCTCTTTTATTTAATGCCCTACTGCACTACTTATAGCTACTTGCGCCCTTTATATAGCAAACAATGCCTAATCGGTGCCTGTTGGTGCCCCATGATCCTCTATTTTCTTATGTTAATTGAGGGCTGATTTGATGTGATAACCACCTGACAGTGACCTTACAGGGAGTTTTAATCCCCCTGGCCAAACTAGTGCAGACGGGCTTCAAGTAAAGGAAAGTAATGTCGATTTGGCCCTTACTTGTTTGGCATCTATCCCCGACATAGCACTGTGGACAACGACAGATGATATCTAGACATCGGGTCCCTACAGCATCGCAGGTTCCTCCATTCATACACGGATCGGGTGAACATTGGTTTAATCCTGTAAAGGTGAAGGACACATGAAAGTCATTTCGGTAATGCACTTTATTCAGACGTTGGTGTTGCATGACATATTCCATGTATTTATGATATAACAATTTTCATTAACCAAACAAAGTCAAGAATGATTAATAACGGAAACAAAATTAATAGAATCCTGCTAAAATCACATAATAACGTAAAGTGACGAGAAAAGAAGACAATACTAATTTAGGCAAAATCAAATTTCAAGTTGATTTCAATTCATATGTCAATGCTTTCTTGTTTCGTAATCAATCTGAGTCAAACAGTAAAAAACAACTATTTCAATAGATAAGCTTACTTGTCTGGCACTGGTCGCCTATATAGCATGGTTGACATTGGCATGTATAATCAGTGCATGATCCAGAGGTACGGATACAGAATCCACTGTTCTGACATGGGTTAGGACTGCATTGGTCCTGAACTGAAATAAAATATCAAAGAATAATAATAATTATACAGCAGACATATTGGATTTGAATTATCTCTGTGATAAATGGTATAGATTTTACATGGACCACAACGATAGAATTAAGGTGCAAGAACATTCTTAGTCGATATATTGTATCCCAACTTATCAATTAGTGAAATAAGGCTAACCATGATTAGGAAAGTCAACTCAAAACTTTTCGAGCCTAAAACTAAAACTAAATTAACAGTCATATAGTCATCGATTTGTGCCCCCCTCGAAAAAGTCATAAAGTGCTGACACTTTATCTTTATTGAGGATGCGTTAGGTATCACAGAGTCAGTTTGAAGTTATACTTTGATGACATAACAATCTTTTAACTTCCATCAGTAATGAAGTAAGGTTCCATGAAGCTTATCGTCTTGTTAAAACTCCTCCGTGTCATTTTCCTACTGTGTATTATCTATTAATTGTGTATATTATTTTCTATTGTATATTGTTCATGTGCTTCATGTAATACCAACACTTGAATTTCCAAACGGACCAATACAATCAATCTGAATCTGAATCTGAATTAACTTCAATAACCGTAAACCCAACATTATACCTACTCATATTAGATCTTTACCTTTAACATAAACTTAACCTACATCCAATTGGAACCCTTACCCCTATTCTTTTGAAAGAATAAAGCCCAGTGCGATTGTCGCTGAATCGACTATCGGAGCACCAGCTTATCCTAGGTGTGATGTAAAACTATTTTCAAATCAGTTGTTTACTTACATTCTTCACAGTTCTGTCCTTGGTAGCAGTCCGTACATCTACACTGATACTGATCACATCGACCAGTCAATACTGAACATGTGCCTCCAAACTCACAAGGGAAACTACTGCATGGATTGAAAACTGAGAGGGAAGAAATGGATTTTGTCGTCATCGCTTTTTTTTAATTACTTGTTTTAATTGTTTATATCTACCCGACTATACATTTTAATTTGGAACACTAACAACATGTTTATATATATATATATATATATATATATATATATATATATAAACAGATAGTATCTTACCATAAATCAAATCAAACAATTGAAATTAATATTTAAATCTCTGAGCTGCTGATCTACGAGGTCAAATATATTAAAAGGTAAAAGGCTTATTTACGATTTGTAATAATGAGCTGTTGGAAGCAAAACTTTGTAATTCTTTGGCATTTTTTAATAAAGAAGAAACCCAGGTATCCTGACCTCTCTCTCCAAGGATCTACAAGTAATTAAAATATTCGTAGATCATGATCATCAACTTACAGACTTCACAGAACGTTCCCGAGTAGCAGTCGGGACACTGGCATGTGTAGTCGACACAAGAGTTGACATTAGCTACACAGTTTCCTCCGTTCTGACATTGGTGGTTCGCACAAGCATTTTGTCCTGAAAGAGGGCAAACACAAACCAATTAAGTGATTATAACTTTTAAAAATATCGTAAAGACATATAAAAATTATATTTGTACATGTTTGTAAGCAGTTTCAACTAGTTTACTTTGAAAAATAACTGGCCTTTCATCATGATGATAACAATGTTGGGCATTCACTTTTCGTTAATCTTCTCCCTTCGAAAATAGTTAACAAATACAGGGAAATTATCAAATTGGCAACGGATGTCAGCATTATCGTATAGCTTGATTGGTGTGAAATGGCAAAACAAATTTAAATTCTTCGCTCACATGTCACAGAGGACCAGAAATGCAAGCTAAATTGGACAGAGTATACATTATTGTGGCGGTCACCATGAGTGATACATTTGGGAAATAAAAGCTTTCAATCAAAAGCAGGGAGGCCTCCCACTTCCCTGCCAAAAGTGACCACAGGAAACCATTTTACCTATTTCGCATCGTGCTCCTGTAAAGCATCCTGAGCACTGGCACTGGTAGGATGTACAAGAAGCCAGAGTTGATGAACACTGTCCGCCATTTATGCAGGGTGAGTTGTTACACGGATCCCTCCCTGCAAGTAATGTTTCACATTAAGTCATGGTAATGTACATCTCTTTTATAAATGAAGAACTGTAACACATTACACACTGTCACTTTTATAAGGCGAAATTGTCTTCTAACATCAAATGTAGTATACGACTTTAACTTACCATAGTCCCATAACATCTACATATTAGTAATAGTTATCGTTATGATTTACTGTCCAGTGCCTTTTAGGAAAACGTAAGAATAACAATAAAGACATTTTCATAATGGGAAGTGTTATCTTTAGCAATTTTCGTCCATAACTACTTTCAACAAGAAGGCATCACTACAATACACGTACATGTTTGGCAATTATCTCCAGTGTAACAGAACGGACAGGTACAAGTGAAGTCAGTGCAGGATCCAGCCATCCTGGTACAAGCACCTCCATTCGAACAAGGGTTGGGGCTACATTGGTCCACAACTATGTCAAAGTAGAATTCAAGGAAAAATAGAATTCGGTCAATGAAAAGAAATCATCTAGGAATTCTGGAATAAAAGCGAAAATCAACATGAGAATATTTTGAACTCCCGGCATCATACCAATAAGGTGTGTAACTAAAAGGCTGTTACATTACACTAGTATAATGACATTACAATCAAGTATGTGCCATTTAATGCTTTAGCAGGAGCAAAAATGTGGCACCATATTTAGATGCTCTAAACTTTCATTAAATACATGATTAAAAAATGTTCGAAAAGTTAGAAAATCACGATTAAATATTAAAGACAAGATATAATTTAATATAATATAGCCTACATTAAAGATTGTAGTTCGCCACTTCTTGTAACTGACCTGTACTTCGGGGAGTAAAGCTTTAGTAAAGGTCTCCGAGACCGACTTCAAGTAAGATCCCGTACAATATAAACACTAGGATTAATATGTCGTGACATGTACGGCGTATACCTACATGTAAGACACCTGTCGCCACTCCAGCATCCTACACAATCACACGCGTAACTAGTACAAGACACCTGCTGACACTGACCGCCATTGAAACATGGATTGTTCTGACAAGGATCCAACACTGTGAATAAAGTATAAATATGTTATGAATATTTGATAGCGTTATACATTTTATCAAACGAAAATACAGTTGTAATTAAAGTACGATAGTTTTATGTATAACACTTGAAATGTTGAAAGATACCAGGTTCTTGTTTAATCAATAACAATATATATATATTTTTAAAAAGTTTAAAACTATTGTATAACGTATGATTGATAATCTTCCATGGATATAATCGATCTAACGCATGACAATTGTAAAATGGCTCAGTGTATTTCAATGAATTTAGTGTATTTCAATGTTACTACCGTCACCCTATTCATGTATTGCCTTTGAGGAAATGGACCATTACATGTTATAAAATGAAATGTGAACTTACATGTGTTGCAAGTAGTGCCCACGTAGCATCCGGGACATTGACATTGAAATGACGTACATGATCCTTGCGATAGCTGACACATACCACCATTAGCACAAGGGTTGCCATTATCAGTACACGCGTCAATCGCTGAAATCATACAAATACATAATCACTGAAAAGTAGTTAAGCAGCGAGACAAATCTCATTATTAAGATGTTATCAAGCTTATATGTTTAACCATCGCAAAATATTCTTCAAAAGCTGTATGCTGCAAAAAAGCAGACATGGATATCAGAAAATAGTAAAGCAATAGAGGACAATAAAGTACTGATACAATATTTTTATAAAAAACTTTCGATATGTGAACGTACTCCATCACGTAATTATATGGGTATATATAGTCCAAATCGGGTATTTCCGAGCGTAATGATAACTCTCAAATTAAGAGTTTAGGGTTTGAAGATAGATACCGGTTTCGCAGAATAATCCGGTGAAGCATGGCGGACAGATACAGGCTGATACACTGCATGACGTCCCTCCTTCTCGGATACATGATCCTCCATTCAAACACGGGTTAGTATCACAGGGATCAATTGCTGAAAATAGACCACATAAAACGGAGGTTTTAACTGATTTATCGGAAGAGATTGCTAATTGAAAACTCAAAACACCCAATGGTAAAAAAAAAAAAGTTAACAGAATGCATATAGCCGAAGTGTTGGCTCAGTCAGTAGAGCGTCCGCCTCACAACCGGGAGGTCGTGGGTTCGAACCCCGGCTGCGTCATACCAAAAGGCGTTAAAAGATGGGAGTTGTAGCTACCTTGTTTGGCGTTCAACAATAAGGGATAGAGCAACGTCGATTTAGCGCTGCTCAGTGGCTGCCGGGCTCACGATCAATTGGGCAAAAAGAATTTCCGTTTCGGTTTAATAAAATTTGGAGTGGACTATTAGGCTATCATTATTATTATTATTACTATTATTATTATAAAGAAGTTGATTCTGACTAGCTAAAGAGGGCATCTCTTTGATTTATCAACTGCACTGAGCTCAGATACTAAAGATTTACAGTTCTCCTCTCTTCTTCATACTGGGAAGTACGGGATGGAAAACATTATTTAGTCTTTTGACATCCTCGTTGATTGTCTTTCTTCGTGTGGGTATCAATAATAATCTTTCCAATAATTCAATAATTAAAACAGATAACCGCTACAACATCACTTGAGGAGGCGCGATAGCTCAGTCGGTAGAGTAGTGGTCTTGTAATCCAGTGACCCGGGATCGAAACCAAGGCTATGCGCTATTGCCTTTTGGTAAGGCATTAATCCTCATTACCAGGTCCCTCGGAGATGACCTAAAGCCGTCGGCCGTCTTACTGCTTACTAACAATACAAGCATTTATGCTTTCTTAGCAGTCAGGTAAAATAACCACCACCAATACATAATTAGGGCCTACGGTAGAACACATCAAGTCACGTGAAGAATCTCTACATGTTTACTTACATGTTTGGCATGTATCTCCTTGGAAGCATCCTTGACAGCTACACGTGTATTGAGTGCATGAATCTTGTACAAGCTCACATACACCACCATTTAAACATGGAGCAGCTTGACACGCATGAACCTCTGAAAAATCATCAATTTAAAAAACAAACAAAAATAGTAACTCTAAGGCAACCTCATTATGCCATTAAAGAGTTATGTATACGCCCCTTTTTGCCTGACTTTGTAGCTACATGTATGTCGAATAAAAATCTATGTTTAATAAATAACACATGCTACTTTCTATTACGGTAATTGAGCATAGTCAATGTCATCTTCATGCTTGAAACCTAGCAATTTCCTCTGTTCGAAAGCTTTTGGCTACACCAACGACACACGACGTGAACAAAAAGATGGGGTCCCCCATAATGGGAATTAGACCGCCTAAAGAATCTAGAAGGAACTGGGGAAACGTCGCCGAGCAGTGTAAGTTCTACCAGTTTTCGATGTATACCATCACTGATAATGACACCACATGAAAGAGTTCGGTTTGTAACATCGAAAAAAACTTTAAATGATCTGAACGAGCATTCATACCTGTAAGGCAATTTCTGTCCGTATAACAGCCTGCACATTGACAAGTAAAATCGGCACATGATGCTCCATTGCTACTACATGTACCTCCGTTGAAACAAGGGTTTGGATCGCACTGGGTAATTGCTGGTGGAGAATGAAAAGAGGAAAAGAGGGGGAAAAATATTAAGGTGTGATAACTTATTCAAAGACAGGTCGAAAGTGAATACATTCTGGTGCACATATGGTATTAAAAAATTGGTTAGTATCTGCATCCCGATTCCCTTCACTATGAGCTGACTTTTAAGATTAATTTATAACTATTATTCTCCGGCTATTAGTGGAACGCCGGGCTAGAACAGAAAAAAGATATCAGGATGGAGGAAGAGAGAGAGAGGGGAGAAAGAAAGACAAAAATGAGACTTGAACACAACTCCATTCCAGACTCAATCCATCGCTCTGTCACTCCATTCGTTTTGTAGGCCCCTCCCCATAACCAAACTCACTACTCTAGTGGTTGAAACTTCTTCCCATTTTACTGCCTGTGAAAGAAGATATCCCTGTCTAGATACTGATATAAAACAATGATATACACGACGGTATTAAACGAGACATGGTTGAACCAACATAGACTGATAGAAACAAGTTTAATGAGATTGAATTACCTATTTCACAGTTGGATCCTATGAAGCAGCCTTCACATTGGCATGTATACCCTTGACACGATCCAGCTAGAGCTACACACATTCCTCCATTCGAGCAGGGGCTTGTGCTGCACTGGTCAATAACTAGTACAAATTCAATACAACGAAAGTTAAACGTCAATTACCAAGAATTTCATCATCTATTTTGATACGAAAATCAATTTACATGTACAATTTGTATTTAAGTTTTAAAAGACATAATATGTTCTTATTGTTATTAAAATGCAACGAAATGACACATTTGTTCATGTTAAAAATGTCTGTTAAAGATAATACCAAATTTTGGTAATATTTCAACAGGATTGGATTATGAAATGTAAAATTTGCATTATCATTGTGAAACCTAATGTTAGAATAAGCAACTTTTAAACAATGGCTCTAAAACGCTAAGGATTTCCAGAAAATATCAAATTTATTTGTGCTTCCGATACATTGCAAATAGCGCCTATTGCCATACAATGGTAGCTGCGACCATGGAAATCTCGGAATATGCTATATAATCTCCAAACGGAAAAAGAAAATCGGTCGATTTTATTCAAAAAATATTGTTTTGAAGCTAAAGTAATATCAATCTTGAGAGGGAGCTATACAACAGAAAGAGTTTATTATTCACAATTTCATCACTTTAGACTAGATTTCAAACGCGACAATGATAAATGAATATTGTAAAATTGCATATGCTTCCAATATGTTCACTTTAACCAAATTCATGACCCAATACCAAAACTTTGAATTACCTTTGTAATTTTGCGATATGTAAAAACTTGACAAAAATATAGCAAATATCACAACTCAATATACTCTAAGTGCTTCAGTTGAACTTACAGTTTTCACAGTTGGTTCCGTTAAAGCACCCAACACATGCACACTCATAATCGGTGCACGATAGTGAACGACAGAGGGCTCCATTCTGGCACACGGTCGGCTCGCACGGATTCATAACTGCAGAAATTAGAAATTTATTTATAACAAATGACAAAGAACAGAAGTATTTTAATTCGTGTCAAATGGCAACTTGTGATTTAAATCAACTTCCACAATTAAAAGCATTCTGAGATAAACAGTTGGATTCATCCTATTCAGGGTTTAGGCATAAGTCCAAGACTCATTTTTGGGGGTGTCTCTTCAATATCTCTTAATGTAAATTAAAATTTCGTCCTCGAACAAATATACATGCCCTAGTACTTTCGTCGATGATCGTTTACAGATTATCACAAAGAGAAACTGTGTTTCATCTTTATCACTTTCCTTGTTTTTAATTTAAGAAAATGTTTTGTTATTCTGCAGGTGAACACTGACTATTAAAACCAATACAGCTTTTAAAAATTAATGTCAAGCATTTTTATAAAAATAGTGTTGGCTTATATTGTTATAAGTTGTTATGTTTGAAAAATTGAACAAAGAAGATGTTAGACGGAGTAGATAAGACTTACGATCTGAGCAGGTTGGTCCAGTGAAGCATCCTTGACACTGGCATGTAAAGCTATTACATTCTCCAGCCACCAAGCTACAGACACCACCAAACTGACATGGGAAACTCTGACATGGATCAATAGCTAGATAAACACAGATATTAGAAATGTATAATGCCGGTATTACAGCGAAATAGCACGTTTGATAAATATTTAACGACCTTTACCTTGGAGGAGCTCCAAGTATTCTAATAAATGTGAAAATGGTTACATATTCTAGTTCATTGTTGATCCCTAATGAGGATAATTATTACTGTATGATGATAAAATCCTAAATTGAATAAAGATTTGTTTTTCAAAATCAGGGAGGTGGTGAAAATTCCCTTTCCTGGTTCATTTTGCTGGTTCAATATTAACTTAAACAACCATTTTCTTCGATTAGCTTTGAAGGCTTTACAAGGAAATCATAGGTCATGATATATGTCTTGTCGGAAAAATGTATTACTCCTAAAATTAGAGTTACGTGAATGAGAAAATGAATGTGAGATGGCTATGCAGTCCATATCAATAAAGTTTAAAAAATCTGTTTAAAGCGCAGAGTAAACTAATTCTGCATGAATACTAGGCCTATAATGGTAATCACGGAGTAATAATTTAAAAAATGACTGTCTACCGATAATGCTAGAAGCATTATTGTACATTTATGAATTTAATTTGTATGGATCCATGTTGTTAAGCTGACTTACGTAAGTGGCAGAATTGTCCTTCAAAGCACCCCTGGCATTCACATGTATACTGGAAACACGATCCTGGTACTGGGACACAGGTCGCTAGATTCTGACAGGCGTGGTTATTACATGGATCTTGCACTGAAGGAAGGAGAAAAAAGAGGTTCGTATTCGACTCAAATTTAAAAAAAAACATGAGCTATCTCGATGATTTTATTCACCATTTATCAGATAAATTGTTTGATATATTTCATGTTTTACTGTTGATACCTTGTTACTTGGCACTCAATCAGCAGTACGAGTATTCACCACAAGTGGTTTTTCAGCAGATTTTTAGAAGAATTATGTTATGCTTCTTTTTCGCTTCATTGATCATACGTAGAAAATGATCTGTAAAATTATTGCAAAATGGACATTACTTAAAGTAAGATTTACTTTAAAAGTTAGGAATCACAAAAGATACAACGTTAAATTGTAAATTGGTAACGAATTCAGATTTTTCTTAGAAAGAGAAAGATAAGTGCATTAAATATGTATGGTATTAATGCGAATGATAAATGTACTCACATAGTTCACAGTTAGGCCCAGTGTAACATCCGGGGCATTGACACGTAGCTACAGAGCATGATAATGGTTGACATGTACCGCCATTCAAACATGTCAGGGTGGAGCAAGCATCAGATACTAATTGAGGAAAAATATATTTATCACAAGTAACAATTATGATATGATGGCAGTACCTTTCATACAATTTATAGGCCTACACAATATTACGAAGTCCATGACATCCTTGTAGAATTATTTCACATTCGAACATACGAATGCATAATCCAGCAATCTTGGGAGCATTTTATGAATGCAAAAATAATAGAGAGCAGACGAATACTTGAGAAGTAGGTAAATTCCGATAAATCATATAAAACTGTAATCTCCAATGATTGAACCAAATTTATTGTATAACACTAGGATACAACTTGGCGTTTAGTGCGCGTATGGGGATATACCATCATCTTGAACTGAATTAAAGTATCTATATTACTAATACCACTAATCGCCGCTGGGGGTCAAAACGGGTACAAAACGGTTCCTCAAAAACGTCTTTCCCCGACCCCGCCCGCCTCCGCCGTGGCGCGGGGAGGGCGGCACAATTCCACGAGGCCTGTCTCCCGTAACCCGCGTGCCACGTCGACCCCGCGATCGACGTCCACGCCGTTAAACGCGGTTTCGGGGTGCCGGGGAGGACGGGCGGACGAGAGCACGGCGGGCGTCGTGGATTGCGAGGAGGCGACGAACCCGCGAGAGCGAGTCCGCAAGGCGTGCACCCGCCCTCTGTCTAATTATCAAAGAGAGACGAAGAGACACACGATGGACGAGAATCCACTCGCGTCAACGGGTGTAGCAAGTCTTATTGAAAAAGCTGCGGCGTATCCCGAGTAAGACCTCTTGCTATAGGGTTCGCTTTGTAGCATGTAAGAGAAATACACATCAACAGACGACTCACCCGGGTGAGGGGATGTAGCCAATATGTATCCTCAACGGGTTGAGCGAACCCGTGCTATGCGTCTTTCTATAGGATATGCTTTGTAGGCCAGGCGCCCACATGCACAGTGTACGTGTATTACACGCTCTCAGGTCACACACATGCACACACCACAGTCGATTCGAGTCGAGGCGATTGCGACAACTGGCGCGAACCATGGACCTATTTTCACGTAAAATCTTTACTCTGAAAATAATTATACAAATTCTGTGATCTATGCCAACATAATCATAGTCCAAGCTTCTGTTTTATTGGTCTTTTTATGAAAACTACATCGAAATCACAACAAGAATGGCGCAAATAGATATGTGATAGTACGCCTTCACGTGACTGACAGTTCAGTTGCAAACTGCCTGAGTCCACACAGTGTATTGCCACCGCAGCTGAGCGCTGCTGTCGGCGGTGCTGTCGGAGCGCCTGAGTGTGTGAGCGGATACCGGAGTAGCCAGGCCTGCCGTGGTGTGAGGAGAGTCTAAACAACACTTTGAAATTGCTATTATTGCCCCGATTTCAATATACATGTAGTTTCGTGAATAGATGTATGAAACCCGGGCTTGGATTGTGATTATTCTGGCCATGTATAATTGTATACTAATTTTCGATAATCATTTTTCAAAGTAGAGTTTTCACAAGAAAATCAGACGGTCGTCATGGTCGTTTAAAAACATGATAATACTTTTAGTATGATACAGTTCTTGCATCAAATCAATTTTTAAAGTATGGGGGGGGGGGTCAGGTAACTCGAAGCGATTTGAGTGCAGGCGTGGTGTCCACGGGTACAAAGGGCTGAACCCCCGAAAGCTCAGGGGTTTTAGGCATTTAATTACGGTCAGATGAGCATATTTTTAATGCCTTATTTGTGGCACTGGCAGGTCGATCACTAATTGGCGTGGGGTCCATAGTAGAGTTGCGTACCAACTACGCTGAGCTGAGAGTACGCTGGCCTACGTTACTATACCCTGAGGGACGCAAACAAATACGCAAGATGGACGCAAACAATTTAATATGTTTAACACAATTCGCGTACTTTCGGTTTAGAAACTTGACACAGAAAGTACGCCTTTTTTTTACGTAACTACGCTACTAAACTAAACAAGCTGCATCTTTAAATAAATTAATGAAAAATTAGCCCAAGAAAAATGAGCCCCCGAAAGATTAAAAAAAGTAGCCCCCAAAAATGTTCCCAAAATTTGATAAAGATCGAGTCCCCGAAAAAAAAAAACCTTTCACTGGATTCTACGCTCACAGTCCCACACACAGTCGAGTCAATTTGTGCACAAACCGTCCGATTTTTTGTGTAAAATCTTTACTTTGAAAATAATTATACACATTTTGTGAACAATGCCAACATAATCATAATCCAAGTCTCTGCATATGTAGTCTTTTCATGAAACTACATTGAAATCACAACAATAATAATGCAAATAAATAGTAATTATCGAGATCCTATCTGACATAGTTTGTTTTACGATGCGCCATTCATGGTCAAACAGCATATATTATACAAATTCTCTATATAAAGATAATCTAATTTTTTTTTGGATAGCACATAGGCCTCTATCTATCTATCTATTTGGCCCCCTCCCCTAGAATCCCGTGGATTTTCCACGGGTCCTGCTAGTCTATATTACTAATACGCAAAATCGCCGCGGGGGGTCCAAACGGGTACAAAACGGTTCCTCAAAAACGTCTTTCCCCGACCCCGCCCGCCTCCGCCGTGGCGCGGGGAGGGCGGCACAATTCCACGAGGCCTGTCTCCCGTAACCCGCGTGCCACGTCGACCCCGCGATCGACGTCCACGCCGTTAAACGCGGTTTCGGGGTGCCGGGGAGGACGGGCGGGCGAGAGCACGGCGGGCGGCGTGGATTGCGAGGAGGCGACGAACCCGAGGCGACGAACCCGCGAGAGCGAGTCGACAAGGCGTGCACCCGCCCTCTGTCTAATTGTCAAAGAGAGACGAAGAGACACACGATGGACGAGAATCCACTCGCGTCAACGGGTGTAGCAAGTCTCATTGTAAAGGCTGCGGCATATCCCGAGTAAGGCCTCTTGCTATAGGATTTGCTTTGTAGCATGCAAGAGAAATACACATTAACAGACGACTCACCCGGGTGATGGGATGTAGCCAATATGTACGCTCAACGGGTTGAGCTTACCCGTGTTATGCGTCTTTCTATAGGATATGCTGTGTAGGCCAGGCGCCCATAGTGTACACTCTCTCAGGTCACACACATGCACACAGTGGATTCGAGTCGAGACGATTGCTACAACTGGCGCGAACCATAGACCTTTTTTCACGTAAAATCTTTACTCTGAAAATAATTATACAAATTCTGTGATCTATGCCAACATAATCATAGTCCAAGCTTCTGTTTTATTGGTCTTTTCATGAAAACTACATCGAAATCACAACAAGAATAGCGCAAATAGATCTGTGATCGTACGCCTTCACGTGACTGACAGTTCAGTTGCAAACTGCCTTGAGTCCACAGTGTATTGCCACCGCAGCTGAGCGCTGCTGTCGGCGGTGCTGTCGGAGCTGAGTGTGTGAGCATGTAGGAGCGGTGACCGGAGTAGCCAGGCCTGTCCGTGGTGTGAGGAGAGTCTAAACAACACTTTGAAATTGCTATTATTGCCCCGATTTCAATATATAGTTTCGTGAATAGATGTATGAAACCTGGGCTTAGATTGTGATTATTCTGGCCATGTATAGTTGTAAACTGAATTTCGATAATCATTTTTCAAAGTAAAGTTTTCACAAGCAAAGTAAAGTTTTCACAAGAAAATCAGACGGTCGTCATAGTCGTTTAAAAACATGATAATACTTTTAGTATGATACAGTTCTTGCATCAAATCAATTTTTAAAGTATGGGGGGGGGGGTCAGGTAACTCAAAGCGATTTGAGTGAAGGCGTGGTGTCCACGGGTACAAAGGGCTGAACCCCCGAAAGCTCAGGGGTTTTAGGCATTTAATTACGGTCAGATATCGATGAGCATATTTTTAATACCTTATTTGTGACACTGGCAGGTCGATCACTAATTTTTGGCGTGGGGTCCATAGTAGAGTTGCGTACCAACTACGCTGAGCTGAGAGTACGCTGGCCTACGTTACTATACCCTGAGGGACGCAAAAAAGTACGCAAGATGGACGCAAACAATTTAATATGTTTAACAAAATTTGCGCACTTTCGGCGTAGAAACTTGACGCAGAAAGTACGCCTTTTTTTTACGTAACACTACGCTACTAAACTAAACAAACTGCATCTTTAGATGAATTAATGAAAAATTAGCCCAAGAATAATGAGCCCCCGAAAGATAAAAAAGTAGCCCCCAAAAATTTTCCCAAAATTTGATATAGATCGAGTCCCCGAAAAAAAAAAATCTTTCACTGGATTCTACGCTCACAGTCCCACACACAGTCGAGTCAATTTGAGCACAAACCGTCCGATTTTTCGCGTAAAATCTTTAATTTGAAAATAATTATACACATTTTGTGAACAATGCCAACATAATCATAATCCAAGCCTCTGCATATGTAGTCTTTTCATGAAACTACATTGATACAATAATAATGCAAATAAATAGTAATTATCTAGATCCTATCTGACATAGTTTGTTTTACGATGCGCCATTCATGGTCGAACAGCATATATTATAAAAATTCTCTATATAAAGATAATCTAAAATTTTTTGGATAGCACATAGGCCTCTATCTTTCTATCTATTTGGCCCCCTCCCCTAGAATCCCGTGGATTTTCCACGGGTCCTGCTAGTCTATATTATTAATACGCAAAATCGCCGCGGGGGGTCCAAACGGGTACAAAACGGTTCCTCAAAAACGTCTTTCCCCGACCGTGCTTGCCTCCGCCGTGGCGCCGTGGCGCGGGAACGGCGGCACAATTCCACGAGGCCTGTCTCCCGTAACCCGCGTGCCACGTCGACCCCGCGATCGACGTCCACGCCGTTAAACGCGGTTTCGGGGTGCCGGGGAGGACGGGCGGGCGAGAGCACGGCGGGCGTCGTGGATTGCCAGGAGGCGACGAACCCTCGAGAGCGAGTAGGCAAGGCGTGCACCCGCCCTCTGTCTAATTATCAAAGAGAGACGAAGAGACACACGATGGACGGGAATCCACTCGCATCAACGGGTGTAGCAAGTCTCATTCTAAAGGCTGCGGCATATCCCGAGTAAGACCTCTTGCTATAGGATTCGCTTTGTAGCGTGTAAGAGAAATACACATCAACAGACGACTCACCCGGGTGATGGGATGTAGCCAATATTTACGCTCTCACGGGTTGAGCTTACCCGTGTTATGCGTCTTTCTATAGGATATGCTTTGTAGGCCAGGCGCCCATAGTGTACGTGTATTACACGCTCTCAGGTCACACACATGCACACACCACAGTCGATTCGAGTCGAGGCGATTGCGACAACTGGCGCAAACCATGGACCTATTTTCACGTAAAATCTTTACTCTGAAAATAATTATACAAATTTTGTGATCTATGCCAACATAATCATAGTCCAAGCTTCTGTTTTATTGGTCTTTTCATGAAAACTACATCGAAATCACAACAAGAATAGCGCAAATAGATCTGTGATAGTACGCCTTCACGTGACAGTTCAGTTGCAAACTGCCTTGAGTCTACATGTTGCCACCGCAGCTGAGCGCTGCTGTCGGGGGTGCTGTCGGAGCTGAGTGTGTGAGCATGGAGTAGCGGTGACCGGAGTAGCCAGGTCTGTCCGTGGTGTGAGGAGAGTCTAAACAACACTTTGAAATTGCTATTATTGCCCCGATTTCAATATAGTTTCGTGAATAGATGTATGAAACCTGGGCTTGGATTGTGATTATTCTGGCCATGTATAGTTGTATACTGAATTTCGATAATCATTTTTCAAAGTAAAGTTTTCACAAGAAAATCAGACGGTCGTCATGGTCGTTTAAAAACATGATAATACTTTTAGTATGATACAGTTCTTGCATCAAATCAATTTTTAAAGTATGGGGGGGGGGGGTCATCAGGTAACTCAAAGCGATTTAAGTGCAGGCGTGGTGTCCACGGGTACAAAGGGCTGAACCCCCGAAAGCTCAGGGGTTTTAGGCATTAAATTACGTTCAGATGAGCATATTTTTAATGTCTTATTTGTGACACTGGCAGGTCGATCACTAATTGGCGTGGGGTCCATAGTAGAGTTGCGTACCAACTACGCTGAGCTGAGAGTACGCTGGCCTACGTTACTATACCCTGAGGGACGCAAAAAAGTACGCAAGATGGACGCAAACAATTTAATATGTTTAACAAAATTCGCGTACTTTCGGCGTAGAAACTTGACGCAGAAAGTACGCCTTTTTTACGTAACACTACGCTACTAAACTAAACAAACTGCATCTTTAAATGAATTAATGAAAAATTAGCCCAAGAAAAATGAGCCCCCGAAAGATAAAAAAAAAGTAGCCCCCAAAAATTTTCCCAAAATTTGATATAGAGCGAGTCCCCGAAAAAAAAAAAAATCTTTCACTGGATTCTACGCTCACAGTCCCACACACAGTCGAGTCAATTTGTGCACAAACCGTCCAATTTTTCGCGTAAAATCTTTACTTTGAAAATAATTATACACATTTTGTGAACAATGCCAACATAATCATAATCCAAGCCTCTGCATATGTAGTCTTTTCATGAAACTACATTGAAATCACAACAATAATAATGCAAATAAATAGTAATTATCGAGATCCTATCTGACATAGTTTGTTTTACGATGCGCCATTCATGGTCGAACAGCATATATTATAAAAATTCTGTATATAAAGATAATCTAATTTTTTTTTGGATAGCACATAGGCCTCTATCTATCTATCTATTTGGCCCCCTCCCCTAGAATCCCGTGGATTTTCCACGGGTCCTGCTAGTACATACTTATTTCACAGTTGTCTCCCTCGAAGCAAGATGGGCAGCGACACACGTAGTCCACGCATGACAGCCTGAGACAAACACCTCCACTATCACATGGGTTTACTGCACAAGGGTCCAGTACTACATAATGCAATAGGAAAAATGACTTAATTGAACCAGTGATTTTAAACATAGAAATTAGTTTTTATATCAGTCAAACGGAGGTATAAATATAATGTAACGCTCTAGAAATCTGATTACTAACACGTTTTTATTTACCGCATCTCATCTATCAAATTATTCAAATACATTTATAATCTGGTGCGTATTTCTTAAATGCATCGTTTAATTAATTTGAGATGCACGGCCCTGCGTGCTACCACTGTCTGTGATACGGTGTAATAACTAATATTGAAGCCCTAAAAAAATTCGCGCTTTAAAATGATCAAGAAGTGCCTCAAAAAAGTATTTAAAAAATCCCCAATAGACTGTAGTATTATGAAAACCGTTTGGCAAACGCAAAATTTGGTTTCGACTGCCAATCATAAATATCTTGATAATCAGACAGGCGATCGGCTTGTAAAGGTAATGGAGTTCCTGACTGACCTAAAGGTTTACAATTATCATTGCAGCATGAGCTAAATCCGGGACTTTGTTTCACAATCTGAGACAAAGTTACCGGATCCCTTTCATATCGTTCACATTACCATCTTTCCTTTATCTCCCGAATATATGAGCGTGTAATCTTTTGGCGTGAAACATCCCACGCATTAAGAGGGAAGAAACTGTAAGTGCGGGTCTGGATATACTTACATGTTTCACAAGTAATTCCCGTGCTGCAGCTCCGGCAATCACACGTAAACCCCGTACAGGACCCTGGCGTTGCAGTACATACTCCATTTAACTGACATGGGTTGGGATCGCAGGGATTTTGAGCTGGTAATTAATAAGAAAGAAAAGATGTATCATGGTGCAAAGGAAGAACAAAGGAATTATGAGGGTGTAAAGTTTTGCTACTCCATTTCAAGAACTTTGAGCTTTGACAAATAGGACGAAATAATGACAACGAGGACGCCGGTCCACAGAACAGCTTGCATGGAATTTGTTAATTCAGGACCAGTTTACCAACAGAATATTCGCCAGAATTTCTTTTGTAAGATACTATATTTTTTAAAGTATTGAAGACATTTTATAGCGACACAAGTTCTCATTGTATTGTAATTGCTCACTTAATACAGATATATTTTGTTTTACACAAGAAGCAAGAACTTACCATTTTCACAAAATTGTCCCTGGAAGCATCCAACACACTGACATGTAAAACCATCGCATGATCCACTAAGAGGAACGCAGGCGGCCCCGTTCATACACGGCGACGGCGAGCAAGGAGTAATAGCTAGAAATGAAACCAAAGGATATGTATATTGTAATTCTTTAACTCCTATCATTATTTTTCAATTACCAATGAATGGTTAAATTTATCATTTTTCTTAAACTTTTCTCTGCTGTAATAGGAACCTTTTACAGACACAGTCATATGTTAAATCAAAATAGGATAGATATTGCTCACATATCAACAATTAACAACAACAAAACTAAGTATTTTGATAACACCTTGAAAAAAAAAAAAGGCCAATGATATATCCTCATTTCAAATGAGAGTACGCTTTTTGGTCAACATTAAATTTCAGATATTTTATTCCAAAAGACAATCATGGAATGTATATAAAGTCAAATCACATTATGTACAGTTAAGATGTACAGGCAATATACTCACGAGTAAGACAGTTCTGTCCAGTAAAACACCCTTGACAGGTACAGCTATAGTCAGTACAGGTAACCGGAACACATGATCCCTGATTGTCGCATGGATTGTTACTGCAAGGATCCAACACTGTGCAAGGTGAACAAAGGTGTAAGACACTTTAGTTGAATTCTTATAGTATAAGTAGTAGTAGATATAGTAGATATAGTATTATCGATAAGTTATAGTATAATCATTATAATCCTGTCAATCAGGCGTTAAGAATTTTCGTTATCCATTATAATGGAAGATAGATATTTTGATGTACATCTGGTCTTGTCATGCAGGCTACCAAAAAACATTCAATAAATGTCAAATGTACAAATTAGACGGGATAACTGAAAATGTATCAAAAATATTAATATAAAATCCGTCATGTTTCAAGAAATCGATGATTTACATCATTACATCAGTCTATGGAGACTCAACTAATTACACGTTATGAAACAATGGATTGTTTAACTGTATACTTTATTAATACAAACATACGTCAACTTCTCCAACACGTTATCATAGTTAACACCGGTGGGACAGATTTCTCCCAGGACCGAAATTTACCAGAGCTTCTTCTCGTAACGTATTTCGTAGACCCTCGTTGAGCTACATGAATGTACCTGTTCTGCGCCTTCAGACGTGGAGGAGTGGGGGTGGGGGTACACTGGCACCACTATCCACTGAGAATATCACCGACTTATACGTGTGGCAATCACATCGGAAGGTTAGCCTACTTACATGTTTCGCAGTTCACTCCTGTGTTGCAATCTCGACAGATACAGCTATATTCAGTGCACACAGTAGATGAGGGAATACACAAACCATTAGCCTGACAAGGATTAGGGCTGCAGGGTGTTATACCTGGAAATCAAAACGATTAAAGTTCCATTGTATCAAAGCTTAACTTGTTAAACAGAAATATGGCAAGCTGTAGTCGAAGTCCTTCTACACATTTGGATTACACGACACAATCATGTCGACATGCTATTCCCATCGTCATAATCAGCCCTTACACTAGTTTTAACCTAAAAACCAAATTTCAATCCAGGTCCTGAACATATTTCTTAGGCAAAATGTCTAAGAAGCAAATGTCGGATCCCCATGCAGGAGAGTAACAATGTTTAAAAAAAAAGAACGATAGACTTCTTCCAAATATATGATAAGTTGTTGATTTCGTTATACTACACTGGCAGTCAAAATAATGAAAAGGGTTATTCAATATACACATTATCCATTTCAAAAAAAATATTACGTAGTCAATTAATGTGAGTGTACTTACCCTGTTGACACAGTGATCCTTCCACACATGGTGGACACTGACATGTGAACGATGTACACGAACCTTGGTTAATGATACAGGCCCCACCGTTAGCACAAGGATTGTTTAGACAAGCGTTCAAATCTAACAATCAAAAGAACAAAGTTGTATCACTCAATCAAGGTTCACTTTATGATTTAAACATTCCTTGATCCTTTATGCGACTTTGATTGAAAAACAAGCACTATGAACATGAATGACAAAGAAAGCGGACAAAATATACAGTTCCTCAGGTAGACAAAGGAACATCCCTTCACTGCTATTATGTAAAAATGTGTAGAACAGGTATCACATGCATATTCACCTTTTTACATAATAGCAGTGAAGGGATGTTCCTTTGTCTACCTGAAGAACTGTATATTTTGTCCGCTTTCTTTGTCTGTCATGTTCATAGTGAAGTAACTGTTTTTTCTGGGATTACTGTTCTTTTCTCTTATGATGCTATACTAAATGTATTCAAGACAAGCTTCAATGCATTATTAACCCGTTAACTACTGAATTCTCACATTCCCATAGGCTTTAATACAGGAGCCACCAGGTTCCAGTAGGTAATGGGTTAATCTGATAGAAAAGAATAGAACTAGAAGGGCGTTGACTGAAATTGAAATACTCATTGCTATGATATCCCATATCTCTCGTAAAGGATTGAGGTCTTCATATATGATTGTATCTAGCAATTATAGCCTTTGGACTCATTTTGTTTGAATCACTTTCTTCTTTTTATGATAAATGTCGTCATTTTCACTAGAAATTGTTCATATTGCATCGTTAATCACTCAACATAGAAACAACATTAGATCACATCAACATACCAGTGGCACAGGTTGGTCCTTGAAAGCAGGCATCGCAGCTACAGATGAAATTGAGACAGTTGTTTTGATCTTGTTGACATGTTCCTCCATTCAGACAAGGGTTGTTTGCGCATGGATCAATGGCTGATAGAAAATAAATACATTTGATAAAACCTAACAATATCTCACGTTGATAATATACAGTACCATAGAAATGATTTGAGAATAATATCATGTTTTGTGATATGGTTTGGCAAATGTTACCCCTCGCAATGTATGTAATGATTGGGTCGGGGGTCAAATAAGAGAAAGAAAACAATAACGATTGTGCCGCTGCAGTTATATAATTCACTTTCACATTATCCATTGAATGGTCTTTAGCAATGTTTAGTAGATATAAGTGTTTCGTGATTTCTTTCTTTAAAAACCACACTAGTGTTGCAGTCGATATTAGGAGAAATACTTGTTATTACATTCGTTTATGGTTATGTCTTGATTGAAACAAACACAAGACTGGTCTCACTGTATTAGCAAATTTGTTCAGTACTTACGAACATCGCAGTTCTGTCCTGTGTAGCACAAGTTGCAGAGGCAGCTGTATTGTGTGCATGGTGAGATGCTACTGATCTGACACGCACCATTAATGCAAGGATTGGGACTACAAGGACTTTGGGCTGAAAATAAGCGGAAGAGTCATTTACCAAATGTCTAAGAATTTGTTTCCAATCTCAGCCTATATAGTTATAGTCAGAGCTATATCTTTCGGCATTTCTTTCTGACCTCTCAGAAGGTATTACTCATGGATTATTTAAAACTTTTCTAAATAGCCATGTTTACTAATGTCCTTTGGCAAGACATTGATTTACATTTGCCACTCTCAACCCAGGTGATGTAAATGGGTACCTGGCAGGAATTAATTCTTTGAAATGCTAGAGCACCGTAATGGCACCACAGCTAAAGCCGGGGTAATAATCTCCAAGTCTGGAAGCGCTTTGTGATTGTAATAAGTGCTATATCAAAAGTGAGTATTATTATAATTATTATTATTACGTCATAGTATTTGGTATGTCGTTTCTCAGAAATCATGGAATGTCAAAGGCATACCTTTTTGTCAAATACCTCTTGTCTCTAGCCATCCTTATGCAATTTCGTTGGCATTATTCTTTGACGAAAACAAGGTTACCAAATTTAAGCCATATCTTCTTTACAGTCAACAATCTAATGGGAAAAAGCAGTTCAAATCTCACCTTTCTCATTTACATCTTAAACGATGTTTCCTTAATGAGAATTAAAAGTATGTTACCTTTGAAATTTAAGACATTTGTATTTAAATAGATTGAATCAAAGTCATTAATGGACTCACCAATGGTGCAACGGTCGCCGGTGAAACATCCTTGACATTGACAGGTGAAGTCTGTACAGGAACCACTGATACCAAAACATTGACCTCCATTTTGACACGGGAAACTACTACATGGATTCATCACTGGGAAAAACAAACTAAATCAATAACATTGGCATTACGTGATTCATGTTATGGGAGGCATACGGTAAATGAGATACGAAGAGTTATGTTACTGTTTCTCAAATTTCTCTGTCCTTTCTTTCTCTCTGTACTACTCTTTCTTGTGTTTTTCTTTCTTCACTTTTTATTACATTTTAATTAGGGAATGTGTCCCTGGCTCTTCGCCACTGAAATAAGACCGTCTCTTCCTGATCAACAAAATATCATTACAATCGCACAAGAAATTACCCGAGTCACACAACATGATGATCTATTTGTCCCGACGCAATGCTCTTATTGTTATTTCAGAAACAAACCCACATAGATCTCTTTTTACTGAATATGTCTAGCCATTCTCTTTGATGAACATATAACATCTTAGTCAAAGTAAAATAGATTACTTTTAAATCGATAGGGCTTATATCCATGAAATCAAAGTCAAGTTTATTACTTTCTTGAAGCAATATGTTTTTTTTAAATCGAAGTACTAATACTGATGATGTCCTTCAAAATGGAAAGAAAACAGGATGATAAGTACTTACATGAACTGCATGAAGGTCCAGTGAAACAACCCGTACACGTACATGATGTTGACGTACAATCAGGTGACATCACGCATAATCCTCCATTACTACAGAGGTTGTTCGTTTGACAAAGGTCTATTCCTAAAGATATAAAGGCACCGTAGAATGTGATAAGTTTGTTAGATGCAGTTACGTGAATCGACCCGTAAAATTAATGATGAATGAAAAACAAACACAACATTAGTAATCAAAAACTACCCTCCAAAAGCATAGAATTGTGAGGACACATGAATATATCAGAGCAATCTGCTCATCTATTGAATTCATACAAAGTGTGGTATAATCATTTTGTGTGCAAAAGATTTTTGTAGACAATTTTTTTTCCCGTTTAAAGATTAACTGAACCACCTCTTTGAGCGAAAAACGAAGTCTATCATTTCTAGCAAGTTGCAGCCGAACCTTACATGTACTAAATCTCATTTGTATCATATTCCATTCAATATCAAACATGTGTATAATCAGTGGCTGCCACATCTTCAAATGTAATCACCTGTTCCTGAACTTGAACTCATGAACACACCATACAAATATATGATATTAAATAAAAAAGACCTTGGTAGCTTTCCATGAAACCGTACAAGATCGCGGACATCCCATTGAAACGCGTGTATTACGGTTAACACTCATGTCTATGTGATGTCGGCGAACTTATGACAGTTCCGTGACACAGTGTCTTGTCTTCTTCGTGATGAAATCAAGAAACACACTTACTTTCCGAACAGGTATTTCCAAAGTAGCATGCATCACACTGACATACGAAGTCTGAGCATCCTATTCCTTGTGGTATGCAGATTCCATTGTTCTGACAAGGGTTGGGATTCTGACATTGGTTCAACCCTGATGATATTAACAAAAATACATTCAAAGATCAAAATGCTGTCATTAGCACACACGGATTAACCTTTACTGCAATAACCGATTACAAATTCACAATAGCATATCTTAAATATTATTGGGTGATTATATTTGTTTTGAAAAATTACCTACAAAATTCTGATTGGATTGGATTAAGTAAGCTATAAAGGCATCAAACAAAGTCTTTCGATTATAAGGTATTACACAGTCAATTAGATAGATGAAATATGGCCTTGGCGCTCAATGTGTTGATAAATCTGAATACAAATCGAACCGATGTTTCATTGATAATATTTACTGACAAAATGTCTACCATTGACACAATACACATTATGTATCCTTCAAAAAGGTAACAATTCATTGAAATCATCAAAAGGGTATCAAATCAATATTTAACTCGCATTCTGATATTCCCAAGATCTGTTTATCGACTGAGGAAGAACTTGACTACTTCTTAAAGTGAATTGACTTATGGACATAATTATGACATCTCCATGAATTTCAAGTATAGAGTCACAAGATCTTAATTATATTTATTGCAGGTAAAATGCGATGGTACTCACGGTTAGCACAAGTGGGCCCAGTGAAACAGGGTAGACATTCGCAGAGTGTAGCAGTGCACAGATCATTCGTATTACACGTCCCACCATTCAGACACTGGTTACTTGTAGAACACAAATTATTCCCTGTATGCGAATGAATAAATAATCGTCTTTCGTGTATATCGACGGTTTGTGATATTTATAAGATTATCTCACACATCTCACATTAGGGCTTTTATCGTAATGATCTATTTATATTGCATTGTTCCCATCAGTAGAGACTTTCAGATTTGCGTAGACTGATACGTGTGACGTCCATTCAAGGCAGTGCTTTAAAAGGACGTCGATCGTAGCAATCCTCACTGTCTTCGTGTAAATCTAAAAGTCCCTATTTACATTCTTAAACCACTGACTATTGAATTTTCTTATTCCCATAGGCATGTTCGTTCCCTAAACACGACATAAGAGCTGTATCGCTGTACAATAGGCTATTTTCGTAATGCAACCAAATTTAATGCATAAGTCTCTGTGAAGTGCCTCAATACAAATTATATCATTCACCTGATAATGATAATAGTACTTGTATTTCAATAGACAGAATCCGAACTGCATACATTAATTGATCTCGGTTGAATGAATTCTCCCGTCATTACCATGAATGTTGATTTGGAGTTGATGTGGAAAGAGTTTGGCTGTGTAACTGAGGTATTAAAGGCAAGAATTCTCCAATGTCATGATTGTATTATTCATTGAAATGATTCGAAGGTATGTCATTCTTACCTATGTCACATCTATTTCCACTGTAGCACGGAGTACAGCTACATGAGAAGGTGTTTGACTGGAAGTTTGGTGAACATATGCCTCCGTTTAAACACGGGCCCCATCCACATGGATCGGTTGCTGAAATAAAAACAATTACAAACTAATAAGATTAGCTAATGATAATATTTGCCAAGATCATACAGAAAATGAGTCCAAATCGTTCTTGCTACTCCCAACTCTCCCTATCTCTCTCTCTCTCTCTCTCTCTCTTTCTCGCTCTTTCTCTCTTTATCTCTTTCTTTCTTTCTCTCTCTTTCTTTCTTTATCTCTTTCTCTCTTTCTTTCTTTATCTCTTTCTCTCTTTCTCTCTTCTCTCTCTTTCTCTCTTTCTCTCTTTCTCTCTTTCTCTCTTTCTCTCTCTCTCTCTCTTTATCTCTATCTCTATCACCCTCTCTATATATCTTGCTCCTTCCCTTCCTCCCTTCCTTCCTAACTCTACTAGATCTGGTCTAAGTATTTTCCTTTCACTTTCATTTTGAGCAAAAAACAGTATCTTAACGAGAGAAAAAGCAAGTAGAATATATATTTCGTTCGTCTTTTTCACCCTGAGCAAACAGAATTATTCAATCATAACAAAATAGTGATGGAGTGGAGCTGGTGCACACGTATGCATCCAATGACCATTGATTGATTAAATCACTGTAACTTTCATTGTACTTTGCATGCATGAATATTGTGTTATATACATGCTTTTTGTTATCATCATAATCTTACTAGCGGTCCACTGAAGCTGCCAGCCATTGGAGGGACCCACATCATCTGTTCTGAAGAGCATCCACACCGTATCCGTGTTTAAAGTGAATGCATTTGGTGCCACACTCCCACTGAACTGGTGCAAGATGCCATCTACAAGCTGGAAGGTCGTGGGAACAGTGAGCCCAATGCCGACATAGAGCTCGTCATTGACGTCGATGCTGAATGTGGCATGGAATGAGAACCTGATTGATGTCGCGGTTTGGATGTAGAGCTGGTACATTTGGGAGTAGCCGTTGGGATATGTGTTTGGGAAACCAGGCGAGGAAAAAGATGTGAGTTGACAAGAGGACGACGGGTAGCCAAAACATCTGTTCACTCCATCGAAAGAACCTGAACAAAAACAAGCAAACTATTATTATATAGATGCATTTATGCGATATGTTAAGGTTTTAAATCCACAAACTTTAAAAGAACGGCACATATATCTTCTTGTCGCTCCGTCTAGCAGGCTAGCAGCTTTCTTTTTTCATTGAAAGTTATATCATCATTTCGATCAGGGAAAATTATGTAATTAAAACATTACAAGGGCGTTCCATCAGCATTGTTATTGATATTATTATCTCTGAGATCATTATAGTCCGTAAATCTCCAACATCACCAACACAATTGTGACCAACACCACCACCATCATTATCGTGATCACCACCAATGTAATCATCATCGTCATCGTCATCACCAGCATCATCATCATCAACATCATCATCATCATCATCATCACCATCATCATCATCATCACCACCATTATCATCATCATCACCATCATCATCACCATCATCATCATCATCATCATCACCATCGTCATCATCATCATCATCACCATCATCATCATCATCATCACCGTCATCATCATCATCATCATCGTCACCATCGTCATCATCATCATCACCATCATCATCACCATCATCATCATCATCAACATCATCATCGTGTTCATCACCACCATTATCACCACCATCATCATCATCATCATCACCATCAACATCATCATCATCGTGTTCATCACCACCATTATCATCACCCTCATCATCATCATCACCATCATCCATTGACTCACCGACTTCGAGGCAACCAAAGCCCATTCTATTGATACCAAAGCATTGGCAGGCATAGTTGGGGGTTCGTCCTGGCCTCTCAAAGCAGAATCCTAATCCACTACAGGGATTCGATACACACGCTGATTCAGAAGAGAGAAGAAAAAAAAAAGCGAAAAATAAGGTAGGAGCCAGCAATTAGCAGCCAATGGTAATGCCGATTCAATTGTTTTATTTGTACATTTAGATTTTATTAAATTGTAAATAAAAATAACATTAAACCAATGACGGTCACTGAACAAGGAAATAACAGTAAACCAGGTCCTTGAGTAGGAAAACTAAATTACGCGGGAAATTGAATGATGATTAGGATCAATGAATTGCTTGGGACTAAAATGATTGGATATGCTGTAAAGGCAAATCGAGCATGTCCTTAAATTATTTTTAACACTTAAAACCTAACACGAAACATATTAACAACGAGGATTAGACGATCAGATGAAAATTATGTGGGTAAGGAAGGAATTTTAATTTTACGATGTTGATTGAGGGGGGACCAAGTTGAGGCTTCAAACGTGTTTAAAGGAGACTGGATTATTTTCTTTCTCCTCATATCACAATGAATCCCGTGCTTAAGACAACGCAATGGCAAGGATTTCATAGAATGAGCATCGACATCACTGTATTTTGAATATCAATTTGCTTAAAGTAATAAGTCTGAAAGTTGATATTCTACACGTACTAAGTTGCCGTTAACAATATTATTCAGATAAACGGTTAAACAATTCAATGTCAAAGAAGTGACGAAAATAATTGCTAGGCCTATGTAGTAATTTCCAACAAATATTCCATTGTTCACCCTTGATAAAGTTAAAGGTGTTTCTGTTTGGTATATGTTTGTAAATATGTATAACATGTAAATATAGTCAAAAATGAATAGATCCTCTTTGAAGAGGCAAAGAGAAAAAAAATGCCTTCAGGTAATCAATTCCTTATTTCAGGCATGAAATATTTCCTACAATGGACTGATTGTTTGTCAAACTGCAATATGTCATATTGTTCCGCATAATCAATACTTTTATTCGTATCGTGATTATTATGTAAATCTTATTATAGTACATATATAGAGAGAGAGGGCGAAGGAGAAGGAATAGGAAGACGTAAATATTATAGAGGGGGAGAGAGAAAGAAGAAACGGAATAAAAATGATAGTTCAGTGACCCACTGCTACACCTAGAAAGGGTGATAAATATATAAATAACCAGAGAGAAAACAAGGAGAGAGACAGAGAGATGGGGAAGACAAAATTGAATTGAATTGAACTTGATTTGATTCCAACCACAGTAAAAATGACATTATACATTGCTGTATATACATTAAAAAAGGAAAAAGGAAAGAGGAAAAAGAAGACATAATCAAATCTACTCAAAGTATAGGATGAAAAAAGGTGCATCCGTAAAAGCCACAGGGGCTTAATGAAAAGGGCGCACCCTGAGCGCGTCATAATATAATTAACAATAAAAAGCTCAGTCAGCTGGAGAACAATAAAGGGATAAACAACCCTTACAATATATCATTTAAGAATAACTTTACAATAAGAAGTGCTGCTTAAGTTTACGTTTAAATGGTTTGGTGACCTGAATTGATTGCAAAGAATGTGGGAATGTGTTCCAAACTTTAGGGCCATTATGGCGTAGAGAAACTGGAACAGTGCCGGAAGATACAGAGAGAGAGAGAGAGAGAGAGAGAGAAAGAGAGAGAGAGAGAGAGTAAGATTATTTTTTTTAAAGAGAAGGGACACATTATTCATGGCATTTAATGGAGAAGGGATGAGTAAGGAAGGATTGAGAAGGGTGTGCTCTATATGTTATCGAACTTGACTAACATGTGATGAACATGCGACTAACATGTGATTTATGATTAAGCACAGGCGCACCGGAAGCAGTTTGGGATTGGGGGGGGGGGGCAAACATTCCAGGGGGCTCACCTTCCAGGGGCAGTGACGTAATGAGCAAAAACGTTTGGAAGGGGGGGGGGGGAGAAGAAAAATCTGCATCACCACCACTCTTACACGTTACATGCAGGCCCCGCGGAACGTTTGTCAAAGTTCAGAGGTTTTAATATTTAACTACGGTCAGATGATCATCGAGGGGCCCCCTTAAGGCCCTTGGTGGGGTCCAGGGGGCATAGCCCCCAGAAGCTCAGGGGTTTTAGGTATTTAATTACGGTAAGATGAGCATCCAGGGCCCGCCTTAGGGCCCTTGGTGGGGTCCAAGGGCAGAGCCCCCAGAAGCTCAGGTTTTTTTTAGGTATTTAATTACGGTCAGATGAGCCTCCAGGGGTCGCCTTAGGACCCTTGGTGGGGTCCAGGGAGTAGAACCGCCGGCAGCTCAGGAGTTTTAAGTATTTAATTATGGTCAGATGAGCATCCAGGGGCCGCCTTAGGGCCCTTGGTGTGGTCCAGGGGGCAAAGTCCCCGGAAGCTTAGGGGTTTTAGGTATTAAATTACGGTCAAATGAGCATCCAAGGGCCCGCCTGAGGGCCCTTGACGGGGTCCGGGGGCAGAGCCCTCGTAAGCTCTAGGGTTTTAGGCATTTAATTATGGTCAGATGAGCATATTTTGATACCTCATTTTGTGACATTGGCAGGTCACTTATTTTTTCTCTCTCTCTTTCTTTCTTTTTCTCTGTAACATACTTTTTCAAAAAATAAGGGGGCTCGAGCCCCCGAGCCCAGCAGTTTTGCAGACCATGGACATATAAAGGCTTCTAAATAAGCATATTTTTCGACCGACTGTAAAATTGGGAATTTCTAATTTTCCAACAAACGCATAAAAAGGTATGAATTAGAAAGAAAAAAATGAGAAAAAAATACCGGAAAATCATATCATTTCAGCACATTTATAAATCACTGGTATCGAATACAAAATACCCCCCCCCCCCATCAGTACGCAAGCGTTCAGGGGCTCATGTCTTCTCATCCCTATAACAAAAAACAGACACGCTTTCCCATTTTCCCATTCATTATCTCACAATTATGTCTACGATATGCGCGTATCGCTATTATAAAAACCTCCAATGATAAATATAGGTGGCATGCGCAATGCTAGGAAATTCAATTCCTGTTAATTTTCCTTTTGTTTGAATGGAATTTTAAATGTGATTTAATTCAGGTTGTTATTATTGTTTTGGGTTAAGAATACAAACCATCTTTACTCTTTTTTTTTAAGGGGGTGGGCGTTTTGGGGGAGCAAAAATTGCGTTTTGCCCCCCCCCCCCCCCCCCCCCCCCACTTACGGCGCCTATGATTAAGCATAATCTTCATGTGTATGTGATTTTAGAAATCAAGTTTTTTTATCCTTAGTAATTTGTAAAGAATTCAGAAGTAATATTTGTATCGCTTTCATTCCAGAATATTCTCACAGGAGCCTAGCTAGCACAGCAGGGTGCGTGTTCACCATGAGAAATGCCACCAGTCCACCATTCAAAAGGGCGATGAACAAACTACTCTTTTGTTCGGTCGGAAGAACTCGATTTGACAGCTTTTATGCCTATCCTTTGTGCCATTTTGATAAGATCTTTATTTTCTTTTTCATTGGGAGTTTGGGACCTAACTATTCTTCACACAGCCCAGGTCAACATCTTAAAATGCGTATAAATGTATGACATAGTATAGAGTTTGCAGAAATGAAACATTCTGGAGCAACACAAATGGTTGTTTGATTTCAATAACAGCTACAGGCTTTTACACACTCATGTTTTATTTCTGAATCACTGTATGCTCTAAATCGAAAATAACTAAATCAAGATATTGCGCAACAATGTTATTTTCACAACTATGCAACACTGAATCTAACTATTATTCATCATGAATACATGAGTTGAGAAACTGATTACATAAACAAGTTTCTTTACTGATAATTTGTCTTGAAGTGTCAATTTTACTCTCGAAGTATGACCTTGTCACATGTTTTGGATCAGCGTATGAAATGAAAATTAATTACGTTAATATTTACTTTGTAATATTTATATTCTTTCGAATTAATTTCCCTGGTTAAAGAAAAACTCTTATTGTTAAATAAGGGAATTACCTCAAAATTGCATGTGGTATGTAAAAAGAGAATTATGTTTTTATTACAACATCAAGCAATCGGCTAAAGGACAATTACTGTAGGAACTTATTATGTATCATACCTTGTAGCCATAATTCTTATGTCGCCTTGTATTCCAGTACAGGGCGACATAAGATAGATGAAATAGAAATACAATGTAGAGTGGGTTTATAATAATCCCGTTACTGATTAGTAAAGGTGAAGCATAAGTTTTAAACAAATGCATATTTTTGTGAATAAAACTCCAGTCTTCTTTGTTTTCTAAATGTGTTTGTTAGATACACAGAAATGCAACCTGTACAGTGTCGTATATATTGAATTGTCAACATCAATGATGTACATCAGACTTCTGTTAACTTACATAATAGTTTACATAATCATGTGTACCAAAAAGCATATTAAAGAGTATTTAATCCTGCATCTAAGACATACTGAAAAATTGGTGAGCATTCTGGTAAAAGAATTGCACATAAAAATGTTTCTAACTATGATTTAAAAAATAATAATAATAATATTACCAAATGCAAATGGTGTATTAAAATATCAGTATTCAAGTAATTTCAAAGTGTAATCATCAAAAATATAATTTTCCTTATTAACTGGAAAATTGGACGAAACATATAGTGACATTAAGAAGGGAAATATCTTGGTTCAGAATCTTACCGTCTTGAGCAATCACTCCATGGACTGAACAGAATAGCATTAGTACAGCCACCAGTAATCGCCCTCCTCCAAGATGATCGTGTGTTAAGACCCTCATCTTCATTCGGTATTAGATCTCTGATACTGTAATCATGATATTGATTTACTAGCGATGTGACTTGTTAGCAACGCCAAGGTATGTCTCGTTTTCAGTTCGGGTGACGGTATATAGCCAGGTGAAATAAAGATGTAAATCCAGTTGCAAGCCTTTAGACAGTATTATTACAAGAAAAATCGTGCTTCTCACAAAACCTCTAGACACAAGTATTATGATCAACGCAGCTGCTAAAATATCAGATTGGTGAAAACAGTCATTATTTCATTTTCGTCGACCGCACGGGTAAAATAAAAACAATATCGATTTGAGTCCAATATTCCTACTAGTCAATGCGCAGTTGACGCAAGCCAAGACATTCACTGTGTATGAAACACTTGCTGGGTTATGAGCACTGACGAGCGGGAAGCGACTTTGCGTTTTACACCCTGGCCTGGACCTTTTCCCAATAAATTTCAAGGAACCGACTGGGAAAAGTCTATCCATGACAAGATATTGCGCGCGCACGTAGCTCTTCTGCAATGCTCAACGTACGTCCTATATGTCCAGTGTCGCGGTACGCGGTACATGTACTTTTGTATCGAGACGTACGAGTGAGAGAAAAACAACGAATAATGCAACAGAAGGAAATAGAGAAAAACAATAAATAATTAAAGAACAGAGAGGAAACAAAGAATGTCATAAGCAGAGAGAGAAAACAAAAACTAACTTGAAAGAAAGAGAGAAATTAGAGAAGGAATTAATCAAAGTAAGGAAAGAGAGAAACCAAATAATATTATGGTTTTTGTGGTTTAATTCCGCCTTCTTCAGGGTTTCAATTTTTGACGTGTAGCCTACTTTCAAACCATTTGCTGATTCGGACCCCCCCCCCTAACACACGTGTACACATATCGACACATACACAGACTACACTCGACATAATATGTGTAATGGTAATGTAATACATAAACTGTGATTTAAATATTGCACTCGTACCATTTTCTATTATTGTGGGATCACGTCTTTCATTTTTTAAATTCATGTCATTTGTTTCTAAGACCTAATTTCTCTAATTCTCTTGACCCCTCTCCCTTCATATTTGTTTTCTAAGACCTCCCCCCCCCCCTCATCTCTCTTCATATTTGTTTTCTAAGACCCATTTCTCCCCCGCCCCCCCCCCCCATCTCTATTCATATTTGTTTTCTAAGACCTCTCTCTCTCGTATGTATTTCTCAGACCCCTCTTTCTTTCTCTCTCATTAACCCCCTCTTCATATTTGTTTCTAAGGCCTCTCTCTCTCTCTTCATATTTGTTTCTAAGACCCCCCCCCTCTCTTTCTCATTTCTTGATATTTGTTTCTAAGACCTCTCTCTCTCTAGCTCTCAATTCATGATATTTGTTTCTAAGACCCCCTCTCTTTCTCACTTCTTGAATTCATATTTGTTTCTAAGACCTCTGTCTCTCTCTCCCTTTCTCTCTTTCTCATTTTAAATTCATGATATTTGTTTATAAGACCTCTCTTTCTCTCTTTTTCCATTCATCACTTTGTCTAGTGTAATGTACAGACACATAACATATAAAGGAAATTATACACCAGTTTTACATGAATTCATTTGCACTTTATTTACTGCTTTACATTCATATACTTTTTTTTTTCGTGAAGGTAATCTAATCCTTCAATGTCAGAGAAGTAATACAAAAGATACAGGAGTATGTGTATGCATAAATAGTTATATAAAGAAGAAATATGTAGTAAAAGTGAAAGCAAACAATAGTAGAAATTTGAACAGATAATTTGACAGTGTGTTAAGATTTAGATGCAAGAAATGACTATAAGAAATTTTTATTTGAAAATACATGCACATGTAGATAAAAAGAGATCTGAACATAGGCGGATTCATGGGCGCAGAGGCGTGCACCGCACTTTACTTTGGAGATAACGAACTGAATACACATAATAATGGATGATACGTGAAAATATTTTTCTTCAGCGAGTAACAATATTTCACGTATTTCGCAAAAATTGATCATCCAATATTATAATTATTATTTAGATACTCCACAGAGATATTGTGATTTATTCACCATTTTTTATAATATACTAGTACATGTACTTGTAAACTGCATCTTGGCAATTGAAGCTTGAAACGAGTGCAAATATGAAATTTCCCAAGCATTTATGTGGTGCTGGTGCACAACTAACATGAAAAGTTAAAAATGTTTGAATTTCAAGAAAACAGTAGGCCTACCGTAACACTAATATAATCATTTACCTGTACAAAGTCGAACATCTAGAATTTACATATCCCAATCCAAGTTGTTACTTGAAGCATGGACCCTATTCTAGTAGGGTCCATGCTTGAAGTTTCAGTATTGCAGCTGCGTACGGTGTGTATAAATGCTGCATCGACGTACGTCTGTGCATGTACGATTCGATTTGGAACTGGCGCGCCCGATCGAGGAGCGTAGACTAGACTCATTCAAGCAGTTTGATTGCTATTTACCGGGAAAATGTCCAGGCCAGGGTGTAAAACGCAAAGTCGCGAGCGGGAATATGAACTTGAATGGTATTGTGTGGTGTCATGCACGCAGAGCCCTTGTATTGGGGCGGCGACATGTCATTGAGTTTTATTTTCATTTCATCTTACGCTGAATTAGGTACATTCAAACGCATCCATAACGCACTCCGTTGGTATTTTCATTTTATATTTCTTTCTAGTAAAAGAGAAGGCGGAGTTCATGGTTCGGTTTTCATTCAACCCTCGTCTTGAAAGTATAGCTATTTAACGAAGTTATGCAATATAAAATTATTAATACTGTACATAATTTTTCTTATTATTGTTCTTAGTGCCAAGCATATCATTTCATGGAATCCTGTCAGGTATTTCGTTTTGTTGATGTGCTGAAATTAATGTTTACCAATTATCTTATGAAACCAAAGAATTTGACAAAGTTACCTTGATGATAAATGTACCTTAATTTATTTTGTTAGTATGAAAACAAAGTCACAAGCTAATTGGTGTCTACAAGTGTGCTGGTTAGGACATTCCTGAGCTGTGTGTCATGTATATTTGAATCAATGGTGTAGACCCGTTTCTTTGAGAATAAGCCAGACACAGGCGTCGTCAGAACTAAAATATACATGTGGAAAATGAATGAGAAGTATAAACATGTGAATCTTGAAAACATGTTAGCTCAATATTGACTTCATAATTATATAGGCTATATCAATGCTTTTGCTGTCTGACATCCGATATCTTTCATCTTTCAACTACTTATTCTTATAACTTTCCTTTTCACCCGCCTCTATCCCGCTCTCTCTCTCTCTTTCTCTCTCCTCTTACTCTCTATCTCTCTTCTCTTGATCATTCTCTCTCTCTTTCTCCCTCTTGCTCACTCCCTCTCCTCCTCTTACTCTCCATCTCTCTCCCTCTTGCTCACTCTCTCTCTCTCTCTTTCTCCCTCTTGCTCACTCTCTCTATCTCCCTCTCTTTCTCCATCTTGCTCACTCACTCTCTCTCTCTCTCTCTCTTTCTCCCTCTTGCTCACTCTCTCTCTCTCTCTCTTTCTCCCTCTTGCTCACTCTCTCTCTCTTTCTCTCTTTCTCCATCTTGCTCACTCACTCTCTCTCTCTCTCTTTCTCCCTCTTGCTCACTCTCTCTATCTCTCTCTCTTTCTCCATCTTGCTCACTCACTCTCTCTCTCTCTCTCTTTCTCCATCTTGCTCACTCTCTCTCTCTCTCTCTCTTTCTCCCTCTTGCTCACTCTCTCTATCTCTCTCTCTTTCTCCATCTTGCTCACTCACTCTCTCTCTCTCTCTCTCTCTTTCTCCCTCTTGCTCACTCTCTCTCTCTCTCTCTCTCTCTTTCTCCCTCTTGCTCACTCTCTCTCTCTATCTCTCTTTCTCCATCTTGCTCACTCACTCTCTCTCTCTCTTTCTCCCTCTTGCTCACTCTCTCTATCTCTCTTTCTCCATCTTGCTCACTCACTCTCTCTCTCTCTCTTTCTCCCTCTTGCTCACTCTCTCTCTCTCTCTTTCTCCATCTTGCTCACTCACTCTCTCTCTCTCTCTTTCTCCCTCTTGCTCACTCTCTCTATCTCTCTTTCTCCATCTTGCTCACTCACTCTCTCTCTCTCTCTTTCTCCCTCTTGCTCACTCTCTCTATCTCTCTTTCTCCATCTTGCTCACTCACTCTCTCTCTTTCTCCCTCTTGCTCACTCTCTCTATCTCTCTTTCTCCATCTTGCTCACTCACTCTCTCTCTCTCTCTCTCTTTCTCCCTCTTGCTCACTCTCTCTATCTCTCTTTCTCCATCTTGCTCACTCACTCTCTCTCTCTCTCTTTCTCCCTCTTGCTCACTCTCTCTCTCTCTTTCTCCTTCTTGCTCTCTGTCTCTTTTTGTATCCATCTCCGCCATTCCCCTTCTCTCTCTCTCTCTCTCTTTCTCTCTCTCTCTCTCTCTCTCTCTCTCTCTCTCTCTCTTTCTCTCTCTCTCTCAATCTATAATCTCTCTTTCATATTTCCTTTATTACCTCTCTTCACTGTTGAGTTTCTCCCTCACTACCGAAATGTCTTTTTATCTTTGTCACGTTCTTTCATGTTCTTTCCTTAACAATTCTTCAATGACACCTTTCCGAAGTTTCCAAATCTTTTCCCCCATCTATTTTCTCCAATACATATGATTTAAATAGTGTTCTCATAGATTCTGACACCCCAAAACGAGTTCAATATATTTTTTCATTTTTCAACACCTGATTCCAGCTCCAGAGCCTCGTACTTTCAAATGAAAGGATATCCATAAAACATGTGTTACAAGAGTGAGACACGATATTTATATTTTTTCAAACATAATATGTTTTTTATTAAAGGGAGGCCATGAAAACATCGAGGTGTTTGCCACCCATCGCCTGGTCACCGTCGTGTCACCCTTCTCTGAACGGATGACTGATTACCCTCAAAGAAGATTCACGGAACCACCGCACTACCGCCCTTAACCCAACTCTGTTACAGTAAAAGGCTTCAAAATGTAAACAAAAAAATGCAAATCCACTCCTTTTTCAAATATGAGTTGTTTAATTTGATTTCACTCTTCACATTTGCGTTGCATTGTGTAATAAAGGTTTACAAGGAACATTATATCAAATAAGAATACTTTCGGAGAATTTTTTTCAAACCTTCAGAATAATTTGAGTTACTTTCTGATGTAGCTGGGTGAAATGAGACTTATTTAACCTCGCAATCATTTTCTCCTTATTACATTGTATATACCTGATTAAAATGAAAATGCATTGGATAGGGTACAGACACCCCTTTTGGTCGGGTTACAAACTTTAAATATACTTACATGCTGAGCTATTTTGGGTATACATCGTGCATTTTGGGGGTTTCAGTCATTCTTAACTCCCAGTCGATTTGCAGTATACAGAAGAATCATTTCATATATCATGATCGGCAAGTATACATACTTGAGATGGTCATAAACCTTTGATGGTTCCAAATATGATATCAGAACAAAAGCAAAATGATAATATCAACAGTATACAAGAAATTTGGCAAGATTGAAAAATAAAATGTTTAACTGCACCCTGAACACAATGCACTGCATAAGTTAATAAAACAGTTAGGCCGTAATAGGCCTAAACTCAAGTAATATAAGACAACAAGTAATGAACTATAGTGGAAACATGTAGACTTTGGCTGATGATCTGAAATATTGATAAAACTCTCATTGTTAATACTATATTACCCAGTCCCTGTGTAGTCTGGGAGATGAAAACTTGAACGGGCGCTAAGAAGAAAACATGAGTCCCCCATCTACGACAAATAGATGCCAATGTCATTATTCCCCGAAAGCTATACTAGTCAGTGTACAGTATATTCCATCTCCAGTATATTCCATATTCCATGAATGTTCTATGTGGTTTCTTTAGACGTGCAGTAACATGCAAAAACGAGCAAAAATGTGATTTCGAATTTGATATAAAATCTAAAGAAAAAAAATCGTATCAGTCAACATTTTGGGTCGGACCAAAATTGCCATCAACTCTCAATAGCGATTTACATTTTACATAAGAGAGTACGCAGCTATATTGATATAGCAACAGTTACAACTTTTGAAGTTACATCGTTCTAAAGATTTACGTTTATGTGTCCCTCTATCAAAATATACCTCTGTTGTTCATAATTATGTATTAACTTCTTCTTACTGACGTACCGATAATCGTGTCAGTGAGAATGTTTATGCCTCATTATTTGAGTATTCGGAATAATGCATTTTTTTGTTTTCAGAGAATCTATATCTAAGATTCGTCAACCTAAGTATCGCTGTAATGATATTTCCCTTGCATCAGTTGACAATAATGTGAGAGATTGCAGTGAATGTCACAAAACGGCTTATTATTAGTTTATCCTTGTCTGTTCATGTTTTAGGCAAACTGTTTACCCATGAACTGGAGTAACCCTTGGTAAACCGTGATCCTCATCAGATTCCATGGTTGCTATTAAATCACTAAAATCAGGAGCTTCATGTTGGTTGCTAGTAGCAACGGATCCAACACAGGGTGTGTCCAGTGGTAGACTCAACGCTACGAATCGCTGATCAACCTCGATACGAGGAACAGACGACGAAACAGGCTCCGTGAAGAAACTTTTCGGCATGGCGCGCTTACTCCACGGTGTGACGGGTGGCTTCCCGCTCAAACTTGTGTCGTTCACATTGTCTGTCGGCGGCATCCATGCACCACTTTGATAAGAATAGCCATACATTGGAAGCATATGACCATTATAACACACACTCCTTTCTGCGTAGTTAAATAGTTCCTCTAGAGGTCCTAAGCCGTTACTGTCCATCGATTTGGGTGAGAGATTTGAAGTTAAATCAGGGCTGTTTTCGTCATCTCCATACCGAATGATTCGATTGGGTTCGGAAGCTTCCTTGCAAGGGTCAGCCGAGTCACCGTGTTGCGCAACTCGTAATAAATCCGCGTAGTAAAGCTCACGTCCAGATAAACGCACCTTCTTATTACAATCGGCAATCAATTCCGGTTCATCTAAAACTCGCTTCTTGCCGAAAAACTTCTGAATATCCATACTTGCCGTCTCGGCGAAATCCAACAACTGATCGACAGCGTTCGGTTCTCTCTCGAAGAGCTCGTCACTCATTCGGTCATCTTCGTAGTCTTCCGATGTGAAGTTCGATTCGTCATCGCTATCATCAACATAGTATTCATCCTGAATGAAATGAATGTTCGGCAGGTTTTGGATTTGTGGATTGTGAATGTGGTGGTTTTGGACTGGGTGCATGAGAGGATTGTGGATGTGTGGATTGTGCATAGAATAATCCATGTAGTTCTGCATCGAGTGCGGATAAGATGGCGGCACCTGATAATTCATCATCGCCATACTTACAATCTTAATACAAGGAAAAAATATGGAATCCTTTGCGATGGAAAGTTGAAAACTGAAGTGAAACGAACACTATCCTAAAATATGATTGTACCTTTAAATCAGATTACGCTCTTTGAAGTTAACAAATCTCTGCCAATATTTCCTTATTAATCATTCATTCTAGTATTTCCCAATGCCATCTTATATAAGATCGCGGACGATATACAATAACTTGTTATTTTGAGTCTGGTCGAATGCTTTATCAAACTGACAGTACTCGTTATTTGTTGCCGGGATTTTACCGGTTTCTCTCAAATTTCATAACCATCTTCTGTTTCTTTACTTGGTCTATATGAGAGCTAAATGGTAACACCGATTCGATTGAACTGCGAGTGAAAGCTCAAGAACACACACGATCCTCTCACATGTTCTACAAGTGATGTTGTATTGCTAGGCAACGGATGATGATCATCATCCCTTGAAAGATGCTCTCAGAATGTCGTGGGCGTTCACTTACACATCCTGTTCAAAAAGATCTGCATTCGGGTATTGCAAGTATGAAAACATTCCGCGGATGGACGAAGGTGGGCTTTTTATTCGATGAAGGGATACAAATCCTGTCACTCTGGATATCTGTAAGGGAGAAACAAAAGACTAGTCAGAAAATAGGTTTTTAACAAATTTGTATGATCTATCGCCGAATTAGAACCTTGTAATGAAAATATCTACAAAATGAATTTAGTTGAAAAATAACAGAAATCCGAAGAAAACAGGCAAAGAGTCTACTCAGTTTTCAACAAGAACAACAACGAATCATTAGATGTGAGGTGGGGTAGCAGAAATCATTTCATATTTCATTTCATTTTGTTTTTGTTGTTGTTTTATTGAAAGAGTTGGAATAGATATACATCAGCACAATGGTATAAGTCTATGCATATCTGGTAAGCTACACTTTATATAGAAACTCATTTGAGTGCAAGGTAATATTATCATTATATTTTTAACAATCGGAAATCTAATGATTTAAATTTATTTTATTTCTTTTCCGTTTCTTTTTATGTTTTGTTAAGGGTAAATTGCTTATACAAAGACACATCCACCGTGTCCTTAACATGAATCTGACGGTAGCACGGCATCAGAAAGGTTACCAAAATTCCACATACTAACAAGAAATGAAGAAAATAGAGACATAACATCAAAACAATTTTTTTTTTAATTCTCAGATTAATAGATTAAAAAACTTGAGCTTCACTAGCTCCCAACTGCGATGTTAAACGCCAAGGCGTCGGCTTAATTCTGTCAATTCCTTGCTTTTAATATTTTGTCATGCTGCAACCACAAACGATATTATCACCTCTGTCGCCCTACTTTTCAGTATCAAGACACAACAACAAATTGATACTTTTTTGTCAAATTTCATCAAGCGCCTGCCCGTTATTGTATGCTGTGTTTGCACAACCCTCGAGTATGATCGAGAACACACGCTTAGCTCACGGGAAACTGAAGGGCTGGTATATTACCCAGTACTCGATTAAACACGGCAGCACGGACGCTGCTGAAATAAACACCTACTGTGGCACGGCAGTCAAGCGGTCGTAATTTTTGCTGGATGAAATTTGAAGGATTGCTACCATGCTGTGTGTTGTTTTGGTATAATTTATTGCACCCTTTCTTGGCAATAAAAGTTGACACCTATTCCGAGAAAATTATGGTTGTGTGTTGTAAAAAAATCCTCATATTTCTGGTCTACCAGTGAAGCGAATTACTAGGAAGGGGTGTCTCACAAAAGACATTTGGAATTGAAAATAACAAGTTAGGTCAATTGCAAACATCGATACATGTTACAGCTCGCAACAGTGTCAAAGTTTTGAACTATTAATTAGGCATGGTTGTATTGTCTCCCTTTATGTCTATGAAATCAAACCTATGCGTGCAATATAATTTTAAAAAACACCCGTGTCTTTTACATTTTTAGAAATTAAGGTATCAGAAGTGTAAGCATTATAGGTATTCTAGCGATATTGTTTTCATGTATTACGTAGTAACAGGGCGTGCATATATCAATACTTCTATGAGGCCCATTTTTCTTTCAATAAATAAACTTATTCTAAAAAAAAAAAGCATGTATACATTAATTTTCTCTATTTTTTTTCTCTACCTGGTAGGAATTTATTCCTTGAAATGCTAGAGCGCCGTATGGCAGCCGTGCTATAAAGCCAGGGTAATAATCGGGAGCGCCAGGAGGGTCAAATCTGACTGACATGTGCGATATACAAAAACCTATTATTATTGTTATTCACTTTCTCATAAAAGTAGGAGGTTTTTGGTTGAAATAGCTTATTAGATCAAAATGTCTCCCTGAAGACACTAAACAATATATATATATATATATATATATATATATATATATATATATATAATGGTAGTATTTTGTAGTTTGAACAATTCTGAGCAATTTTGAACGATTTTGAACAATTCAGAAACGAAAGTTTAATGGCATTAATGATAACCACAAGAATGGAAGATATTGTACAAGTAATGTAAGCTACGATAAAGAGCATGTTTTTGATTATTCTACGGACATGGAGATAATAATCATAGCCACAGGGCGGAAAAGAAAAACGCATGATTAATTTTTGAAATACGGATGTATAGTTGAAAATAGTATGACTAATAGTTGCACCATTTAGGCTTATACAATCAATTATTTTGATATGAATGGTCAAAGATATAAGCCAAAATATTTCAGTCAGATTCAACTAGATTATCTTATTAAATAAGGGCTAGTTAGACATCAACGTTTCTTGAAGACACTACTGTATTGTACTTGAAAAAGTAACGTCAGGGGTGGTTGAATCAAGGATATCAAGAGGTGGGAAAGTAGACTATACAATTGTTATAGAATAATAGACAAGCATTTTTTAAGGTAGGGTAATGTTGTGACCAACCATCGGACTGGGAGAAAATGATCCAAAAGAAAAGAAAAACAATCATTACCGTGGTAGCATTTTCATAGTTTTAAGCACCACATTTATGTGACCAAAGCGTTAACACACAACCTTTTTCGGAGAGTTGTTTCCTTCTTCATGTGGCGGGGGAGAAAAAGTCTGCGTTAAAGTATAAAGTCTTGGACTTAAAATAGCATCATAAAGAACGTAATGATCCAATGGATTGCTGGGAAGGCTGTCATGTTTAATGCATGTACTTTGATCGAAAGGAAAGATTTAGAGCAATTATCGAAGGCGGGTCACATCTTGCACGAATGAGAACAGGAGAAAAAAAAAACACGAGAGAAGGAAGCGAATTATCCATGTGGATAGATTAATAAATCATAGTATTAACTTGCTCGTGACAAGCGCTACTCATATAAGATGAAGTTGAAGAACGCGTTAAGTGCGTCTCAGCGGTGTGTGCAGAGGGGCTGTTGATGTTATTAATACTTTCAATTATTGCTACGCTAGACAAGACAAGGCATTGGGAACGATTAAGGATGTCTTTAGAGAGCTCGACATATGATGGTTGAAGAGGATGAAGGGGGAGAGGAGAGACCCGTTTAGGTAAAGATCGGTGTTTCCTGCAGTCTTAAGATGAGATTTACACGTCAGTGACTGCATGAAAGAAAAATAACAAAAGATCGACAGCAACGAGCTGCAGTCTTTAAAGCAAAGAGGATGAACACAATAAAAAAATGTGTATAACAATATTTAGATGGGTCTAGGGATAACTTTTCATTTATGTTATTTCATTCTCCATAAAAAATAAAACATTAAACATACAAACATGATACATTTTGTATACAGATAAGAGATCGATTACAATAAAAATACAAAGGAAAGGAGCAAACACAATTTGTGGGAATGTGGGGTTAACAAAAAGTGCAATTAGCCTTATGAAAGTAACCCCTTAAAAAGTATACGCTGTATTGATTGAGAAAAGAATAAAAGGAAAAGAAAAGCAGAGAAAACCTGAACACCAATACAAAAGAAAAAAGGGGAGGAGAAGGGAAGGGGGAATACATTACAATGTGCATTTACTGAAACGTAACGTCATTTTATTTGAGATTGAATACAATGATAAAAGATGGGATTTAGAACGGAACAGCTAAGATAAAGAGATAATTGTTAACAGCGTAATTTCAAGTCAAAACTATTCCAATAAGAATGAGAAAAATTATATTCATTTTGACACCCTTTCGAATTTCAGTAGGCTATAGTTTCGATGATAAAACCCGAGCCTATTATGCATAGAATAAGCCTACATTAATATAATTTGTATGCATTACAATCAGCTTTGATTTATGTCTTGATTTTCTTCTTTTCAGATTCGTTTTTCATATAAAGATTTAGTAATTCAAAGTTCATTAAGGTAGTTTTGTCTTATTCAATAAGTAAACTGATATACACGACTCATATAGTAGTATTGACAAGATAACTTCACTTCAGTTCAAAATAACTTTGATCTCCTTCTCCTTTCCTCATTCACCTTAGAAACCCCAAATCACAATAATCACATTATTGGGATTTTAATAACAGATGAACATGACATCAACGCGATTCCGTGCTTGTCTATGTGAAAATCTGCCCAAAGTATAATCTTCTTCAAGGGATACAAGATATAGAATCCGCCAAAGAAAAATCAACAGTAATGTATTATAATGCCAATAATTTATTAATCAATCTTGCATGCAGTTTTATCTACAAAATCGCTTTTTTGAGAGTAGCCCTTCAAGTTAGATAATTTGGAACTTCGTAGGATCAAACAGTTAGCTCATACTGTTTATCGAGCTATAACATATACATTGAATAAAAGCAATATTTTTAAGAGACTTGTGTCAAGATATGAAACAAGAACTGGTGAACAGATTATGATAAATAGACCCAAAACAAATTACAGCAAAAGGAAAATTAATTTTAGAGGAGGGAAATTATGGAATAGTCTTTCTGATGACTTTGAATTGAGTTCATCAATTGAACTATTTAAACAAAGATTAAACTCATTGCAGAATTATACTTTGTTGAATGTGATGCATTTGTAAGACAATGTATTGGAATAGGGTAGGGCCCTGCTATGTATAATTTTCTAGGCAGGTGAGGGGGTGGGTGGGGTGTGGATATACTTATTGTCTATTTGATTTAATGTTAAATTTCAATAAATTTGTATGTGCAATGTATTGTTATTTATTTAAGTGTATTTGATTAATTGTCTTGTTTCTTCTGTTTAAAAAATGCTATGTGTAATTTAATTTAATTGGACCCCTATGCTGACTATAATGGTGCTCCGCCCATACCGTATGTGGAAATTAATTATTAAAAAAAAACACCTATTCCTCTGTAGACAGAATTTTTCTTTTCTTCAATTGTATATATTCACTCCTAGTTTTATTTTTACATGGTAGCATTGGCAGTTACAAAACTGATTTCCACATTGGCCCTGTTGGCCTAGAAAACAATATGGATGATAAAGATTGAAATTTTAGACTTGTTTAGTTATATTTACATATACCAAATAATGATTTGAGGCAAACTAATAATAATTTATCAATATTGAAGGCGAATTCAAAAACCATATATCCTAATTATTTGGACCCTAAACCAAGCAACCGATAAAAATGAACTTCTGAAACATACTGGTCTGAAATTTGGTCACTTCATTTAATCATTAGAAAGGTTAGGCAACCTTGTGTCTGTAACTAATGGCATTAATTCAAAATTTCTTTTTAGGGTGAAAGTAGTAAAATAATACGTGTGAGGCAAAGATGGTCGGATAGACGTTTATGATAGAATATTATATTATGATTAAATACTTACATTGTTTTCAAGTGGCGAGGATTAATTTCAATATCCTAAAACAAAACATAATGTCTTTTGTTTTCAAAGAACTCATAGGAACTTCGGAACGTCAACTTCTAAAATCCATTATTATTCGTAATTGTTAATAGATTGAGTTTGAACTATTAATATTGCCTTGTCTATCTTGAAAGTAGTTGGCATCCAATGTATGTATCCACGATAAGATGTCGTAGTTTGGAGTAATGTGTAGTTATATTTGAAAGATCATTCTAGTTACACTATTAGAAATAGACAGATAAGTAAGGAATCCCAATCTAGTGAGGTAACTTTCATATTTTGGACGGAGTCTCAAACCCTATTATTTGATTGCCACTTCCTAAGATAAAAGTAGGACACAAAAGACCCATTTTCGGTAAGTTTAGGTTATTGGTCACCCTACCCATTAATTTTGCTCATCATTCCATCTAATAAAAGAAGGTAGACATTTGAGTGGATTAGAAAATTGTATTGTATTTTCATGAATTAAAAAAAACCCTGTAAATTATATAACTGCCTTTTACGAATATCTTTTTAGCAAAAATGAAGTGTAGTGGATTAAACACCAAAACCGCATGCTTTGCATAATGGACTCGACATAGAACGACGTTATAATGCAGTCCAAACTGCGGGTGTATATAATACCAGAAATTATACCAAGAGACACTAGCTAAAGCTTTTGTTGCTATGAGAAACGCATCTTAAATTCCTCTGAACTTGATGATCTGCACTAACAAACAAAGTCACACGCTTCCCAAATCGTTTTCAAAATGAACTCAAGAAAACAAAAACTAAACCAAACAAATGAACGACATACCTGAACTGGAATGCCTAGCTAGGCGGGCGGCAACCCCGTATCTCAGGCACGCGCTGCCGTTGGTTGTCCAGGAGCCCGACTATAGCGAAAGTGATTTAATGACTCACAGGTAAACTGAACTAAGGTATATTATCTTTCCTGAAAAATATCTTGACCAAACAGCAGTATAGGAGACTGTCGAAGCGGTTATTAGTTTAGAAGAAGCAGATGTAACATTATTTTCTCGTAAATGTTGTGATGAAAATTAATATTTTATGTGGGCTGCCAAGAGACACACTCGAAGGAATATTAATATCGGAGTTACCAGCAGACGACGACCAACGTCAATGAATGTATGTGAAGGGGCGCCGCGCGCACCATTCAACAGAGCACTCTGAACGATAACCACCACCAGTATCACCGAACCAATGGGTGAGTGGGTGTAGCACTGTGCGTGGCGTAGACACTTTACTGGTGGGTTCTCCGAGGCAAAATGCAGTCATGTTAAAACATTTTAGCTTGTTTCGGTTATTGCTACTCTTTGCTATATTTTGGCAATTAGCTAACAATGGTTTGCACTGTAACCTAGGTATCCATTAGAATTATCTGATCTGGTAACTGGGGCCTTTATGGAGGAATGTCCACATTATTATTTTCCCGGGTTATTCTATAATTTCAAGACATGTTATTAACAGAAAAAGATTTTATTTTTGGATGGACCCAATAATCAATATGTTAACTTTTGTAAACTGACTTATCATATTTTATTCGCGTGCGCGTGTAGTTGTGTATGTGTGTGTGCGTGTGTGTGTGTCGGCGAATGAGGAATATACATTGAACTTTCTTCATTTTCATAGATCCTTATTTTCATCAAGGAGAAAACACAAATTGATCCCTGGTTAATTACTATCATGCATCGTATCTTATTGTAACATAGTTTTTAATTCTATTTCAGGGTCCGAGAAAGAGAGTGAAAAGGAAAACCCACATACACGTTTTAAAACAATTATAATCAGGAAATGCACAAAACTTGCTTGCTAGAAACTTGACCGAACTCTCCAGTGATTAGGTAATCAAAATGGGTTGTACAAACATTGACCATGAAAGGATGGTTGTGATACCACAGGGCATTGAAACATTTTGTTTGCGAACTATTCCAGAGGGTGATAAAATAAGAGCATTGTTCTCGCTCTTTTAATCTTTTCACCATCCAAACATGAATCTTTATGTCGAAACATTGTTCCATCATCAGATAGTCATTCAAAAATACTGTTAATCATTATAATTCAATCTGGCAATCTGATATTACTTCACAATTACTTGATAAAAACTATTTCCAATTAATAGAATGGCTGAGAGGGAAAGGAAACAGAGAAAGAGATATATTGGTGGACAAGAGATTGTGAGCTCTATACAGACAACAAATAATCGTGTAAAGGACGGCAGAGAGGCTGGTAGAAAAGAGAACTGTAGTGAAAGAAAAAAGGGACAGGAAGGGAGAGAGTGGGAGCAAGAGCAATAGAGAAGGAGGTAGAAAATAGATTATAGAGGCAGAAAAAGAAAGAAAGATGGAGAAAAGAATAGGAGAAAAAGAGGAAGAAATGGAGGAAGATAGAGACTCAGTTAAAAGCCGAAAAGAACATTTTGAGCGCTATGGTGCAGTCATGTTATTTTATATTTTTTCTTTTCTTTTTAAAGATGATTCTTTTCTTTTCAACTATAGCTTAGAATGTCAATGTTCTGGACAGATAAATCGGTGGTACTCGCGTATACGAAACATTACTGCATGTATTGTTTATTCTATCATCCATCCGCACCCTAGCCCAAATCCATCATTAGTCTATTATACCCTTCAAGACTTTTGAAGAATATAAAAAGGTTTGTACAAGACAATCCCAATTAACATACTAGCAAGATACATGCATGTGAGCATAAACCAATACTATAATGGTTCATCTATGTAACGTGATAGCCTTCAGGTCATCATGTGACATTACAGAAGTGTACTCTATACCAGTTGGTTAAGAAACGGTGCCCCTCGTCTCTGTTAACTTTTCGGATTTGATTCAGCCCCTATTAAAGCCACCAAACTTTCTCTCAAATAAAATTAAAACCACACTTCAAAAGGAAATTCCCGCAGCTAGTCGAACGCTTATACTTGATTCACGCTACAGCATAGAAACGAAGAGAAAGGCCATTGATCGAAAGAAATACTGTGTATACGATTAGCGGCTTCAGAAACTTGTATGAAAGATGTACCATGCTCCTTGCTTGCGTCAATCCCTTACCACAATATTGACACTTTTATTTAATTTGTCTTTTCATCCAAACCCCTTTTTTCAAGTCGCTTCTATCTGGCTATAGTTAAAACCTCAAACGCTGACCGACATTGTTCAATATTTAACTTTGCTCTGGGATTGGCTATTCAGTAGAAAATCGAGAAAGCGATATGAGAGAGAGAGAGAGAGAGAGAGAGAGTGCTTGAGAGGAGATAGTTCGTTTGTTGACCGTGATAGATGTGGTGCGAAGCATTATAGCGATAACAGAAGTTTGATTATGATAATCCGTAATTAGTTGAAGCCTAGTACATTCATTACCATAGAAGCAGATTTACACAAATTACAAATGCTTGGAAACAAGGAATAAAATAAAATGAACCCCGATTGATTTAGGCCACGTCATAACCACCTGCCTAGAGTAAGATGTCTCTTTCTTCTGCTACAATGTAAATTTTAATGTGTTATAAAAATATTTAGTCATAGTAATATATAGATTCCCATCTAAGCTCAAACATGTTGTTACACAATGTTAAGCAACTATGACAGGCGGTCACGGCGCTTGCTTCAAAATATCATATGTGCACTGCTCAATATCTTTTAAAAAGTTCAAGAAATAATAATCTTCAGTTCTCAATCAATACTCAACTTACATCACAATGATTATTTTCTTTTTGCATATTGAAGAGCCGTGTCTGCATGGAGCGCCTTTATGTTTTAAATTTTGTAAAAGTTATAGCATTAGGACTTCAAATAGGTTTCTAACACCCAAAACCATATCCGAAAAAATAATAACCATGGTTTTAAAGTATGTCGGTTTAATTCCAATCTTTTTCTCAAACTAGCGACCCAAACTGTCCAATTTAATATTATATCAATTTATGAGTAGGTTTGAACGATAAAATGTTAACCGTAAAATGTGTTAGTGGTTATATATTTCTGCAAATGATGTATAAAAGCATTACAAAATATGTCTATAAGAAAAGCGATGAGTTTACAATATTTCATTTTCATTTTTTTCTTCCTCCCTCACTTATCAAAGAGCACTCGATCCATTATCGTGAAGCTTACCAATTAGCTTCAATATCCAACTAATAGCCCATGGTAGACACTTTCTTCCTCTATCCTCATATAAAATCATAAAGGTTCAATTTCACCTCTTAGAGATTGTTAAGTAGGAGTAGGCGGTGGAGCGCCGTGCTCCATGCGAGGGTTTCCCCTATATAAACACGAGCGGCGACCGGTAGCGGGAGGGTTGATGGGGGATACAGAGGAATGCCAAGATAGAAGGCGAAGATGGAAGGCGAGATGAGATACATGGAGAAGGATAAAGTCTAAGGAGGATAACGAATGACAAAGACACCGTACTATCACATAAGACCCTCGAAAGCATAGGGATCTGTATAGTTTTAGTGAAAGGTAATCGACTTCTTTAAACTTATCAAAGAATTACATCCGGAAGTATTACAATAGAAATATCTAAAAAGAGAAAGCTTATATAGAGATAGGGAAGAGATATAGAGATATATAAAGAGATTCATGGAAAGAGGTAGAATGTGAGAAAATGAGGAGAGAGAGAAAGAGAGAGAGAGGGAGAGAGAGAGAAAGCGAGAGAGGGGGAGAAAGAAAACGATAATAAATATCTATATTAAAAATGAATATATTATGATAAACCTTATAGAAACCAAACAATAAAATTAGAGAAACCTACGAGGGTCGATTTGAAAGCAAGACATGTATTTGATCCTAACTGTATATTGGCTTACCAAAAACGAGTAATGGTCAAGCGATTGTGGGGGCATGGTAATCGGTAGGAAGTATAGCACTGGTATTAATTGGTTAATGAAATGGGTAATTCCATATATTAGGGACCCATTCCGGACATTTTTGGTATCCCACTTACAGAAGGAGCCCACACGTATTTGTGGCTCTGAGTAGACTTAAATAGTGGAGAGAGATTGTAAAGTGATTTCCAAGCATAAATTGCATCCTCATACCTAGAATCACTTAACAATCTCACTCCACTATTTAAGTCTTTCCTCAGAGCCACGAATACGTGTGGGTTGACTGGGTTACTTAATTATGTAAGAGGGACACCACAAATGTCACAAAGTGGGTCCCTAATTTAAGGAATTACCGAAATGCGAAAATACAAGTTTGTCGAGTGACTTGAAGGTGGAAACGGTGCAAATATTTTATTTTGATGTTGCCTTCACCCTTCCCCGTTCTTTATTTTCTTTACATCTTTATTACTCTCATCCCCCCTCTTTCGATGGAAAGGAGGGGGTACACGCAGTGGCGGATCCAGGGGGAGCCCAGGGGGCCCGGCCCCCCCCCCCCTTGAGAAAAAAAATCATGTAAAATCACGTGATTTTTTACCTTTTTTTTTGGGGGGGGGGTGCAATTTTAAAATTTTGGAGGACCAAAAAAAAAAAATGTGCTAACTACCCCCCCCCCCCCCCCCCCACTCCCCCACTGAGCGACTTTTCGACCGGCGCGATTTTTTTTAAATTTTCGGGAGCAAAAAAAAAATAAGAAAGTTGGCCCCCTCCCCTAAGAAATCCTGGATCCGCGCCTGGGTACACGTCCCCAGTGTTCACGAGGAAGAGGGACAGGCTGTACTCAAGTCTTTCCATCGTGTATCCATCACACCTGACATGCTGCTCAGTGTTCATTCAGTTTATAAAGTTAAACGTCTTATATGAACAGACGGCCGACAATATGCATTCAATCAAAAACTCAAAACGATCTTAAACATAATCCTGCCATACCCTATATTATACGGGAAATAATCAGATAAAGCCCTGATAACTTACTGTTTGCATATAAAGTTTGAAGGAATAATGGCCTGAAAGTACTTGTTTAAGGAAATCTTCAAAAAGAAAGGAGCACCAGTAATCATTCAGAAATGTTGCCACATAATAGCTTTACGTTTTATTTTCCGAAACTATTATAAGGCAGCAAGTTTATTGGTATCTTGATTATTGAACCTCTGCTCTCGCAGCCGAGTCTGGATTAAAGTCTTGAATTGAATTGAATTAAAATTGAATTGAAATATTATATTACTTCGTTCTCAATGTTTTATCCTAATGTAACAAATGGAGTAGATGATAAATGGGAACAAGGAACAGATAAAAGGGGTAAAGAGGAAAACAATATTGGAAAGAAAGAGGGGGCAGTAGATAAACGGAAAGATAGAAAGAGTGGGATAGGGGAGGGAGAGAGAGAGAAATAGAGGGAGAGATAGATAAAGATAGAGAGAGAGGAAGAGAGAGAGAAAGAGAGCGAAGGAGAGATAGAAAGAGAGAGAAAGAGAGAGAAATGGAAAGATAGAAAGAGAGAGGAAAGAGAGAGGGAGAAAGATAGAGAAAGACAGAGAGAGAGGGAGAAAGAGAGAGAGGGAGAGAGACAGAGAGAGAGAGAGAGAGAGAGAGAGACAGAGAGAGAGAGAGAGAAAGTTAGAGATGAATCCATCACAGTCATGGTGGTTGTGCCAGATAGTCGGAAGTGTTTTCAAGTAGGTGTATACTCCATGACGAAGCGTCATGCCAACCCTTTCAATCATCCTACACAGACGTGTTAACCAGTCGCTGATGTCATGGAAACTGTTATAGGAATCTTAAAAATAAAAGAGTAGAATGGACGGTATAAACCAAAGAATAGAATTACATTTAGAATAACAGATAAAATCATTAAAAATTTAAATGATATTTTGAAAATGGTACATGCCCACGATTCTCAGGAATCAAGTTTGCTTTGTTTTACGGCATGCTCCCAGTTGAACTCTTGAGTATATTCTTGCAAATCAGAAATTAGAAATCCTCATACATTCTCACCCCTCCCTGTCCCCCCCCCCCCCCCCCCCTCTCTCTCTCTCTCTCTCTCTCTCTCTCTCCCTCAGACTCCAATTTATTTATAAATCTCTGTGTATCCTACTGTAAGTTGTCAATGCTAATAATATCAGGTAGTATGGTATTCATATCATGATTACCATCGGGGGGGGGGGACGACGATTTCTTGTGTCTGTACATATTGTACATACCAGCAATTATTTATCATAGCTACAAAATGTACATGTCCATAAATGCACTCGACGAGAATAACAACACTAAAAAAAGGATGTCAATTATGTTTATATGAAACAATTGAGCATTTATTGTATCTACTGTACATAATCACAAGACTGTATATACAATACGGAAAAATGGAAAATTACATTTTTTTTTTTCTTTCTTCACTATAGTTATAAACTAATTGATATCAAGGATACATTACCAAGAAACTATCAACTACATTCATACAAAGCGGTTTCTATTAGCAACTAATACACCATGAATTTCGGCACATTGCCACCTTTATAAAAGAATATAAGAAAATTTACAAATTTACAATATTTCAGACATAAAGGACTAGTTTACTAAAGAATTCCAATCATCAACGCTTCTTCACAGAACCTGTGATAAGGAACTTCATGTTATACGAATGAAAGCATCTGCTAGTGGATACATACTGCTCGCTATGCTGGGCTACCATTGTCAAACTGTAGGGTCATTAAAAGAAATCTTGCTTTGAATTGTAATACATTACGAAATTGATTGCATCCAACAACATGATACGGTTAACTTACCCAATGCAGCAAGAACCATTGTATCAGGATTATATTCTCATCATTATTATCATTTTTATAAACGATTGAATTTTGGAATATGATTTATGCATGGCGCCCGGAACAGATTCTAACCACATGCTACAATTTTTATCTTTTAGTAAACCACTATAGGCCTACGTAATTACGGAAATAAACTTAGTGAGAACAAAAATATTAATGAATACCAAAAAAATTAAAAAGAGAAAATATCAAAATGAGAAATGAGAAATATATACATGTGTATGGTATAATGGAAGAGTGAAAGGATAGCTAAGTATTAAGTCTTTTGAAATACGATATAGGTTGATTATTTAGTACATTATTCTTATTCATTATTGTTCTAATACTACATGCAAGAAATAAGAATAACGATTCATTAACTAGTAATAGCAGCTTTAGAAACATTAAAGGAACGGCGGATGTAACTTTTCTGACAAACTTCCAAACATAAAAATTATCAACTACAAATTAATTCAGAGCACGAGGGAGAAAAAAGTTTCTTTAGATAACAACATTATGCTCTACCGGTACTAGAACAAGTATTATTAACACACTTTTGGCAATCTATATATCACAGTCATCACTACATCTTGAAATACCCAACATTTAAAATATTAAATGTAAATTGCATTCGCCTATTCATTTTATATACATGTACCAAACATCAGCTAATAAATATCAATACAAAATAATAAACGAGAAAAGTCGATACTATATAATGATTATTAGTACCTGTAACAAGGAAAGAAGTTTATGTCTTTGAATGGGGCTGTAGTCAAACGACAGAAATCTAATTCATCTTCATCTAAAGACAGATTTATTAAAGGGAAATGCAGACAATGGTAATATGTCACATAACTGTATGTTTCCTACAACTATTTATTTGTCTTCCGAGAAAAACAAATTGTACTCTTTTACTAAAAAATATAATGTCTATATCGGTAGTTTCTATTTCATTAATATATACATGTATTTATATCAAGATCTGAAAGATAGAATAATTATCTTCTCTGATTAATAATTTATCTTTAAAACACAAGAGTAGGTATTTTAATGATAAAGGATAGGCGTAATTATGATACTTGAGGAAAAAACAAAAGTAAAGGAATTGTTTTTCCCCCAAAACAAGTCTTCTTAAAGAATTATATAATCATTCGGTAGTTTAAAAATTATCCTTTCAACTTCTAAAATTTGAAGCTAAAGTAGTTTTACTCTAAAATAAGGGAGAATAGGTAATGGTCGAATTTTCCCGTATAACTGAAACAAAACCCCTTTAAATATAAAGTATCATTTACAGGATGTTATAATTATAGTTTGTCAGTCCTGACATGATGTGGTCATATAAAAAAGTATTTCCATATTTCCATTTTCCATCTTATTCAAGATTCTAGAGTATGATATGAGATGAGGGTGATCTAACTACCATCTTGTGTTTTAGCGATGGTAAGAGTCTCTGATTGTAGCGATGGATGATCACTAAGCTGTTGACTAACTCGTCCACCTTGAGCTTGACTAGCATTATCATCTCCTTCATCACGTGGTGTCTTCCCTGCTCGTGATGATGCCTTACTACCACCTCGTCCTCGACCTCGTCCACGGCCTCGACCACGCGTTGTCCTACCCGTAGCCTGGCTCGGTGCAGCTTCATTTCTATCCACGCTACCATCCCGCTGTCCGCCATCGTCCGCGCCCTCGTCACCGGACCTCGCGCCCGACTTGGAGCCTTGCTGTCTTGACCGACGCTCGCTTGGCGCGACGCTCCTTCGTCGGGACTTCGCCCCCGAAGCTTTACCGGGGCCATCTCCGCTCTGCTCGTCTCCTTGCCCACTGCGTGCCCCATCACCCTCAGGGGCTACACTAGCAGCGGCTGCTGGCGGTACAGTCGAGGCGCCACCACCGCCCGCTGGTACACCAGATTTGCCTTCTAAGGCTGCCACACGGCCATCCATTTTATCCATACGCTCTTTGTTCTGAAATTGATAATTAAATAAAATGCAAAGTACAAATCAATATTTATACTCGATGTAGTTGAAAACTGAGAAGGTTGTATCTTTCCATTTCAACTTTACAAAATATAAAAATACCAATAATTCCTACATATTGGTCAATGCGAAACATATCTTAATCCCTTTTTTTTCTTCTCCCGCGTTGTTGCTGTTCACGTGAAGAGGGAGGTCGAATTGATGCATGATCATTTTGTAAAAAGTCAGTAAAATAGATGAAATCATGGAAACATCTTTTCGTGTACTTACATATACATCAATTAACCTGAAGTTAGCCTGAATTAGTGAAAATGTGAAATCAACAATACTTACTGACTCCGATGGCATAGCATTGGGAAGAAGACATGATTATCCACACTGTAGGTTGAAAACTTCAAGAAAACCATTTCAATGTTAGGTGAAAATGTTTGTGCAGTGAAAATAGAAAGAATTGCCCAATGTTTATTTCTCTGTGTTGAGATCCAGAAGGCGATTCATTCTGTTGAATAATTCTGTGTTATGTGAGCTGTGTTAACAAGTTCTGGCTCACATCAGCCTATTGCCCCCCTAGGACAACTACCCCCCCCCCCCCCCCCCAGACAACTATTCCCGGTCAACTCTCCTAGGGTGTTGTATGGGGGTTAGTTGTCCTAGGGAGGTCATCCTAGAGGGTAGTTAGTAGTTGCCCTATGGGGTAGTTGTCCTAGAGGGTGGTTATATTAGGGGTGGTTGTCCGGGGTTGGGGGAGGATGTCCAGGCGGTAGGTGTCCGGATACAACAATAGGAATTTAGATTGTGGTGATTATTTCAATTGGAAACTATTATCTTTTCAAAATCTATTGTATAATTTAGTAGAATATATGCAATTTTTTTGTCACTGGTATCTCTCATTGAAAAAGAAAAAATAAATTAAGTTGAATGTTCCTAGCCCTCCAGAAAACATATTACTATTTGCGCTGAAATCAATTGTTTCTGAGCATGACAACTACAAGCTGGTTTCCTTGTATACAATATATATAAAGTTATGTAATACTTATTGTGAATGTTACCTTTACAGCACAGCAAAACAAACTAAAAATGAAGAACAGAATCATTCATGATAATCAATCATCTCTCACCTAAGTGATTTTTATTATATAAATAGGCTGTAGTACCTGATAGGGTATTTAGAAATACAATTATCTCGCTGCTATATATCTCAATCTAGTTATCATATAATTTGTTCTATGTTGGAAAGGCTACATATATAATTTGCATGAATATTCATATAATACATATAGATCGACAAATAGGACGGCAGAACGTGAAAGTGTTGACTTCACAGGATAATTAACACACATATACTTAATACTAAATCACAAGTATGATACTACATGCTTCACTAATTGATTCATGTTAAATTTGATTGAATTTTAATAAATTAAACTTTTAAAGTGTCCTGTTACGTTTGCAATTTACCAGTTTTATCCTTGCCACAAACTATACAATAACATATGAGGCAATGCTTCCTTCTTCTAAAATTGTTACTGCAAGGAATAACTTTTTTTGACAGAGAAATAAAGGGTTGCCTGCAACTCTTTTTTCGAATTAGAATCTACTCACTACTTTGATATAACAATCATATTCAACATCAAATTTAACAAGATACCTGCAAATATTGAATTAAGTAATTCCTTATTACCAAAAACACATTATAGAATTCAGACGAGATCCAAATTATTACAGAAGAAAATGATAGGATACAGTTGAAAATGTGTAGGATAGAGGAGACTTAAAGTATATTACAAAAATTGAGTTTGATAACACAAATATCAGGAAACTTTACAGAAAAAAGTGACTTAAAAAGTACATGAGTTATACATGAAAAAATTAGACGAAACTTAAAAGTAATAAATCTGCCAGGTTACGGGTTACAAATGCCATGTATGGAAGAATAAGACTTCCTGATATTCACTGTGTGAATGAAAAACAATGAGTAGACGGTCTTCAAGACCACATCAAATGGGGGAGGGAGGGGGGGGGGGTAGATCAATGAAACTTGCTAAAACACAGATTTTACAATATTTTGTCACTGAGAATTCTAATTTTCATTCTTCATTTCATGTCATAATCGACATAAGGACATTCAATTCATGAACAATTTTTTTTTTTTGGGGTAGGTTATTATGGAGTTACGCAGCTTCCCAATTCATATGACGAGTCATGAACTATCTTTAGAATTTTTGTTTTCTTTCTTTCCGAAAACTCCCCACTGTTCAGCAATTAAATCCTAGTTGAATCTAAGACCTAGATATAACTTCAACATTTAATTTTGAAAGTACACTGCAAGTATACTGAATTTACCATCAAATTTATCGTTTTAAAGTTATCGCTGTTAGTATCATCAAATATAAAAAGTGTCTGGAGGTTAAACCCATGACATACACAAAATTTTCCATTACAAAAATACAGAGTATCAGTTTAGTTTGGCAGATTACCAGGAACACAGAATTAATTAGTTAATTAACAGACAATTAGGCAAAATATAGTAATTGATCGACATGAAATATTTCAGTCACTGGTCAAGGTGTTTAATACATAAACAAATAAATGTGATCTTTCTACAAAATATGACAGCTGCTATCAAATCAAAATAATGAAGTAATTTTTATCATATACTATATTCTTATTAAAGTTGAGAAATATATTGGAAGTGTTCTTATTATTAACAGCCCAAATAATGTCACATACTTATAGTTTGAGATGAATGTAGAATTATGATATTACAAAAGTTGAGTTAAGCCTATATGACAATGTAACTTTATGAAAACAATATAAACATCCCTTCAAAATTGGCGAGCCTTATAGGACCACAGAGTTGATAGAATGACTTTCAATAATATCTAAATACTAAATTCACTGATTACTGTAATGACCGAGTGCCTGTCAATGTTATAGGCTCAGAAAATAAGTATAAGAAAATAACGTACATCACAAAAAGATTATTTTAAGAATAAAGTCTAAAAAGATGGAATGTTCAAAAACTCACAACCCCTCTTCTTTTCTTTCATTTTAATCTTAATTTACACTCAACTTGAAATATACACAAACGTACCAGTTACAGACATCAGAAAAATCATAAATAGTAAATCATTTTGAAATGCTAGTGAGCTGTGTTTTCATTCACTCCTAGTTCACTTCTTTTTAAACTATGAGTTATTTTCCCCCTTCAATTTTTTTTTATTTTACTATTGTACATACACATGCATCATATTGTAAATGCACACATGTGTGTGTTACATTTGGTTTTACTGAATTTACAGCACGTACTACTTAAATTAATCCTAGGTAATTTTAATGTGAATGCACTGCTTTCACAATCACATCATCCAGGTAAAATGGCAAGAATATCAATCAAACAGTGTTTGTTTACATTTTTAGATTTCAATGGCCACATATTGTGGCATTTTTAGGCTGCCAACAGAATACTTTATAACACTGATTCCTTGCCTTTGCAATATAAATTGTGGTAAGTAGTACTTGGTAAGAACGACCCTTACTACATGGAACACATTATGGATGTCCCTTAATAAAACACATATTTAGACTAAATACTGGAGTTGGCACTTATATCATAGGAGAGTGGTGTCAATCACACCGTGAGTTAATGATTCATCCATACACCTTACTTACCACTACCCCCTGCACTTCCACTCCTATCATCCTTCTTATCATCATCTTTTCCATCTTTGTCTTTATCATCATCCTTATCCTTCTCTTTATCATTATCATTCTCATCCTTGTCATCATCATCTTTCTTATCGTCTTCCTTCCCTGAACCATCTTCATCGTTATCTTTATTCTTCTCTTTCTCTTTCTCTTCTTCTTCTTCAATCTTCTTCAGGAGAGGTTCTACTTTGTCCTTGAATTCCTCAAAGACGAGCTGAAGATCCCGGATCTCCTCCCGTCGCTATGGTAACACAGCAAACACACATCACACAGTGTCAATAGGAGGAGGGGTGGTAGAAATGTGAGATAGGTGTTAAGGTTAGTTGAATAGTGTGGTGTACCAGTATTCAAATCAAAATGTGCACAAATGTTAAAATCATTAAAAAAATACAGTCTAACTTTAATTTGGTGTACTTAGCTCAACTTGTACAAAAGAATCATATTTTCACTGTTATACATCATATTTTCATGATTTGTTGTAAAAAAGTACAAGTGAATTACAGTGACTGGTGTATATCACTTAATGAGTTATTCAGTAAAATGGATGAATACAAGTATTCAAACTGCACAGATTGCTGTTATCAAAATCTGTTAACAATATGGGTTTGAACCCAAGTCATGTCTTTAACATGTTATCAAAAAGATGCAACTTTTCTTCTTGAAGGTACAGCTGGCCTATATTAATATTATACTGATTTCAGTTAGTGGCAACAGTATGTTGAAAATCTTCAGACTTGAAACTTGACAGGGAAATATCAAAAAGAAATTCAAACTGGCAAGTCATCTGGATGAAGTCAATTGGACATGTCTTTTATTTATAATTCACTTTAAAACAATCTCTAGACCAAATGAAGAGAAAAAGAATAAATGATGACTCACCGATTTGGTCTCAGTATCGACCTTCCTTGTAAGATGAACTCTGACTGTCTGTACACTGCTCTCAACCTTGGCCACAGTCTCTTTTACCTACACAACACAGAACAAGAGAGACTTAGACTTCACCTACAACCGTACAGAGACTACAACCAAAGAAACCTGATAGGGCTGAATGTATATGGCACACAAATGTAGACATGGCTGTGGGCGTTTCAAAGAACTTGTCATCAGTCACAAATGACAATTTCTGTTATAAGCTACTGAAATCCTTGCTTCTGATTGGTTATCAGCAAATTTGTCACTGATTTTTGTCATTTGTCATTGAAAGAAGGCTTTGTGAAACAGGTCCCAGGAGGAATCTGCAGTATGATGCAAAACATTCTTACACTTAATTTTGATTCGTCTTGTTTTATCAAAAATATAGCAGATGTGTAATCATTTCATAAAAGTATACAGATGCAAATCAAAAGGTTTTCAGATACATCTCAGAGAACTATTCTGATCTTTCAAGTTTTGTGCAAGTAAAATGTTTTAAATAGTTAAAGGTTATCCTGTGGATTGAAACACGGTTCTGTAAAAGTGTAGATACATGGCATCATTTTAAACAATGAAACACGGAAGCACGAGGCATAATTTAAATTTTAAAAGAATTTAAAACCAAAGAAGCACATGCATATGGCCTGACCCACATTGGTTCCTAAAGCCCAAACTTGGAACAAGGCGATTTTGACAATACTTCCATGGCAGAAACAATATGAATAGGGTATCATTGGACAGAAAATAAGTTACTCTTTATCATGAAATCAATTTCAAAGTCTGTTATGACTTTTTAATTAGGAGCTGCCAAGGTTGGATACACTTTCTTTTGATACACACTGTACAAGTATACACACAGTGCAGTTCAGTCAACTTTATAGAATGAATAGTGATTTTATTGACAGGAAACATAGAAAACACTACATGAAATTCTGGTTCAAATAAGAATAATTTTACAGGTAAATAATACTCTTACATGTCTTGATGATGTAAATGACTGAAGATGAAATAGATGTCTTGGATAGTAAGCTATTTTGTCATTTAAAATTCATTATGTGCATTCATATAAACGGCATGTCTAGAGTGCATGAGTACCATATAAAGATAGAAGGGTGTGCAATCAACATGAACACATCAGTGAACAAAATACATACTATGTGCATGCTTTAAAAAAATATATTATAAACAAAACTGAATAGGTTGACGGAGTTAAACTTTTTCAATTCATTTTTTTAATTATTCTACAATCTCATATCGTCTATTTGGAACTAGAAAGGTGCAAATACTTTAACACAAAGTTAACGCCCTTCTGCCTCTGAATAGATGATATGAGAATCAAAAGGGACACAAACATAGTACCATTTGTTTTCTGTTTCCTGTACTTAGGGAAAAAATAAAGAAATTATAGTGCTGATGAAAACAACGAAATGAACATGAAAGTTTGAGGACAAATCATCCATAGGAAATCAAACAAATGGTACAAGTGCATTGTGAAGGGGGTTGGGCAAGGTGAAACTGTACAATGTTTAAATTTAACATGAAATAAGGGATTAGTGCAAATTGGGATGTGAAACACAAAGATCACTGCACACTCTTTCAATACAGACCTCTTCCACCTTCTTCCTTTGCTGATAGTTGCAAAAACATGAATATCAAATTGAATTCATAAGTCACTTTATATACAAAACACAAAGAATGGATCATAAACAATTTTACAAACTTAACCACTCCTGTGCTACTAAGTTTATAAACAAGTACTACTAATGAATATTCATAAGTTTGGAGCTTTAATCCCTTCTTTAATTGTTGAATGTGGCACAAAAATGTAATACGCAGAAAAGAAGGTCCCAATACACCTACGTACCTATATTTCTGTATCAAGAAGGGGACAAAAATAGTCATAACATCACATTAACAAGTTTAAATGTGATGGCCCTGATTTTAAATCTACACAAGGGGAGGGTCACTATAGGCTTACAGTGCATGCATGGTCGACCACTGCAAGCCTCATTTTTAATAGTTTTTAACAGCAAGACAATTTTGTGCCAACTTTATACCAGTTTGGACATGACCAATAAACATGTTGATATCATAATGAAGATCAACATAAGGACTGAATAAGTACCATTATTACCCGTATCAGACATCTGAGCTGGTCATTTACAAAACCGTATTGCCCTAGTTTTCACTAGCAGTGGGAACGGAGGGGTATATTCTTTGTATTTTCCTTGGTCTCCCTGCGCGTATTGACTTTGCGTGTAGAGACGAGTGAAAATATACCTTGGTATTTTCCACGGTCTCGCATTTTCATTGCGCATCTATCAATATTATGCGTACGAGAACCTGCGCACTTTGCGCGCACTCTATTGTGACGTAATAATCACACCAAATACACACTGTTTGTAGTGTATCGAAAATTTTGTCAAGCACTGGATGCACAGTGTTGGTTTGACAAAGTTTGTTCAGTTCTCATGGTGGATGTCTGTATTTGCTCTAGATGTCTGATTTGGATAACAATAAAAATATTGACTGGCTTTACTTTCGGGGGATATCAGAAATATTGACCGCGCTAAGACCATATTGCCCTCGTCTTTCGACTCGGGGCAATATGATCTGAGCTTGGTCAATATTTCTGATATACCCCTCAAGGCCAGTCAATATTATATAAATATCTTATCAAACTCTTCATGCCAAAAAGGGGGTGGGGGGAATTACACAGGACTCAGGGTGAATTAGCCCCCGAAATGGCAAAAAGAGCCCCTGAAAGTCATAAAAGAGCCCCCAAATTTTTTCATAGAATTCAATGCAAAACAAATTAAAGAGTTATTTTCATGCAAGCAATCTTGAAAAGTAGCCCCCAAAATTGTGCAAATATTTTTCCCCTGATGCCAAATTTATTTTTGTTTTGGGCATGACCAACAAAGTTTGAGCATGAGTATGGATATGGATGTGATGGGTGGACGGGGAATGAAAACGTTCAGATACCTTATTGAGCTCCTCCTCTAAGAACTCCATCTTCTCCAGAGCTGCTGGATCCACCTTACCACCTCCCTTGCCTGCTGCTAGCTTCTCTTTCTGAGAGATGGGTATAGGAGCAGCAGCAGGTGCTCCACCACCCTGGGCAGCTTTCTGTGCTGCAGCCTCTATCTGCTGCTGTAACTGACTGACCTTGGTAGCTAGGTCCGCACGTACCATCTGAACATCTCGGATCCTACAAACACAATCAAGCTTGGTTTAGCATCTTGTGTACTCATGTTTTATCGTGCAGTCAATGTACTGAGTAGAAACGCAACGCGCATAACAGCTGCACTGCTAAAGCCAGGGTAATTATGCTGCATTATTGTAGAGCGCTTAGAGACTTCTGATAAAGTAAGTGTTAGGCGCTATATAAGCAAGGATAATTAGATATAAAATCTGAGTTGAACATGTACAGGCACATTATTTTCAGCATGTTTTTATAATTTGGTTTACATTTTCTTGGTCCATACAACTAAAAAACATCTTGACATAACAAATCACACTGGGTATCTTTAACAATTTTGATTTTTCACACAAAAATCAGATTTCCACATAAAGAAATACGACTAATTAAAATTACTTGTACAGGTAATTTCCACATAGTGCATTAACTGACCTAAGATCTTACCGTACTTAATCAATCATCTATAATTCTGCATTTCACAATACACATTCTCCACTGCAGTGGGGAGTATTCAAGCCAGTTGTCTTTTTACTTGGGCCTCACACACTAATCAAATCATATTTGCATCTTGCCAGTGTGACAATATCTTGTTTATATGACTTACAAGTTATAACACTGTACTGCCTATTCAGATAGACAAACAACTGAATAAAGTGAGAGACTTCATGTCAGACATCTTTGTGCACAGTGAGTTATTTCAGTCTTTAATTAGTGACAAACACATAACACAAGGGTGGAGAAGAGCAATGTAGATAAAATGCCTCAGGGACATAACCACTTCGAGCCGGTTCCTCTCAAAATTTAATACCATCGCCAGAACTTGGATTAGCTCTAAATAGCTCACCTGTCTTTAGCTTCTGTATCTACGAGTCCCTTCATATCTTCTTGTAATGTTTCATTGGTTCTATTCATCTCTCTGATCTCTGGTCCTAGTTCATCCATACGTTCCTTCACATGAACAAGCTTCTTATCAGCTGTGTCTTGCCAATCATTGATCTTCTCTAGGTTCTCAGAGTGATCTTCTACAATCTGGTTGGCTGCCTGCAAACATGAGAAACAAAGATAAGGATCAGATTTTGTTTTTGTTAAGCACATATCAAAAATGGCTGTATGCACTTCCAAAGAGTTTTTAATTATTACATGTACCCTGATTCTAGCCTCGCTGCCTTAATATAAGCTAGGAGCTGAAGCATTCAAGGAATTCCTTCCAACGTGTATCCATTTCCTTCACCTGGGCTGAGAGAGGCAAATGGAGATTAGGGTCTAGCCAAAGGGCAGGGATTAGAAATCTGTACCTTATGATACCTTGTCAAGTGACTTATCTACTAAACCACAATAATGTCAGCATGAGATTCTTTAATATGTATGTGCATTTTTTTAAAATCCTATTATCTGTTGAATACTTCAGCCGATCAAGACAGCTTGGGATGAAAACACAATGTGTCGCTCGGAGTTAACTTGTTTCAGGGCTAAGTGATACTCAACATGTTACAGGTTTGAAGGAATGATGCGAGAAACTTACCTTTGCGCCCTGTGAGAAATAAATGAAAAGGGAAGAAATCATAAAAATTACTTTAGTGGTTTTGATAATCAACACAACTATATATCATTTAAAAAACACAAACATGTCTACATAAAAGTATAATTTTGCAGGCAGTCAGACTTTAACAAATAAAAAAGGTTTACAAGTTGATGACTATGCCTTTCAAAGATAAAGTTGTTTCAAGTGTCTTCTAGTACTATCTTATCTATTATTTATGACTACTTCTTGAAATTGACAAATGAAAACCCCCCCCCCCCCCTCCTCCACAAAAAAACAATAGTAATAATAATAACAAAAAAAAAGAAGAAAAGTCTGTTGAAAATGTATGGTTTTTTAGACACTTCCTAAAAAGATCAAGTCATCAAGATATAAAATAATAAATATATTACACTTATACAATTTACTTCAAACTCTTGAAGGATATGCAAAGCTGTCAATCTTTATCACAAAACGAAATAATCATTCAATGTCCCCATTGACAGTATGAAATACTTTGATGTATAGAATGACTTACCTGGTCACCTAGTGCTTCTTCTACAGCCTGTAATGTAAGAAAGAAATGTAAGACACAGTCAACAAAATATACTGTACAAATACAGAATAGCTTACTCACAGTCAAGATTAGACACATATGTGAATTGGATTTATACATTTTATCCTTAAAGCAGTACAGAAAATTTCCTGCTTAAAAGAAATTCCAATTGGTTGTCAAAAGGTAAACACCAGTTAATTTTGTGACATTAGAAACATGGCACAAAATTTACTGATATTTACATTTTGAAAGACCCTTCACATGGGAGAAGTTACTTTGCCATCGTTCTACCTAGACGGATCTGATTAAAATGAATTATTTCATTACAGATCTTTCATAAAAACCCTGACTTGTCTGCAATGTATTAGAGGTAAATGGGTACCTGGCAGGAATTAATTCCTTGAAATGCTAGACCACTGTAATGGCAGATAGGCTAAAGCGGGGGTAATAATAATAATAAATGCGCCTCGGAATAAAAATTCTAGATAGACGGCGCTATAGAAATGCCTAATGTATTAGAATAGAGAGAGATGATTGAACTTACAGCAAGGATCCTGTCTTCCAATGTCTCTTCTTGTGTAGCCATCTTACTCTGTAGAGTAGCTAACCTGGCGTCTAGATCAGTCACTGCTCTCAACTGACCATTCTTAGCTTCCTCTAGAGCAGATGCCATCTTATCTTGACTCTACAGGCAGACAAATAAAAGGTACATGCAGATGTGGTTAGTATACAAATTAATACAAATGAGTGAGGGCATTAGTAAGAATTACCCACACAAGGTACCTTTGGAACAGTCTAACACGTTTCTAACGCGTTTGGACTGTTTTGAAGGTACCAGGTGTGGGTAATTTTACTAATGCGCAAACAAAATGATGTTTGAGTTTGAGTTTGAAGTTTATTATCCAAACAAAAGTACATCAATATAACAATCAAATGTGTATTATTTGTTTTATAAGATTATGTTTTACATGTTTTATGAAATGAAATTTTCTTACATGATTTTGATAATGACCGGTCATTATCATTGGATAATGATCGGTCATTACCCAAATTAGGCGCAATTACGCGTTAGGCAAAATAAATGCCTGGTCACATGTACGCTTTAAACCAATCATTTGATTAGGATCCACGTCATCATCTTATAAATATGACTACCGGTATGGGAAGGCAGCCAAAATGTGGAAAAGAAAGCAATAATTAATTTGCAGCCAACACTTTATCTCGACTCGAACATGTGCACAAATGAAAGGCAGATACATTGAAAATATTTCAGTTTTATTACAGGATTCCCCAGTTGACCATGTACGAACGGACCTCAATACCCAATTTACAGCTGCCATCTTAACTTGACTCTAACATGTGCACAAATAAAAGGTAAATAATATTAGATATTACGCGATTCCCAGTGGTATAAAGTTGAAAGGGCCATCAAAATGTGTTAAAGGAACGCAATACTCATTGTACAGCTGCCCTCCTACCTTGACTCTAACGTGTGAACAGACGAAAGACAGATAATGCATACTTAGTTCAATACAATTATGGGATCCATTGCCCTAAAATGATTGAAAGGGCCATCAAAATGTTTTCTAATGAACTCCATAATGAATATACAGCATATCTCTCAGCTTGACTCTAACATGTGGAAATGATTTAAAGTAGATAAAGCCAGGGTAATAATCGGGGTAGCGCCAGGAGCGTCAGAACGTGACGGACATGTGCGCTATATAAGAGAAGCCATTATTATTATCATTATACATGCAAGCATGATAACAAAGTTCCCCTGCAGTATAATGTTCAAGGAACTCAATGATCAATCTACAGCTGCCATCTTAACTTGATTACATCATGTGGACAAATGAAAGACAAAAGGCTTCTGTTAAATGTAGTATTTCATCATTATTAAAGAATTCCAAAGCAGCAAAATATGAAAATATCATAGACATTGCTCAAATGTTTCATCAGTATATTTAACTTAAGTATGAGAAATTGATACAATGTAACTGTGAAATCAAACAATATTTATTGGAATCTGTCTTGAAAGCTAAGAAAAGTGATAGAATTCAATAGATGTGCTACACAACTCATTGCCTTAAACAAATAAAGTAACTAGAAAACCTTACATTCAATAGCCTCAAGAGAACAGAAGGCTTGGTCTAGCTACCATTTCATTCTACGATGCTGAAACTAACCATTGATGACACAGACCATAAACTTCAACTGTTAATATTTTCTAAAAATTGTTTTATCAGGTCTTAAAAAAAAATGTTGTATTGCCCTTTAGGTGCCAAAACATGGGTCGGTTGGTCGGAAATATACATATTTTTTTTCATTTTTTTTTTTTTACTCCCTCTTTAGGCTGATATTTCTCAGTTTTGAATCCTTTATTACACATTTTTTCTCTAAATAACGGTTTAAGAAAAAATTGTTAAAAATCTGACCGTAGGTTTTTAGATTTTTGGGTCGGTCACAAACGACAATACAACATTTTTTTTTTTGGGGGGGGGGCCTCACCACCATCACTACATCACTGACTACAGAAGAGACCAGAGTATGTATCTTACCACGTTGGAAGTGCTTGAGACTTGATCATTGATGCCTCCGATGGCTTGCTGAAGGGTTGATATAGCAACACCAAGCTTCTCTTGTACATCCTCTATCTTACTCTCAATCTGCTTGTCTTGACTTTGTCTGAATAATAAAGATGGTAACATTGAGACGGTTAGAAACATTAATAACATCACAGCAACTTCTTTCATTTCTCAAATGACACCTACCCATTACACAAGTTAACAAATATATACAAACAAAAAAAAAACCAGCCTCCCCCAAACAAAATAAAAATTAAAAATTAAAAAAAATAGGTCCCTTCCTGAGCCAAAATCAGTTGATACCAGATTATCATATTTTGTATCAATGCTCTCCACAACACTATGCTTGAAAATTGAAAATAAATATCAGACTATCAATTGGAAATATAATGTGAAAGAAACTAATTTCAAACCCTTTATGGTGTATGAAATTTTTGGACGGGCTCTTTGACAGACGATGTGGAATAATTTCAAAAATTGGGCTGCTTAAAGAGGGTAAAGTGCCAAACTCCATAGATCCCCTGAGCTCTACCCTACCCCTCCCCCTTCTAGAGGTCCTATCTGACCCAAGATTGTTATATTAAAATTCATTGGCTCTCAGATAGATGAGACTGTATTACCTTGTTTTGATTTCAGCCTTCATAACTTGTTCCAGTTGTTTCCTTGTTTCTGCTGATTGTCTCTCCATTTTCTCCACAGTATCACTCACTTTGTTCATACCACCAACGTTCTTATGCCTGTCAAGCTGAAGAAGCGATCAAAAGAAAAACATCACCATCGTTAGTTCTGCTCAGGGAAGAAAAAAAAGGCTCGAAAGAAAATTACACTGTACTTCGAAACTAAAAATTAATTATACCTGCCAAAATTTGTGATATATGTATGAAATAGTTAGCTGAGTAATATGTAATATATAGCTACGTAATGAGTACACAAAATATAAGTGTGTGTGTGTGTGTGTACTGGGTTTTTACAGACGTGGATATGATTATTTACGTCTGGGGACCGACCTTTAAACGTCACCATCCGAAAGACGTGACTCAGTTTCGAACCTGCGTCCTTGGCTGAATCAGTTTGTAACTTACACTTTTAGCTAGATTACAGGCGCACGCCACAACGCCTAGTTGTCTTGACACAAGGGGCTACCACAAGGTTTCTTCAAATGGCATAGGGCTTTCCAGTGAATTCCACTCAGTTGAATGCAATGCACACATACGCATTCAGCACATGAATCAAATCACTCAATAGTACTTTATAACTATCTAAAATGTCACAATTGTTATCTTGATACACAACTCACCTTCTGGCCTTCTCGTACATGGAGTACTTCTTCCTCTGTGAGTTTCTGTAAAGCAGCCCATCTCTTCTCATTCTCCTCCCTCATTGCTTGCTCATGAGCTATACGAGCTGCTTGCTCTGCATGAAGATACTGTCATCAAATAGTACAAAAATATTGTCATTATTATGACTGCTACACTTACAACCATGTTTTCAGCAAAGATATACATTACAATTTATAATAAAATGTTCAATAGAGATCAAGGATGTACAAGAAAAACAAAACAGATAAAGATGGATGTCGACAATGCACAGGTATTTAAAATTAAATTTAAAAAAAATATGCAGCTATTGCACCCCAAATAAAGCTCATTACCCACCTTTTTCTCGTTACAAGAAACTTGTATGCAGTGGTCTTCATGTTTCATGTATGTTGTCCCCATTAAATGAATAATTTCTTTTCCTACTCTCATCCTTACTCTCTGTTTCCGTTCTTGACCCATGTAAAAAGCGAACAAACATATTTCTTTCTCCTCATTTTTCAGTTGCCAACTGCTCTCTCCTTTCATATATTCTATTCATTATTACGATAATTCTTCTTCCTTCTGTAACCCTCCCAGCCAATGTCGTAACAGCCCCATCTGTAGAAGCCTTTCGTCTTCAATTGATGAGAGGCTGCAGCAGCTAGATCCAATGCCGCTTTCACTTGTACCTTGTTAATTATTGGCACATGCACCCAATCCTTGTGACACACACTACACCAAAGTTCTGCAAGAATCTTCAAGATTGAAGGAAGCAGACTGCACCAAAGAAGAAGAAGAAGAAGAAGAAGAATCCTCTCAATGACTACAGATATCTGATTAGTATGAAGTTCTTTCCTCACCTTTTCAATATTACCGAACTTCTGCTGTGCCTCTTCCCTGAGTCGTATCTCTTTGGATAAGATCTTCTTACTGACTTCCTCAGCGATCTCTGCTATCTTGCCGTGCATCTTCAGTCTCTCATTGTCTGCTGCGTGTTCTCTCTCTCGCTGTACCACATCCAAGGCATGCATGGATTCATCCCGTTTCCTGCTCACCTCATGCAGCTGAGCTTGCATGTCATTCATTCTGAACAAATGGAAAGGGAACTTAATCAGACTTGGATATATACAAAGTGGTTTTGAAAATACAAACTAATCACATGAATATGTCCATAGAATGATTGCTTTATCAAACAAAAGTGGTTTGAATGCCCTATATGAAATTGAATATCATTTTGAGGTGTATTGACTAAAAGCTAAATATATATATACACTCAGCACCAACAACAATAAAATTGAAAGTGGATAATATTTGTAGTAAAAGATTTCAAAATAAATTTTAAAGATAATGTTGTCTTTCATATATCAAAATAAACAATTTTTTAATCATCTTTAAGGTGATGTGCAGTTGGAATCAAACCATTCAAGCAAGAATGAGAATAGCCATTTCATAATAAATGAGTCTCTGAAAGAAAATTGCAAATATGGGGCATCTAGACATTCAAATGTTGATGAGCACTGGAGGTATCGTAAGGCTTGTCCATGATCTTGGATGGACAGGAGAGGCATTTTGACCAACCATGCAGTCCTGAGACTATAGTTTAAATCCAGAGCACAATCCTCCTCATTGTTTCTCGTTCTTGTTTTCATTGGTTAACAAGAATATTTTACAGATGCGCATGTTCCATAAGATTTGAATGGTTACCTGCTCTATTTTTGCAATTTTCTTAATCTGACCTAGCAAAAGTTAAATGAATATGCCCACCCAAAGTGAAATTTCAAAAATTTGTTGTAGGGCAGTTATTTTTCTTGAATTTGATATATATTTCATTATATTAACGTTTTACTGGTATATGAAATTTTGAACAATGAGGAGTGTATTTTTATTTTGTCATCTGACCGTACTATGATACAACATGAGAATAAGAGATAAAGAGAGAGGGGGAATCAATAGTATTAAACAGTGAATTTGATGGTGAGAAATTAATGATTAGGAATGCTGATTAATTACTTAATCAATTGATTCTGTTCTTGTTGCCTCCTTTCAGTCTCCTCGGTGGTTACCCTGTTTCTCAAATCCATCAAAACATCTCGTACCTCACCCAACCTGCAAATAAAATGAAAAGTCTGTGAACACATTTGTACCTCACCCATCCTGCAAACAACAGTGCTCAAAAGGGACAATTAACTTCCAAAAAAAAAATGTGTTACTTTACCAAAAATCTTTTTCAAATCTATTCTGTATAAAAACTGAGATTACCAGTATGGTACGTCAGTAGAAGATCTAATACAGTCATGTACATGTACATTAACAATTTGAAGACATTTTTTCCTTCTTTTAAATTACAATATGTCATCACTATACACATTTATATCATTTGACAAATGTAGCAAAACCCAGACTGACGACACTATCAAAATTATAGCATGCAAACAAAAACCAAAAAAGAAGAAGAAAGAATTCACTCCAAAAACTAAAACTAAATGTGTACATGTGTAGCTGCATAGAAAAGGAACAAAATCCTGACTTTTAACTTTAGAATAAAATGATCATGAAAGGTAAAAAAAAAGAAAATGTAGATAACACATCAAGACTCTAAGCCTGCACTGAGACATGCATTTACCGAGCATCAAGTTGAGATCGTAAGACAGCTGTTGTTTGATTGGAATGTTGTTGATTTTCGTTGAATTTTCTTTGATGATCCATCTGGTATACCGGCCACACAGAAAGCAAACAAACAGCAACACATGGATGCAAACAAATGAGGAAAATGATTGCAAGAAAACAAATAGAAAAAGAAAGAAAGAAAAATGAAAAATGCAAATTAAAACTTAAAATAAAGAAATTAAAAATTGTCTGAAGCCCGAAAATGCAATGTAAGTAGGTATTAAGCTAACAATTTGGTTGAGGACCAGGATCAATTATTATAATTGAAGTTGAAGGCTATAATATGCATGCCATCAAGAATTTTAGCACTCAATTTAGTTCAGCTAAATCTAATTCTTTTCTCATGTTGAAGAACACTCTTTTAAAGTATTCAATTATAAACGGTAGAATTCATATATCAACATTTGTCACAAAATTAATCATTTGGTTACAATGTTCATGCATGTTCTTCAAAACACAGTCATTAGTCATACATGTACATGCATTTTCTATCGTTTCTAATGTTGAACATCACCATTAATACCAAACAGCTTCTTAAGAAATATACTAGGTAGACGGTTTAGTCCTTGCAATTATACTGCCTTTCAATTCTAAAAAGCACTTTTCTATAGATATCATGTAACTAAAGAAATATAAAGTTAAAATAAAAACTTGATGATATTTAATACAATCATATAAAATCAAAGATCAATCTAAAACCTAAACACGATATTGTTCAAATTACATCTCCCTGAAAAATGGAAATTCTAGATGTACATGTTCCATCCAACTTGATTGATATGTCATGTCAGATTCTTTGACATTTCCTAATTGCTAATTACAAATACAATGTGTGCTCTGCAAATGGGCTACGTGCATAACTGCAGTGAAATTCTGACAATTAGACTCAATAGGTTGTCAAGGTTACAGTGATTATGCGAACAATGAGCGAGAGGACGTTGCAACAAAAATCTACTTTTAATGAAATTCTGGTTTTCATTTGTTATGTAAATGCTGAGTGATACGTGCTGGGTGTTACGTACTGGATTCATAGTCGAAGTGGATCCATAAGTTGAGATCTCTACATACTAATACCAGTGCATTTTTTTCATTCATGGAAAACTGACAAAACATAAACATAAAAGAAATAAGCTGCTAAAAACTTTTAAAACACAGGCTCAAAGGAACACTACAAAAACTACCACAAAACAAAGTAAAACCAGTAGAAAACAATGCACAAAAAAGAGGGAAGGGGGTGGAAGAGGGATATGAAGAATCTATATTTTTTGTATAGGAAAACAATTTCAAGAATAGAGGCAAAAGAACATCTGTTGATAATTCTGTTTAAAAGGTAATTAAAAGCTAACTGCAAGCAAATGCTCAATTCCAACTGGAAAATTAAAATAAATTGCAAGATTCAAATCTTCAGATGTAATGTTTGGATGGTTTACCTGTTACCAACTTGGTCCTTCATTTGACTCATAAGTTTTTCAAGATATGGATCAGGTAGACTCATAAGAGTAGATATCTTGGAATTCTAGTGAATGTTAGTAAATGAGAAACAAACACAATATACAAGATCGTTACACATACAGGTGTATATGAACCAAAATATGCCCTCTTTCTAAACAAAAGAATTTTGATCTCTTTTGATACATTTAGTCCCCTGGCTTCTGTGGTGCATGGACTTTGCCTGTATTTGGCATTAACTTCCAAATGTTAAACAAAAATAAGAAAGATTTTCCACTCTTTGTTTGATCGTACTAATGGGTGTAAAATATCTTCCATGAGATTAATTCACAATGACCATACTACTTGTTCCAGGAGGATAATTCTAGCCAATTTCAATCTGTCCACATTTCAATTCTTAAACATGATATGCTACCACGTAGGTGTTGAAGAAAACAAAGCAGTTTCATACTGAAATGATTTGTAATTGATATCCAAATTATCCAAGGGTTTTAAATTTTATACACGAAGTCTCTTGTGGGTTCTCAACACGACCATACGAGGCTGTATCAAATCAAAGAGGGTATATTGAGGCATTCATTAGTGAGGGTATATGACACAGGATATATACATGTATGTGCTACATAGTGGGTGTTCATAATCATAGCATATATGACAAGTGGCTGTAACATAGAGCGTATAGACTACCAAAGCTGTGACATCATAAAAATCTTTTTGTAGAATTTCTCAATTTTTTCTTCATTTTCCGAAAGAGCATAAACAACAATGTCCAAATGTCAAAAGCCATATATGTTTAGTATTGGCTGAGATATGACCATCTGAATTAAAAATAAATTCCTATAGGAGCTCAGTGTTATTTTGCTCTGGTTCATAACATTATGAACCAGAGCAATATAACACTGAGCTCCTACACAAAATCTATTTATTCAGATGGTCATATCTCAGCCAATACTTAACATATTCAATTAGTTTTCGACATTTGGACATTATTTGTTATGCTCTTTCGGAAAATGAAGACAAAATTGAGAAATTCTACAAAAAGATTTTTGTTGATGTCACACTTCACCACTCTATATTGGTGTAAGTAAAGGTATGACAGCTAAGGGGTATGTGTTAGACACCAGGTGTTCATTTAATCGTAAACACATATGACAATAATTACAAACGTTTGATTAGAATGTAATTAGTGTTACAAAAATATTATATTTTGAAGTGCAAAATGTCAAAGAAAACACTCAATATTATCAACTGCATCATGTGAGTGACAATACCACAAAATATTTACATCATCGCACATAAAGATGATAACAACACTAATAATAATAATTGGTTATTGTAAAGTGCTCATGTCTGTCAGATTTGACACTTCTGGTTCTCTACAATTACATTACAAATTATCAAAAATAAATGTACCCCCCATTTCTGCAAGAATAATTTCAGAGGATTAAGTCCCATAATCATTTACGACAACAAAACATTGCAAACCAATCTCTACTTTCATATCTTCTTCTTTCCCCCTTCCTTCTTGACTAATTTAAGCTTTTCAGGAGTTTCTCCTTTAAAATTTTACTTCTACATAGTGATCATAATACATTAAAACAAAATATATTGAAATGCTACACTAGGAAACCTTGTACATACATATACTGCTAGCCAAGTACATACACACTGTATAAGTGATGCATACTCAAACTAATGTATGAGATGGTGATAGCAAGTGGACTTAATTCAAAACCTAGGGAAAAGAACTTAAAATACACACTGTGACTCGAAACATAACTACCCCTCCCCCCCCCCCAAAAAAAAAAAATAAATAAAAAATAAATATATATATACATATAAAAGAAAATGAATCATTTTAAGGAAATATTCTTCCTAACTGAGCACCTGCAATTAGTCTAAATGCAAACTCTTTATTTCAGGTTCCCTTATAAATACATACATGTACTAATCTACTGCAGTGATATATTGAATATAGATATATTGATCAATCAACTTGTCATCATGCTGTAAGGTCTTTAATTCTCTCTAGACTTGATTATTGTAATGGACTTCTTTCCTCTCTTCCAAAGTTACATGTAAACCGTCTCCAGCGCCTACAAAACTGGGCAGCACGTCTTGTGTTTGAGGTCGGTAGAAGTCATTCAGCTCAACCATTAATTAATTCCCTTCACTGGCTTCCAATTCAACAGCGAATCATTTTTAAGTTACTCTTATATGTCTATAAATCATTGCACCACCTAGCTCCTAATTACCTGTCTAATTGTTTAACTTTATATACACCAAGCAGAAATCTCAGATCTTCAAATGATAACCTCCGTCTAAATTATCCAATTACACGTGTCCAAGCCGGGGATAGGACTTTCACGGTAGCAGCATCCAAAGGGTGGAATAATCTCCCCATGTCCATCAGACAATCTGCCTCTATCGATATTTTTAAGAAGGCTCTGAAAACTCATCTCTTTACATGAATTCTCCTCTATGTTTAATTATTTAATTTAATCAATTGAATTTAATATTTTATATGGAATATCTAATTGTAGCCTTTAATTACTACATGTAGTAAAGACCAATAATATTATTTGATGTTAGCGCTCTGAGCCTTATGGGAATGGCGCCCTAAATGTTCATTGTATTGTATTGTATTGTATATATTGATATAATGGGAGTGAGGGGGTCAGTGTATGACTAGATTATAACATGAAATAATGCAGGGATCATAGTATATGTGTAGTTAACGTTATAGTTTATGCAAATACAGTGCAATAATGTAATAATCCCTTGATGTATTCTCTATGGGTGCAACAATTTATTTTGTAATATTCATACATGACTTGATTCACTGCTTTATCTTGCTTTATATTAATAAGGCCCCAACTTACATGGTATATGTACAAAATAAAAATATGATTGAGCGATTCAATCAGACAGATCTTGGCTCTCTGATGAATCAAGTGCACGTTAATCTCGTGCACAAGGAAGTACTTTTGTTAAATGTGCAGGGTAATAAAAACACAACGATCTGCAACAATAAGAACAGCATCCTCTTTGTTTTACTATCACTTTCTACAGTAATACAGTGTTACAGTGTTATAAGGTCTGTTCTGCAAAGTGCTTAGTTAGTTAGTATTAGTCTTACCCTCTGTTTCATCCCATGGAAGACACGATAGGTAGTGAAAGAAGCAAAGATGAATAGTAGGATGGCAAACAGACAGGAGTGCCTCATCATAAATAAAGGCAGTAAAGGACTGCATGCATTTATTTTAGGCCTATTCAATATCAATGTATATATCCACGGTGGGCCAAGTTGTTACAGACTTAAATATTCCAGATTGCTACGCTGCCTTATCCACCCCTCCCCCTTCCCTCCAAAAAAAAGAAGAATATAATCGTTGAAAATTTTCTAAATTTCATTGTACAAAAATAATTCCAGTCACTTTTTTCTTTTATACATTTGAAACAAACAAAATGTTTTTTTTTAAATCCACTTAACAATTATTTACCTTGAAACATTGCAATATTTATCAAGCAATTAATGATATATTTACAACTATCAAGAATTAGAAAAAATCTAATAAAAATACATTTATACAATAAATAATTCTAACAACAAATCTAGGGGTCGGTGACACAAAGACGTAACTCCATCTTGGCCATTTTGAGAAAAAGTGGTTTATGTGTCACTAAGCACTTGGGCCTTAAGGAGTTAAAGTCTATGTTTCACTAGCCATTGACCTCAATGGGGTGTTGGGTGGAGTTAAGTCTTTGTGTTTCCTGGAAAGCCCACATTTTTTGAACATTTTGATGTCAAATACTCATTTTGGCAAAGTATGGAGTTACAGTTTAAGTACGTCTTTGTGTCACTGAACCCTCAAAATCATCTGTAACCATTAAAACAAAGAGGCCTATCTCTACTTACCAATGTCCTATTATCTTCTTCTAATCTCTTGGTCCGTTCCTTGACATCATGAACCAGACTACCAATCTCAACCTGTGAGGTGTCTGTTCTACCCTTCACCTGTCTCACATCATCTACTAAGGATGTAGTCACTCGTTCTAATTGCTCTCTCATCCGATTAGCTTCATCTAATTCATTCTTCAGTTCAGAATACCTGTGAGAAAGGAGTACATCAACTTCATTTATCACAAATGTAATCTTCAATCATTGGTCATGTATGCAGGGGTGATAGTAGTGAGCACTAAACAAGAAAAGGTTTTTTTTTTCGCCTTAACCACACCCCCCCCCCCCCCCCCCCCCTTTAAGAAAATTGGGGAAAAATCGGGAACAACAGGGAAGAATAGAGAAAATAAAGGAAAAATAAGGAAGAAAAAAAAATCAGGGAAAAATATTTAAAAAATCATGAAATCAGAAAATTAGGTAATTATCAGGCCTGTGCATGATGGCAATACGGATGAATAGAATTATCATGTTAAAAAAACATGTATGTTGAAAAATACAAAATATCCAATATTTGAAGGAAATAATTGATACAAAATGAAGACTATTTGAGAAATGAGCAATACAAGAGAAATTAGGTACATGGTTACAGTTATTAAGATCCTTTTATAAGGCAGCCTTGAACGTAGGATTATGTCCATGCATCTGATTTTCAATGTACTGAACACATTTTTATAACTACATGTACATTTAGGTTTATATTTTACTTGTCCAAGTGGCCCCATAATATGGGAATTCTCATTCAGAATTACAGAATGACTAGTTTGTAAAAACTATGTCCATATATTCTTTAAGTACTGAATCACATAGAAATATGAAAATTGAGTCAAAATGAAATAGAATTACTGACTAACCTTGTCATCTGCTGATCTCTCTTCGCTAGTATTTCTTGTTGACTACCCAGTACAGCCTGTTCAACCTGTTTAGTATGATTAACCAAAGCACCTACAGCTGTTCTTTCATCAGATACTCTCTCCTCTGCTCGTTTCAACCGAGCTCCTAGCTGCCCAATCAGGTCGTTAGAAGCACGGATGTTTTCTGTGAGCTGCTGTCTGGCTTGTCTTTCTGCAAGCAATGTGTCCTCTGTGGTCCTATATGATTGCTTTAGTTCACCTGTAAGTTAAGACATACATGTACACACAAAGTGAGGATTATTTCCAGGGACTGTGGCATGATTGTGGATGGAGTACTGGCTGCAATCATTCATAGCCCTGCCAAAAAAGGACTTTTAGCTTTTGGGACTGTTATTGAACTCTCTGGTTCTCCTTATTCAGCTACATGTATAATTCAGTATGAATCCTCTATCGGTCTTTATGCATTGATAGAACTTCTTATGTGTATGTCATTAATCACTGATAAATTCACTCCAGTTCAATAAATAATTTGTGACATGCAGTCCTTTAAAAATGACCAGAATTGGGTTGGGCAACTCCTCTTTGGTACTCGTAGTAAAAAGCCTTACAATACTGAATAATATTCTTTTTTTAATTTTTCAAGACGTTTGTTTGTGTCTCCTTAGATCAAGATTAATGTACAGTATCTTGATCTTCGGAGTAGTTGCTACAACCAGCCATGTCAGACACATTGCCCGGGGTATGAGATAGGACTTTTGTAGCTTGCCGCCAGTTAACACAAAGACAATTAACATTACATTACATTACATTACATTTTTCATGACAACAAATTGAGATACATTTTACTAACCAACCAAATCATTAGTCTATTTCTCACGTGCTGGCTCATAATCAGTTGTTCTGTAGAAGAAAAAATTAACTGGGGATGTATAACTGTGATAGATTATTGGTAAATTGGCAGGCAGAATCGTTACCTTGTAACCTGACGACCTCCTCTAGTAGTGCTCTATTAGACTGTTCTGCCACACCCAATCTATTCTCCATCTGTTGAATCCTTCCAGTGTGGTAATCTCCATTAGAAAACTGGCCTCCACCATTGGGTATCTGAGAGAGCTGAGAGAGCTGGGAGCGACGCCCACCCACCGGTACCAGGGCATTATCAAAGCTGGGTTGTGGAGTCTGGGAGGAAGGGATGGATGGCAGAGGATGTGATCCACCAAACTTGTTTTGATAGGGCCTACGGAGGTGAATGGAAAAAAGTATCCATTAATATTTCCTGCTTCTCTTACAATCACCTACTACAATTTACATGTACATGTGCAATGTGTTATAAAGTATGTTATATTATATAATTGATGGACTCTATTTCAAAAGTTCATATCACTTTGGGAAAATATTTCTGAAGACCCAAAAAGATGTGTACATGTACATAATGCAGGAAAAGGAAACTGTGTATCACAAAAAGGCCACATTACAATGTGCAAGTATCCTAGATGATTCAAGCACTATCCATGAATATACATGCAGCTGTTAGTGTTGTATACTGTGGTAGGCATTAGATTGTGATAATGTTCAATCAAAACTTGAGTGAAAATGGAAACAATTGTAACTTATATTAAATGCAAAATTTGAGTAAGAAAATCATGAAATTAGTGTCACAATTCTTTTACATTTCATACTGATAGACTTAAAAGGCAGTGATATGGCTTGAAATTCATGATTCCCAAATAATTGAGAGAATTAGTTCATGGTATATTGTCATGGACTATAAAGTTTTGGATCTAAAATTAGAATACTGTTCAAGTTTGCAGATCACAAAATATCTCATGAAATTCTCGAACAATGTACTTCAAAATAGAGGTGTACTGTACATGAAAAGAATTGAGAAAGATAGAGGTAAAAGAAAATGAGTAACTCTTGAGGAGTAAAGGCTTGATGGCTAATGACAAGAAATAAGATTTCTATGAGAGACATGGTGACTGCATGGCAAGAGATAGATAAAAAGAGAGAGAGAGAGAGAGAGAGAGAGAGAGAGAATTGGAGAGCTATGAATATCTTGTCTATTCATGACAATTGATAGGGAGTTCCCACATCTATTTACAGTATACACTGTACATACACTGTACATGCAATATACATGTACAGGTGATTTATCCATGCTCATTGTCATCCAAAACTATAGCTGTCATCAAATAAATCAAATTGTTAAAATATTATTGTACTATACCGTCAGCACAGTGTATAATGACATTTCACTGCCAGTCGTTTCTATAGGAACAAATGACCTACCACACAATGCAATCAATTAAATAAATGTATTGTACTGGTAACAATGTGTTGACAGCTGCAATCACACACACATTATGAACAGTTGAACACACATTAATCATACATGTGCAATGAATTTACCATGCAGGCAGCATTTCATCCTAACTCAATACATCTAATAGCATCAAGTATCTGATGATTGAAACTCTCATCGTAATGAAGGGAAGAGTACAGCATTGAAGAATTACATGTAACACAAACGTTATTGTTTTGTTCATACTATGTCTTTTTTTCTTCAGTTTTCAACGATTAATAATGATTACCAATGTATGTTAAAACTATAATTTTATGTGTACAATAACATACATGTACTACATGTATTGTATTCAAATACAATGTACATACAAGTACACCAAATACATTACAACATGTACACATTCAATTTTAGTTGTAACATGTACATGTTGCATTGGCAATCATTATTATAATCATTGAAAATAAAACAAAAAAACATCCCAATAAAAAAAATTAGTTTTTATTTGACAGATATGAAGTAGATCTGAATGTATGCCTAAAACTCTGTACAAATTATATGATTGCCCTGTGACCCTGTCCAGATTTGATTGAATTTCACTTCAAGGCATTTCCCATGCTCCAATTAGAGATAATGCAGGTCTACCTGTCTCATCAAATAAGGTGGGCTGGTTCCACATGGTAGGCGCTTTCATAATATATTTCATTCTGGGTATACCGTATTTGCCGGCGTAAAGGCCGCACTATTTTTGGAAGAGAAAATATCAAAATGTTGGGGTGCGGCCTTTACGGCGAAAGAGTAAAAAAGAAAAAAATCAAGTCAAAACCAGCACGAATTTGCACACATGGGACTACGAACGGTACAATACCTATACCACTATGGTACAGTACATTTCAACACATCTTACCGACAATTTTATCTTGCATTGTTGACATGAGTACGAAAATAAATTGCTAAACCAACATTTGCCGATAGATCTTGATCTAAGTTTGTGCCAATGCATTGCAAAAGTAAAGAAAGGGACCATTTAACCGAGCCGCTGTGAAGCATCCATCCGAAGTCGCTATTTTGTTTTCGATTTCATGCAGTTTCGCATTACACCGTACATTGTGGTAGGGGTATATATCGGACACCAAATCTGCCCGCGATCACTTTTTGAGCTAAACTTCCAGTAAATTATAAGAATATTGATGAATTTGGTATCAGTTTGTAAAAAAAAAATAGTGTTTTACGAGAAAATTACGATAATTTTGTTTTGTCCGTTGGTTTTTTTCCCTCTTTGAAATGTCAAAGTTGGGGTGCGGCCTATGCGGTGGTGCGGCCTTATATCGCCGGCAAATACGGTAATCTATACATGTCAATTTCAATTTATTTTTTCATTGCATAGTCATAAAAGATGTAATGCACATTGAACTAATCATATTGTAAAGAAATACTGTTGTTTTAACTTATTACTGTTGTTGTTGCGTTCATTATAAAAATCAACATCACTATATCACCTTTATCATCATCACAATCATCATCATCATTACTGGTATGTACTATCAAAATCAAGAAATATAATGAAATACATTTGTAGCATATTTAGATATTTTGACCAACATGTCTCTTTTTTTATCACCCCCCCCCCCCTCCTCCCCATTTCCTCTTCCCTCCCCCCCCCCCTCTCTCTCTTTCTCTCTCTGTCTGTCTTTCTCTCAAGTCAAACACTGCATGTTACTAGAAATCCTCTGTCCAGCCATTTCCTATTACAATGTAGTGTATCTAAAGAAGAATTATTGCAATGTTAATGAAAACAGAATACATTTTTTTTAAAGAGATGACCTACACACATGTACATGTACATGTAGTCAAAGAAAGAGAGTACAAAAAAAGATTGCACTTACTGTTCTACTTCTCCACCAAAGCTCCCATTTGAGGCCCACATCTTGGTTGCTTCTTCTCCACACGCGGCTCAGGAGAAAGAAATCTACACATGTATGTATACAGTGTAAATGAACTAAATCCAAAGTATCTGAGTCTGCTTTATCCTTTAGCTGTGAATAATAATAATAAAATGAATTAGAGATTAGAGAATAATAATAATGATAACAATAAATAATAATGACAATGATAACAATATTAATATTAGTAATTTCAATAAAGTTGACTAATGCTTGTAAAGCAATTTACCAGTTAATTTACCAAAGCCTTTGATGTAAGCTACCCAACTGGATTCGGCGTAAATATTCATAATTGAATGACACACGCCTTTAAGACTAAAACAACAACAACAAACAAATTCAATAAGGATCTACAATTCTGTGCTTTGGATTTTAACTTAAAGTTAGTTTAGAGCGCACAAATGCACTCTCCATTCCACTGGGGTAGGCCTAGATCTAGACCCTAGTGAAAATTTGTTAAATGTCTCAACTTTTAACTATTGCAATCTTGTGAGAAATTTTAAATCCAGATTCTATCCTGAATTTCCCCCCAAATTAAGGCCAAACGACAAACGGGCAAGTCCGTCTTGCCTTTTGTCTTGGCATGCAACGCGACACTGACAAGTGACAGTTCATATTCTCAAAAATAAACTTAGGACAGACATTAGTCTGTAACACTAACAGTAAGCTAACTAAACTCTTATTCTTAACTCTTAGTCTTACCCTTTATTCTTAACTGTTAAAAAAAAGTTATTAAAAAATAAAAATATAACGTTAGGCCTTCTTCTTCTTCTTCTGTACATGTCGACAGACTTTTTAGTCCATAGGCCTAGATCTAGACAAGTCTAATCACAGTATTTTTCCTAAAATTAATAAAAACAAAGACTTATAATTATAATATGCACTTTCTCACGGGATTTGCACGGCAAACTGAAGCACAATTAATACAATTAGTCTAGTACTATTTTACATACTGTCCCGACGGTGCGGGCGCGTGCGTGTGTTAAGTTAGCGACTGTAATCTTAACTCTTACTGTTCTTAGTTTACGGTTAGACTCAGTATAGACCTCTAAGTCTTGGTTTTTGTACTGTAGGCCCTACTGTGAAAAAGATAAGAAAGTTGACACGAAACAAGTAACAAACATCGACTTTTAAATCATGACCAATCCCTTGATGAAACTTGCTTTGCCGTTGGCTTTAGAATTAGAGACTAAAGTGAGTAATTTAGACCTAGAATTCTACTTCTAGATCTGGGCATTTTGATGAATATTTACTTCATTGGGTAACTCCAGCCGAAGTAGGGTATCTCCACGCCGGAGTTACATTAAATTATATCATGTGAAGGCAAGGGCTCGTCCCTTCCGCCCCGGAGGCCTGGCGAGGCACGACGCCTCAAACACCCTATCGCGAATAGCTGCTGAGTAAACTAAAGCGAATAAATTTCTACCATTATTTCAATATGTTTCAATGCAACAATTTCCTCGTTTAAAAATTGAAAATTACGATGATGTCAAGACAATATAATAAGATAATTAATCCTTACCGATTCATGTTCCAAATGAAATTCAATAACAAAAATGATCTCCGTCTCCAAAATTTGTGTACGGTATCGAGGTGACTAAGTCGTTCGTTCATTGGCTATTGATGGCCACGTGATGTAAAATTTACATTCCTGATTGATTGCCCATTTCCCTAGCTCTTCTTAATTAGCTTCTAAATCAAACGCGAGTTTTAATTTTAAAAAATTATAAAATAACATGGCCTAGTTTGTGCAAGGGCGTATCGATAGTGGGGTGGGGGGGGGGGGAGGGGGAGGGGGGGGGGACACCGGCAAACACTAGGGGGGTGTTTTAGGTGTTCAAACACACCCCTCTTGGTAAAAGGGGGGGGGGGGTGTTTCAGAATTTGAAAGACACCCGATATATAGGTGTTTTATCTATGCCCCCCCCCCCCCCAGCACAAAAAAAAGGAAAAATGTTCTTGGTTTTTTTTTGCTCAAGGGTGGGTGGATGTTGGGGGGGGGGGGAAGGATTTTTCACACCACCCCCCCCCCCCCCCCCCCCATCCCAACAAACGAGTGCTTATACCTCCTTGCTTATTCAGCGAATGACTGATTCGCCACTAAATATTTTCTCACAAATTGGGCAAAAAACATCCCCCTTCAAAATCTTGGATACGCCCTATATATAGTGTGTATATGGGCAATTTGACTGATATTCTTATTATTACGACTTCAAGTGCACACACAAAAAAAAGAAAGCCGAAACTCAATCCGAAACTTCTACTCTATCATCTCGCTCCCCCCCCCCCCCCCTCAAAAATATTGAATTGGTTGATTGGTTATTGGTGGTTATTTAACCTGACATCCAAGAAAGCATAAATGCTTGTAAGTAAGCAACCAAACGGCCGACGGCTATAGCCATAGGTCCTCTCCGAGGGACCTGGTATTGAGGAATTAACTATTCCATCCTGACCTCGCCTATTTTGAGGAAATAAAAAAAAATGTTCACAAAAGGGAGTCTTCTCTATTCACAAATTATTACTACTTTGAATAATTCATATTCTTTATTCTTCATTATATCGAAGGGGGCAGGGGTGACCGGTGAAGCATACAACACAAGATTAAAAATATGAATGGAGAATGGTTTCCTTGTATGCATGAATACATGTCCCATGTTTCTTCCCCCCTGTGGTAATAGAAATTAATAAATATCTGTTTGGGAAAATAGCTAATTAAATATTTAATAAAGAAGGACCCAGGTATAGAACCATGGGCGGATCCAGCCGGCGGCAAGATAGGGCCCAATTAGTGAGAAAATATTTAGCCACGACTCAGCCAGCCAGTGGATAAGCAAGGGGGGATCCTATTTGTGAGGGAATATTTCTTACTGCGACTCAGCCAGCCGGTGAATAAGCAGGGGGGGGGGTGGTAAGAACCTAATTTTAAAAACAAATTTTGGTCCGAACTGGAATATATTTAACAGCTAGCGAATCATCCAGCCAGTGAATATGCGGAGGGAAGGGAAAGAAACACTAACTTTTTTGTGGAGGGGGGGGGGGGGGGGAGACATCCTGCTCTAGATTTTTGTTTTAAAAAAGGTAAAATTAACGTTACCAATTAAGATTTTAATCCCTTTCAATTTCGCTTTTTCATTTATTTTCTATGTTAAATTTTGTTTCATTTCTTAGGAACTGTAGCATCTTAAATAGGTGATTAATAACCCTTCTGTGGCTTATGGTAATAATGATTGATTTCCCTGTAATAAAATTGAATGGGTTCATAAATAATGAATTTGTAGGGAGAAAATAAAGAATGCAAACTCCTACCCATTTTGAATTCCTTCCCTCAAGTACTCCTTTTCAAACAACGTGTATTTCCCCTTCCTTTGACCAGGCGAGGATCCAGGATTTCTTAGGGGGGGGGGGGGGGGGGCCCAATTTTTTTTTTCTCCCGAGAATTATATCGCGCCGGTCGAAAAGTCGCTCAGTGGGGGGGGGGGGGGGGGTTAGTGAGCACTGTTTTTTTTTTTTTGCTCCCGAAAATTTGAAAATCGCTTAGTGGGGGGGGGGGGGGGGGGGGGGAAGTGAGCACACTTTTTTTTTTGGCCCTCGAAAATTAAAAAATTTGCACCCCCCCCCCCCCCCTCTTCATGTGATTTTACAAGGTTTTTTTCCTCCCTGGATCTGCCACTGCCTTTGACCCCATCTAAATGTCTTTTTGTATCACTCACAATTGACACTCGTCTCCTTGCTAGCTCAATCTTTCTTTATTTATAAAGACTCGTGTTTACCCCCCCCCCCCCCCTATATTCACATCCTCTTTTTTCCCCCCTCCATCTCGACTATTCTAAATTCATCCTTTTCTCTCTCTCCCTCTCTCTATGCTCTTGTTCCCACCATATATCGCCCAACAACCAATGCACCTCGTATATCACACCCCTCTCTCTCACACACACACACTATTTCCCCCTGATTATAACACTACTTTCTTCAATGCATCTGTAATAATTCCTAAGTTCTCCCTCTTCTTATATTGTCGCTTCCAATCTCTCTGTATAAGTACAACACTTCAACAAAATCTTTAATCTATTAAATACAAAAATCTCCAAATTCAGAGATCATTCAAAGTAATATATAAACCTCATAAGTTCCAGTTCTGATAACATGAATATAATTATTATATTAAGCCGCAACACATTATATGAATCAATCAACAATTTCTTCCAATTATCTGATTCCTTCCAATTTTCAAAAAGCTTTTGGATAGTTTATATTGTCACAAAGAAATGATTATTACTTCAAAGTGCTTGAATTAAAGAAATTGAAAACATTACTTAAAAAAATTACAAATAATGAGATTTGAGAACACCTAATACCGCATTTCCCTTTTAATTCTTAGATAACCTTCTTGAAAGAGTGACACATGACAACGATTTAGTTCAGGAGAGATGGGTGCTTTAATGGAGCTGGTTATTTAATATACTTGACAATGTACATACATGTATACAGTCAAACCTGTATATAGCAACCACCCAAGGGAAACACAAAAAGTGGTCCTTGTAGACAGGTGGTCAATAGACTGTACTAGTATCCCTGGTCCCAACTGACCATCAACTGTACAAATTTATACATTGTTTGGGACTATGATCAAGCATGTTTATTTAAACAAAAGGGTATTTATGTGTAATTTGGGTTTTAAATCCAATATGTGTGTGCACAACACTCCAGGCATGAAACCTTGTTCACTGTTCTATTACACTGCCTTTGAATACCAAAGAGTGAAACTTATAGGAGAAAAAAGTGTAAGGTGAGTCATTGTATGCACAGGGCCTGGAATGACCCCAAATTTGTATCAAATAAGCGTACAAATTCTTTCACAAATTTGGTACATACAAGTTTGTCAAGTTTTCAAACCATTTTAAAGTCACTGGGCATTGTAAGCAATTTTTAGTTTCTGCTTTTGGATTCCTGGAAAATTTCTGAAAATCACATGCTCTTTTTTTCTCCATGGACAAACAAAGAAATGAACAGTGCAAAAAAATAGTAAGGAAAAGGAATACTCTGTACATGTGTTACTTTCACAACCCAAATCACACCTTGCAAATTTGACAGCATTTAGATATTCATCTCGGTGCACATCTCTGTTGCTCTTGGAACTACGGTTTCCTTTAAGATTCCTCCAAACATAGGTCCAAAATTAAAGGCAGAAATGAATCTGCTTTTTCTTTCTTTCTTTCAAGATTTGGCTCTTTGATTTCACCTGCTTCTTCTCCCCTAGTGCCTGAAATTGGTGGCGCACAGCTTATCTGCTTAAGTGCCGTTCTGCACAGCTAACACGACAGCAAGCCCATTTTCTGCAATTTTGCTCTTGAATTTCTTCGCCAACACCACCAACTTCTTTCTCCTCCCCAGTGCCGTAAACAGAGCTCTGCACATGGCCGGTTACACGGCTTTCTTTCTACTGGTATACACAGCTAGCTGCACAGGGCCTGCTGCTACACAGCTACACTGATGTGCACCATACACGCACTGGAAACAGGCAGGCAGGCAGGCCATCAGACTGGACTGCACAAACTGACTACAGCAAACAGCTTTGCCTCTGACTGACTGCATCACCTTTAACTGCACATTCTAACACCCCCTTTTTACTGCACCAACCACCGCTATACTTTCAGGCAATAACTGGTGGCTATGTAAGAAGAAAACAATAAAAGGAATCAAGTGTTAGCATAAAAAAGAAGACTGGTATTCAATTTATACTACTAAATCACAAAGATCACAAAGGCTAGCTAATAAAACGAATGCAGAAGATTACACATAAACAAATTATCAAGCCTTCCAACCTATCAGATAGACCCACAAAGGCCACAATAGCTTGTTCTCGTCACTCCAACCCCCCACCCCCCCCCCCCCCTCAATAAAAAGAAGAAAACAAAAACTAAGAGCGGAATCTGCAGGGCCTCTGTATAGGTTCTAAACTATATTATATAACATACTGTGCTTAAAAGCATGGCTAGATTATACATCAGACAAGAATTAATAGAAATATGGTGACTCTGCTTACCAATAATGTACAGTACATCATTTTATAATTAATTATCAACATGAATTCTAAATACATCAGAGAAATTCTTAAGAAAAACAATGTTCACTGATTTAGGAAAACACCTCCTCCTTGAACAAATGAATGTTTATGTTGAGGAAAGAACAGCAATTAATGTACAATTATATCTGCTTTAACGTGAATAGACACAGAATTTTGAATGAAGCACTGTAATTACTCTTGTTTATGATCGATGTGATATTACTTGGGCACGTAAATGAGAACTCTGAAACATTTCACGCGAAATCCAAACATGCACTTTGTATATAACACTCTTTTGAACTAGTAAAGATTAAAATATTTATAAAAAGATAAACATGCATACAGTGTAGTTACTATCAGTCACAACTCACTAATACCATCTGTGGATGGAAACCAATTGAAAACGCATGTACATGTACATTGTAGATGCTGTCATACTTTGACAAGAGAAACAGAGAACAGACATAACAAAATGTAGCATGCAATATAAAGAATAAAAATGGACGCGCAAGAAATGTAAGAGATATGTAGAAATAGGCTTTCCTGAATGCTATATTCCACCCTCCC